TCCTACCTTCTAAGAAAACCATTTGGGGGTTCTTTTTCAACAAATTGGGTTTCTTTGCAAATCTCAGGTAAAGTCTAAATGGTTGAGGCTGCATATCAGCTGCAGAGAGCAGTCTGGATATAAGGTCTGAGCCTGCAGACATTCTGAAAAACTTTTCCCATGACCATGAAAGATGAGCTGAGGTCTATTTTATAGTTGTCCTTCTGAAAGGGGCAGTATCAGTTCATTGCTGCTGCATTTTTCTTTTTTTAAGATTTATTTGTTTGTTTGTTTGTTTATTTATTTATATACTGTACAGTGGTACAGTCAGAAACACAGGAGGGTAAGAGAATTCACCAGAGCCAGAGCAGGGAGCAGGGAGCAGAACAGGCAGATTGACAAAGCACACTGCTGAGGGGAGCAGCGGGCCTGGCAGGAGAGGTCTGCGCCATGTGGACCCTCTCCAGCAGCCAGGAATCAAAGTGGCACTGTGGAGGCTGCTGGCAGCTTCGCAGCCCAGCGCTCAACCGCTGCACCACCGGGGAGGTCCCATTCCTGCTGCATTCTAACGGTATACATTTTCTCATTTTGAACCTGAAACTAACACCCAAATCTTTGTCATGACTCTACAGGATTGAATTAATGAATAAAGTGGGTCTTTTTATAATCTTAATCTCTGGGAAAACCACAAATTTTACCGATATTTAATGACATTATTTGAATTCTGCATATCATGGCTCTATATAGTACTGTGGTCAAAATTCTAAAATCAGACTAATGATGATTTAACATTTTTGCCTCTTACAGCACATTTTCACAGCCTCCTTCACTAAGATTTACTGAGTGTTGTAGAATCTGAGGATACAGAAGTAAACAGAACAAAATTCTCTGCCTGTCATAGTAATGGAACTGACATTCTAGTGAGAGAGCAAAATTAGACAAAAAATATAGAATATATGATTCTATGTAATTGTTAGAAGTCAATTTAGGTACAAAGGCATAAAGTTATGATGTAAAAAATAGATATAACTTTTTTATTACTATCCTAATAATGAGAGTATTTCAGTGTCCAAACTAATTCTGCTGCTTACCAATAGCAATTCTAGCTCCTAATTTTTAGTGAGATACATGAAGCTGAAAATATTAGTTATGACTAGAGACAAGTATTTTATTTACCTCTTAGTTGTGGAAGAAACAGTACTTTTTCTAGTCAGAAATCTGATTCTTTCTTTCTTTGCAGGTTATATGGCGGGATGAATTATCGACGCCTAGGGGGTGGTGTAGGAGTTATTAAAATGACACATTGTGAATCCCATATATGGTGAATATTTGGAAGACAGTGATATATATGCTCCTCTGGAGAGCGTTAACTTTGGAACTTTGTACAGCTGAAGAAAACATTAGAACAAATTTTATTCTTTGCCGGTGCCTCAACATATGGAAATACAAATACAATGAAAGTACTTCACCTGCAAGATGCCACCTTTGCACAATAATTTTCAATTCTGTGCTGAAAACTATTTATTTTTTGTTTTAATTTATGGGCTTTTTTGTTGTTGGGTTTGGGTTTTTCATTTTTTTGGTTTTGTTTTGGTTTTTTTGGTTTTAGCCTTCCTCTCATGGAAAAAAAAAAAAAAATACCAAGCAGTAAAATATTATCTTTAGGATATTATGTTTGAAAATACTAATAAGGGGAGAAGGGCTGTGTATGATCTAGTTGTTACATCTAGGCACTCCATCCACATGACTCTACTTTTTAAAAGGACTACCAGTGACAAGGTAATCAAAGTGTATTAGTAGCCACCATTGCTACACCGAGCACCAGAACACTTGAAAATCTAAAACACACACACACACACACACACACACACACACGAAACATCTCATTTTAAATAATACAACCTAAAAGTAATATTAAATCAACCAAACCTAGCGGGACTAAGACACTAGAGTTTTCATCACTGTAAGTTTGCATCTTGTTTCCTGCCATGTGAACTTGCTTTCTGCTGTATCTCAAGTCTTTTCTCATCATGTTTTCATAGAGTTTCTGCTAGATCTAGAGCTATGCTCAGTGCCTCTATAAAAACAATGATTCTCATATACAGTCATGAGAATCCCCCAATAGAATCATGCAGCTCTGCAAAAGAATTTGCTCAACAGCATAACTGTCTAAAGTAACTCTCCTTCCTAATTTCCTTAATGCTACTAAGGACCAGCAGGGAGAAATGTCCTCCTCCCAGCAGTGAATATTGTTATGCAACTTACACTTGATGCTCAGGCCTGCTGAAGCTGAGGCTTACCTGTAATAACAACTTCTAAAGGAATGAATTCTGTTATGTTCATTTAATAGCACATGATAATGAGAGTAAAATCAATCAAGGCATTTAATTATATCTTGGTTCTTTTATACAAACTACATGTCATTATCCTCATTCTATAAAGCCACTGTTACTCTCAAATTGCACTTTCTAGTGAAAAATCAAAATTTTTAAGGAAAAAAAAGATACAAATGTCAGTGGTTGAAGTTTTTTTTCTCATTGTCAATTTTTTTTTCACTGTATTTTGCAGGAAAATCTTTGAATAAGACTTTAATCACAAACAAAAGGAATCTTCTCCCTCCCCACAGTATATGTTTGGCAACTTTTGTGTTTACATTTAATGATCATTTGCACCTTTACAAGGAAAAAAATAAGTATTTGGTAAACAATTGTTTACATGTATCATTTATGCTTTTTTCTAGCATGTATAACTTTTTTAAATAAAGGTAGTTTTTACCATAAAATATTTGGTTAATGCTTTTTAATGCTTCTGTCTTATTTAATTTGGACTTTGTTTCTATATCATAGTTCCTTCATGTAAAGTTATAACTACTTTTGACCTGAAGAAATAAAGGGATTATTCCCAGGTGGAATTAGGAATTTTTATTTTAATTTAAAAAAAAACTTTCTATTTGAAAACAATTTTGAACCAAAAAGTCATAGAAATAAATTAGTAAAAAGACCACCCATATATGATCTGCCTATTAACATTTTACCCCATTTGACTTTTCACTTTCTTTGTGTGTGCATACATAAGTACTTAAAGATCTGGGGAAAGCACAGCTGTGTAATACAAACTTTGCATGAAAATTAAAATCTAACACCTTCCATAAGGTTCCATTCTATAGACTTCTGAAGGAATCTACCTCCTTCTCTTATTTGAGTAGGAAAGTTTGAAAATCATAGTTCAAACAAAACCCTAGGCTCCAGGACTGGGACCAACAGCCCTCTTGATTCTAAGGCATTGAGTTGGACTGAACTATACAACTGACTTACCTGGTTTTTCAGCTTGCAGAGGTAGATCGTGGGACTTCTTGGACTCCAAAACTGCATGAGCCCATTCCTATAATCTCCAGAATGTGTCAACATATATGAGACTGCACAATTTATTGAGTTTTCTAAATAACCAATACATTAGTTTAGAGATCCATTCAAAGTACAAGGTAGCCAATAGGAACAGCATGAAAGGGCTATTGATAAGGTTTCAGATTACTTGTTAACAATTACTTGATGTAGTATCAAGACTATCCATAATAGTTAAGAAAAAGCTATTTAAAAATATACTTGCCTCCAATTTCATGTTCATGTAAGCCATGTTTTCTTCCTATACCTCAACCAAAAAAAAAAAAAAAAAAAAAAAAAAAACCTACCAAAAAATTGAATACAGGGCCTCCCCAGTGGCGCAGACTCTCCTGTCTCACCACTGCACTCCTCAGCCATGTCTTTGGTCCGTCTGCCTATTCTGCTCCCTGCTCTGTCTCTGGTGAGTCCTCTCACCCTCCTGTGCCTCTGACCTGTACCCCAGTGCTTGTATAAAAATAAAAAATAAATCTTTAAAAAAAAAATTGAATACAGAAGCAAGCATGAGAACCCAATGAAGTGTGACTTCATTACTATTTTGTGAAAAATTATTTTTTTAGAAATTTTAAGTAACATTTTTATGTTAATATGTAACAGACTTACTATCTTTGGTACACTGAAAATTTAAAGAATTGGTGCTCTAAATTTTCTAGTTTTCAGGAAATACAGGGGAACAGAAGAATGTGTTAATCTCAGAGGGATTCAGTGAGCAAAATCCAGGAGGTGGGAAACTATAAATATTTCCTCAACAAATGAGTTGCAAGGAGAGGAAAGAATGGGAAGGGGAAAACTAATAGATTAAAAGGAATTTAAAACATCAATGAAATGCAGTATACAAGTTTTACTTGGACCCCTGTGAATCCCCTGGAGGTTTTTTAACTCTCAGATTTGTCTACATTGAGCTTCTAGGAATTATCAATGAACAGCTCAGTGTTTCTGACTCTGGCACTGGTTTCCATAAAGACATCTGCTCATGAGACACAGCTTCAGTAAGCCATTACATTACTCCCCATAATCATCTGCTTGTTTCTCCACTCTCAGGGGCAACAATTTGCCCTGTGTCCTCCCAGGGCACCGGAAAAGTTGTTGATTTTTCCGTCTGTTCAGCTTTTTATTTGTGGGTAGGATACAGTGGCAATTTCTAAGCTGCTATTATGCAGAACCAGAAATGAAATGTGTAGCTTTAAGTAAAAGAAAAAAATCACCATAAATATAGAAAAGTAACTTGACAAGATCTAATATCTACTATTCATAATAAAAATCCTCAATAAATTATGAATAAAACTTCTTTAACCTGATAAAGGACAGCAATGAAAAACCTATAGCTAATATGATGATAAACATGTTCCCACTAAATCAAGAACAAAGTTGGAATGTACATTCTCACCAGTTTATCTACCATTGTATTTGGAGATCCCAACTAAGGCAATTTGGCAAGAAAAAGAAACAAGACACCAAGACTGAAATAAAAAATCTTTATTAAATGACATGAATGTTGTATATAGAAAATCCTAGGGAAAATATTAGAATCAACAAGTTCAATGAGTTCAGAGGATTATAGACCAATATGCAAAAATGACTATCTCTATATACTAACAACAAGCAATTCAAAACGAAACTGAAAATCATTTCATTCTTAATAGTATAAAAAATAAAATAACTAGGAATAAATGTAACCCCAAAAAGTGCAATCTGTATAAGGTGAAAACTATAAAAACATTGTTGAAGGAAATTTTAAAAGATGTAAGTAAATGGAAAACTAGGAAAAGGTTCATGGATTAGAAGACTTAATATCATTATAATGATAATACTCCCCAAACTGATCTACAGATTCAACACAATTATAGAAATCCCACTTATCAGACCAGATAGAAGCTCCAGTCACAGCTGAGTGGCACCACCAGTAACAGTTGCAAGGGATGCTCAAACTTGAAGCAGCCATGATGCCCTCAAACTAGGCTCTGGAATAAAGTGAATCTTATGTGGGACCAGGATATAGAGCAGGCTATGGACAGAGCAGGAGTGGGTCTGAGTTAAGTTAAGCTCTACTCTACCCTGATTAGAAAAAACTGCCTGGCTAGGGTCTTTGTTTTTGCCTCCGAGTCCTAATGTAACTCCCCCAACCCCCACCCAAGGTTGCTAATTAAAAAATAAAATTTTAAAGAAATAGTTTTTTAAAAAAACCCAGCTAACTTTCATAGAGCAACTGGCAAAATGATTTTAAAATTCTTATGGAAACACAAAAAACCCCTATTAGCCAAAACAGTCTTGAAAAAAGAACAATGCTGGAAGACTGGCATGCATGATTTCAAAATGTACCACAAAAAAACAATAATCAAGGTAGTGTGGGACTAGCAAAAGAATTGACATAGATCAATGTAACAGAGCTAACAGCCCAAAAATAAACATCTAAAACTGACTGATTTTTAAGAAAAATGACAGACAATTCAATAGGAAAACAACAATCCTCTCAACAAATGGTGCTATCACAAATGAATAGCCACTTGCAAAATAAATTTGGATGCCTACATCGTACCAGACATAAAAATTAACCCAAAATGTATTACAGACCTAAATTTAAGAGCTAAAATTATAAAATTTTTAGAAGAATCATAGGAGTAAATTGTCAGGACCTTGTGTTAAGTAATGATTTCTTAGATACAATATCAAAAGCACATTGATATAATTATGTTTTGCCTTATAAATAGTAGGAAAATAACAATACCAATATTATTAATAAGGTAACAATGAATTTAGTAAATATACTAAAAATAATTCTTTTTATGATTATGCCATAACTTAATAAAATTATATTCACCTGTTGTCAATTATTAAGGTTTGTTTTGTTTTCCTTTTGATCTAATTTTGCTTCAAAATAAATTATAACACTTACATGATTCTAAACTATAAACAAAAAAAATTTCAGAGAATCTTAACTTCCATTACTGCACCTCCACTCATTTCCTTCCCTCTATTAGTAACCACCTATTAGTTTTTGTCTTATCCTTTGTTTTTTGAAAATACCCACACACATTCATATTTCCCCCATTCCTTCCACCAAAGAAAGCACACTGTACTTTCTGTGCATACTATACACTCTGTCCACATCTTACTCTTCACATAATTTTATATTCTAGAGATCACTCCATGGCAGTAGATATCTTCCTCAAACCTTTTTATTGTTACATAGTAGTAATTCACTGTACAGTTATGGCATAATTTATTCAACCAATCCCCTTTTGAAGGACATTTATTGTTGTTTGTCTTACTTTTGCAAATATTATTGAAATAAATAGCCTTGTACATGCTTGATTTTGTATTTTTGCCAGTGAATTTCAAGGATAGAATCCTAAAGTGGGATTAGTGGTCCCTCTTCCACTCTGATCCATCTATAACTCACTCTCCTTCATATCTTACAAAATCTTATAAAATACAAATCAGGTAACATTACTCTCCGCTTAAGACTTCAGTGGCTTCCCAGTGCATTTAGAACAAAATCCAGTTTCTTAAAGTACCTCTAAAAACTTCCATGATGTGGCTGGCTCCTGCCTCTCTGTATGAGCTAGGATTAGGTTTAGCTATAAGCAAGAGACCCAAAATAACAATAGCTTAAGTAAGATAGAATTTTACTTCTCTGACACATAAGTCTGTTGAAAGACCATCCAAAGATGGCATTTAGGATTCAGCTTCAAGAAGTCTTCAGGGCACAAACTCCTTCCAGATTGCTCCACCATCCCTAGGAACTGACTCTCATCCCTGTGACCTAAAAGAATAACTAGAGTATCAGTCATATGTGTTCCAGGAATCAAAGTTGAAAGAATAAGGGACAAATTTAGTCATGTAACTATACTGTGTGCCATGTGCCCAGACAAAATTGGGAAATGTAACACCACTGAAGCAATCTGTTGCACAATCTCTTCTGTTTCATCTCATATTATCCACTTCACTATGTTCCAGTCACAGAGACATCCTTTGTTCCTCATATACCCCAAGTCCTAAGCTGTTTTAAGGCCTTTCCTATTCCAGTTTCATCTGCTTAGAACATTCTTCCTCTGATCTTTACATGGCTGGTTCTGTCTTACCATTCAGGACTCAGCTCAAAAGTCACTTCCTCTGAGAGAACTTCTTTGACTATGTAAATTAGGTCTCATTCCAGTCACCCTTTTTCATATTGTACTGCCTTATTTTCTTTATAGCATTTAAAATTATTTCTCTTTTACTTTCCTCCATTAGAATATAATCTCCACAGGACAAAAACCTTTTTTGTCCTCACTGCTCTATTCCTATTACCCAATATAACTTTAAGAAGGAGCTTAATATTAGTTGAATAAATATCTGACCCCAAACCCATACTTTTTCCACTCCTCAGTAGCTTCTTATATATTTGAACTAATATCCATTATGGAAGCTAATGTCTGCTTTCAGAATAGCCTGTTAGTTTCTCTCAAGCAAGATATTAAAAGAACAATGTTTCTTAAGTAAAACAAATCTTCCTATGCTCAGTAAGTAAAAAGATTTATATATAACATCTGAGGCAAGTCTCTTAAATTGCTTAATCTGTTTTCAACTGCAAAATAGGTAAACTGGTTAAAATTAATTCACTAAACCTACAAATACTTACAAAGCAGCATGCTAGAGCAAAAATAGGGACATGGAAGTTAAACAAGATATTTTTTGCACTCAAAAGAGGTTTACACAGGAGTTTCAACGCCACAATCATATAATTATTGGTTTGTAACCTATGTGCTAAAAGAAAAGTCTACAACTTCCCAAGGTGGTCACCTAGTAACAATCACAATACTTCATTTTAAAAGTGAGTATTTAATTCAACATTGCAGTAAGAATTGGAAAGTTTTAAAAACAGAAGCATATTGATGGCTTTTTAAAATGTGTATTACTAATCTTTAGTTTCCTCTGGAGAGGACTTTAATTACCAATTCTCTACAACAAAATGATGCTAGGAAAATATCTTTAGAGAACAGAAATCGTCTCTTAACACAAGTCTAAAATCTTAAAAGAGATTAAAGGCTTTAAAGGACCATTCAGAAATATTCAACATTAGAGATATTTCATTTGAATCCCAAAGGTTTGACATAATAAACATTATACAATTTTTTTTGGAAAGATGGACAATAAGTTAACATTCAGCATTATCCCAGATTGTCAGACTTCCATGAGAATTACATGAGCACCTGGCTATGGTTCATCCACTACCATCTTCTCTGTTCTATCAGATCCTTCATGACTTCCAGCTGAGCAACTCAAAATACACTGTGAGGAAAATACATGCACAGATGATGCCCATTTCCCTTCGGTATCTCTCAGTGTAGCAATTAGGCAATTATCAGTAAGAAAAGTTATATAATTTAGTCCATATAAAGCCTCATTCAATTTGAAAAATTGCCAGTTCTGTCAAATATGCCAATACTCCAATAAGGTATTTATGACACAAAATCTGAAAGAAAAAAGGAGACATTTAAAATTGTAAGATTTAATTGTGATAACAAAGTAGCTTGATATTGGATATTGCAGGATTATTTTAAATCCAAAATCTGCAAGCTAAGATACTAATACGAACCCAAACTACTGTTGCTCTAAGTCAAATACGTTTTATTTAGTGAAGACTACTACGTTTAACAAATTTACAACTACTAGTTAATATTGCTTTGAAGGAATTAGGCTAGGGTTCTGCTTTACTTTGGCTTACTTGAGTGGGCTGACATTTGCCTAAGAAGTGAGGCAACTCACTTCACTTCCTCACTTCAGGAAGGGGTATCTATGAACCTCTTGGGACTTTTTTTTTTAAAGATTTATTTATTTATTTACAAGAACCGGGGTATAGGCCAGATGCGCGGGAGGGTGAGAGGATTCACCAGAGACAGAGCAGGGAATAGAACAGGCAAACTGATGAAATACACTGCTGAGGGGAGCAGCGGGCAAGACAAGAGAGGTCTGCCTCGCCATGTGGGACCCTCGCCGGCCAGCTGGGATCAAACCGGCACTGCAGAGGCTGTGGACAGCGTCACAGTGCTGCACTCAACCGCCCACTAGGGGAGGCCCTGAACCCCTTGGACTTTGATGTACATTTTCTAGAAAGAGCTTCCATAGGTTCCTTCTTCTCAAGGGGATGATTCCAAAGTACTCTGCAGAAATTAAGCAGAAGGCAGAAACCTCGTGATAATTTGAAAGTTTCGAGAGATATTAAGTGTTGCAGTTAAAAGCGTAAGTTTTTCAGGAAACTGCCTGGATTCAAATTCTGACTCTAGATATTAGCTGTGTGATCTTATGGAAGTGATTTATCCTCTGCGCTACAGTGTCCTCCTTACAAGTTATGTAAATGGGTACTTGTGAAAACAAAATGAAACAATAAAGTGCTTAACAATGCCTGGTACAATTGAGTGCTTAATAAATGTTCATCCTGATAGTATTTCAATCTAGGAGGCATAGTTAACTGTTTCACATCATTAAAATAGTTTTTAAATGTAATTAACTATTAGAGTGTGGACATACGTAAACAAAATCATGAACACTAGATTCTAGGGTGCAAAAATGTGTTTTTCTCTATAATATCAAAGTAACATGGTATAGAATTATTTTGAGGGTTTTTTACTGTAAACCATAGTAAGAAATAAAGTTAACATCATGATCCAGTGAAAACAAATGTATACCCTAACCACATGTGATACACACTCAGTTTTATGTTTTCTATTCTATTTCTCCTTTTGTCTTTTAAAGCTAGTCTCTTCCCATTAAAATCACTACCCAACTTACTGTTGCACTGTAACCTCCCATTTGAAAAGCACAGTGTAGCGCTTATTGATAAAATATGGACTTCTTAGAACCTAAGAGACAAACTTTCAAGTCTTGACTCTTATTATGCTCTCTTGTATATATCCTTTAACCTGATCTTGGCCTCAGTTTCCTTACCCGGCCAGCCAGGGAGGTGACCCACATGGTGCAGCAGACCTCTCCTGTTTCCCCCACTGCTCCCCTTAGCAGTGTATTTCAGTCAGTCTGCCTGTTCTGTTCCCCACTCTGTCTCTGGTGAATCCTCTCACCCCCCTGCACCTCTGGCCTGTACCCCAGTTCTTGTATGCATGAACAAATAAATCTTAAAAAAAAATAAAAAATAAAATAAAAATGAAACATGGAAAAAAAATCAAGTACACAGCTGCTGTAAAGATTAGTTAAGGTATGTTTGACTTCTAGCACAGAGACAACATGATATGAAACATCCACTGAGTGTTTATTATAGTTACATTTTAATATATTAGATATATTAACATATTTTAATATATTTAGATGCCTACTCATACTTTATTTCTGATAATTCCATGATAAGCACTTTATAAAGAGGAAAACATTGTCTCTATTATTTCTTTCCCAGTAGGTATAGAATAGTCTAAAATGTAAAGATGGTATTTAAGTTCTATATTTCTGGACCTAATATTCTTACCCAACACTTAATCCTACTATGATTAATAATTTGACAAGAAATAATTTTGAAGCCTCAAAGTTACTAAAGAATAATAATTCATATTACCAAAATCTGTAGTACACAGTATATAGTATCTTTCCATTATAACGCTGCATATATAAAAGGCTGAAGATTATTTAGTAAATCATTTATAAAACAAAATAAAATCTCTACTATCTTGAATTGGCATACATTCAAATGTGCTTCTTCACTGTGGAAAGTACAATCACCATTATCATGAAAACTATGCCACAATAAAGAAAAATTTGTTTAAACTAACCTTTATTTTTCCATTAGTATGTGCCGAAGCTACAGATGTTGAAACACGAACCAATCTTGTAGCTGATAAACGAATTTTGAAATGCCTATAGAAATGTGAATAAAGGCAGTCCATGAATAAGTCAACTTCCTCCTGGGTAACTTCCCCAGGTGTTCTGTGGACACTATCCCACAAAGCTTTTGCATCCTCTGGATGTATGGCATAAGAAATGTCCAGACTTTGAGGGCTACAGGGTACAGACCAAAGAAATTCAGTAGCATCTGTATAATGGTCCATTTTGCATGCTGTCCACATAGCAGCCATCCAGGAAAGATTAAATGCATTGATTGCTAAGGGACTGAAATAACAGTCAAAGGTTTTCTGAAACCAGGTTCTGATTAAAGCCGTGTTAGACTCTGTTCCATTTGCAAGGAATAAAGGTAGACAAGTGAAATCTTTTGAAACAGTCTCCAGAAGACTATCTCCAAATATACAGCAGAACCAACCAGTCCACAACACTTTATTTTCTTTGTTCTCAGATGGCAATTGAGATTTTGATAGAATCTACAAAGAACAATAAGACAGGTTCATTAAGTTTAAAAGTATATTTACTCCTAAATTAAATTTTCTCAAAATTAGTACATTTAAAAATGTTGTATTACATGCCAAAACACATGAGGAAATACTCTCTAAGCATTATTAGGGTTCATAAAGTTAATTGACTTTTCAATTAACTTTTTTAAGTTAATTAATATTTTTCTATACTACAGACATAGTATATACCAAAATTTTGGTACAATCAAAATGCAAAATAAAGGATGACAATATGGCTTAACTAGGTACAGTATCCAGTACCAGTATCCTAGGGGGAAAAAAAAAAACACCTCAACTTGAAAAGGGACTGTAAAAGGTCACCAAATCCAACAGGTTTGAATTCTATTGAGGAAGATTTCAATATTTCCTGAGGTAGTCTTTCTATCAATTTAAAATGTTTTTTAATATGCCAAACTCTATAGTGTCCACCCACTGGCCCTGCTTCCTTTCTTAACATGCATGTCGAACAAATCAAAGTTCTTCAGAGTATTCAGAGATTATTATCAAATAGACTGCCAAGATCAATATCTCTAGTTTCTGCAACTATTCCTGTTATGAGAAATTCATTCAAGTTCTCACAATTTCCTAGAAACTCTTCTATGTAATTCTTCTGCATGGGAGTCATTCATGTGACTATAATTACTTCAAAAAGGCCTGATTATAGGACTATCTCTATCTTTAACCTAAATTATACTTTTACTAAAACAATCTTAGATTGTTAGCAGTTGTCTGGCTTTTAATTGACAGTTTTACATGAATTAGTCCTACATATTTATTTTTGCTGTTTGACCACTCCCCCAACTTACATTAAGGCAGAAAACATCCCTAATCAATTGTAATCTCTTTCAATTTGGCCTGTTGTACCCACCATACAGATCTTCTATGATTTGGATTGTATTTTCTAGTAGCTTGGTTAACTCTTCAAACTAAATTTATTAATTCCATGACAAACATAGCTTCCAGATATTTACAGAAGTTTTAATTAAAGTTTAATCAGGACAAGGTTAAGATCACAATCCAGTATCATGTATTCCTTTAGAGATGATCGTTTTACCATAGTTCTCCCTCTTGTTCAAAAGATTATAGAGACTCTGAAGCCCAGATATATTACGTCTATCACACTTTCATGACCTAAGGATCCTATAACCCTGTCAAGAAATGAGATTTAATTCAAAAACTATTAGGAAACTACAATTGGAATTCAAAGGGTCATTTCTAGTCCTGGCAAGAATATTTGCTTAGTTACTAGTGACATACAAACCACACAACTGCTCTGAGCCTCATTTGACAGAGAAAACAATTACAGTATCTATTTTTCCTTCCATAATAAAACTGCACTATTACTTGGGAGAGTATATTGCCAGTAAAAAGAAAAATTTTTCCAGTGTCACTTACAACCAGGATCTAAAGAGAAGTTGTTGGGTCTCAGCAAATCTTATAAAAGATGTACTCAGTGTCCTGATAGCCTTTCCCATCTTCTGCCTACTTCCTGTCTGAAACTTGAATATAATATTAGTGCTTCAGAAGCCATATTCAACTATAAGGTGACCTGAAGGATGGAAGCCATATACCAAAAGACAAAAGGAGCTTTTTCCCCCCTGCCGAAGCGCTGCCGGGCCTGCGCTGCTTTGGCAAATCGCGGACAACTGGCGTCTGCGCCGCAAAATGAGGTTTGTAAAAGTTGTCAAGAATAAGGCCTACTTCAAGAGATACCAGGTGAAATTTAGAAGGTGAGAGGGCAAAACTGATTACTATGCTCGAAAACGCTTGGTAATCCAGGATAAAAATAAGTACAACACACCCAAATACAGGATGATAGTTCGGGTAACCAACAGAGATATCATTTGTCAGATTGCTTATGCCCATATAGAAGGAGATATGATAGTTTGTGCAGCTTATGCTCATGAACTCCCCAAGTATGGTGTGAAGGTTGGCCTGACAAATTATGCTGCAGCATATTGTACTGGCCTGCTGCTGGCCCGCAGGCTTCTCAATAGGTTTGGCATGGACAAGATATACGAAGGCCAAATAGAGGTGACTGGAGATGAATACAATGTGGAAAGCATCGATGGTCAGCCAGGTGCCTTAACTTACTATTTGGATGCTGGACTTGCCAGAACTACTACAGGGAATAAAGTTTTTGGGGCCCTGAAGGGAGCTGTGGATGGAGGCTTGTCTATTCCTCACAGTACCAAACGATTCCCTGGTTATGATTCAGAAAGCAAGGAATTCCATGCTGAAGTACATCGGAAGCACATCATGGGCCAGAATGTTGCAAATTACATGCGTTACTTAATGGAGGAAGATGAAGATGCTTATAAGAAACAGTTCTCTCAGTACATAAAGAACAACATAACGCCAGACATGATGGAGGAGATGTATAAGACAGCTCATGCTGCTATACGAGAGAATCCAGTCTATGAAAAGAAGCCCAAGAAAGAAGTTAAGAAGAAGAGGTGGAACCGTCCCAAGATGTCTCTTGCCCAGAAGAAAGATCGGGTAGCTCAGAAGAAGGCAAGCTTCCTCAGAGCTCAGGAGCGGGCTGCTGAGAGCTAATAAGCCAAACCATTTTTTAATGGAGATTTTTAAAGACAATACAATAATAAAATTATTGATCCAGCAATGAAAAAAAAAAAAAAAAAAGACAAAAGGAGCCTAGATTATTAGTAATTTCATGAAGCATCACACCAGAATTGGACCACTCTGCTTTCAGACACTTCTTTTTTGTTTATTTCACTGTTATTTAGACTCTCTCTTATGTGTATCTGAGCCTAATCCTAGGAATTTTGAGATCCATGCCAATTTCATGATCTATACCAGGGGTAAGAAACTTTTCTCTCAAAGACCAAATAGTAAGCATTTTAGGTTTTGCAAGCCATATGGTCTCTGCAGCAACTACTCAACTCTACTGCTATAGCACAAAAGCAGTCATAGATAATATGTAAACAAATGAAAGGGACTATGTTTCAATAAAACCTTATTTAATAAAACAAGCAGCTAGTCAGATTTGGCCCATAGGTTATAGTTTGCTGATCCCTGTCTACAGAAACAAATGAAAATCAAGGCTTTCAACTGTTTCAGAATTTAGTATCTTAGTCAACTGAGAAGTAACAAAAGTATTTTGCAAGAATATAAATCCAATTTCTTATATCAAAAGATAGTCACAGTATTTATATACACTACATATAGAAAGGAATATACAATGTTATATTTCTGAGAGTAACTTGGCACGATATATCATAACAACAATAATATTTTACCTTTTTTTGACTAAAATTCTAATTCTAAGCATTTAATCCTAGTAAAAACCATAGAACTATATAGCTGTGGCTTCAAAAATGTACAACTAATATCATGAGTAATTACTTATAATACTGATTATTAAAATAGCCATAATGCAAAAGTATGGGCAGTATGATCCCAATTTTAAGACTGTAGAGACAGGGGCTTCCCTGGTGGCCTAGGGGTTAAGTCTCAGCACTATCACCACCACAGCCTGAGATAGAGCCCAGCCAGGAAGTTAACCCACATATAGCATAGCAGACCCCTCATGCCTCGCCTCAGCGGTATAGTTCAGTAGATCCACCTGTTCTGCTCCCCACTGTATCTCTGGTGAATCCTCTCAAACCCTGCACCCTGGGGCTTACACCCCAGATCTTGTATGCATTAAAATTTTTTTTTTTTAAAAAAGACTGTAAAGATAGTAAAATAAACAATAAACATATCCATGTTCTTAAAAGATGATTGATATAGGGCCTCCCTGGTGGCGCAAGGGGTTAAGCACCGCACTATGAAGCAATCCGCAGCCTCTGCAGCTTGAATTCGATCTCCAGCTGGCCAGAGAGAAATCCACATGGCGAAGCAGACCTCTCCTGTCTCGCCCGCTGCTCCCCTCAGCAGTGTATTTCAGTAAATCTGCCTGTTCTGTTCCCCACTCTGTCTCTGGTGAATCCTCTCACCCCCCCCCCCGACATCTCTGGCTTGTACCCCAGTTCTTGTATGTATAAATAAATCTTAAAAAAAAAAGAAATATAAAAAAGATATTGACCTATCAAAAAAAAGATATTGATCTATCTAAGAAAGTTTTCCTTTCGGAAAATATCTTTGGTTTGGTATCAGGATGATGGCCTCATAGAGTGAATTAAAAATATTCTTCTGCTTCTATCCATTGAGATTGTAGAGAATTGCTATAATTTCTTACTTATTTGGTAGAACTTACCTGTGAACCCAGTTGGGTCTGATATTCTTTCAAAGGGTAATTAATTATTAATTATTCAATTCTTTTTTTTTTTAATTTTTTATTTATTTATTTATTTATTTATACAAGCACTGGGTATAGTCAGAAGCGTGGGTGGCTGAGAGAATCCACCAGAGCCAGAGCAGGGAGCAGAGCAGGCAGAAGGACCGAAGCACACTGCTGAGGGGAGCAGCAGGCGGCAGGAGAGGTCTGCGCGCCATGTGGGACCCTCCCTCAGGTGGCCGGGGAGCAGCCGGGGATCAAACTGGCGCTGCAGAGGCCGCAGGCAGCTTCACAGCCCAGCGCTCAACCACTGCGCCACCAGGGGAGGCCCTATTCAATTCTTTTGATACAGGCTTACTCAGATTGTCGAAAGCCAAAATGTTAAATTGCTTTTAACATCCCTTGTACTTTTATGTATTTTCTATGTCTTCTAAAACAAGCATGATTATCATATTGTAATGGGAAAAGATTATTTTATTGGCCATATCTAATCACTGTAATTTTGCTAAATAAGACATAAAGGTTATAAATAACAAGTTTAAGAATTTTTAAATTGTACAGTGAAGGAAGGAAGACTTTTAGTGAACACGATAGATCTACATGTTGATTTATAGTGATATATACCTGAAATTTATGTGAAAAACCAATGTTACATCAATTTTAAAAACAATAAGAAAATACCACAACAATTTCCAAACCAAGAAAATACATATTCTCTTCCCCTAGGAAGCAAGTACTGATCATATAGTATACCTGGACAAGAAATGCCTCAGGGTCTCTTTGAGTTCCTTTCATTCCTAGAAGAGTAGAGAAAATCACTTTGAAGCTGAAGTCTTCTCCTACTTCCACAGCAAGTCCTTTTTGCTTTTCAGCAGCAATAAATGCATTCAGAAGTCTAGAATACTCTTTGAGATTATTATAGGAAAATTTGTATAAGGGAGTTAAACTGTATAAAGTCCATTGCTTATGCAGAAGGAATGTGACCTTTTGAGGATCAACATTTTCCTAAAAAAAAAAAAATCAAGACAAAAGAAATTTAAGGGTTAGCAAACATTAGTAAATAAGAATTCAGTCATAATATCTTAAGTACTTAATACAAATCTATTACTGGGTACTAAATCTTTGCACTCCAGCCAAACTGGAGTTTGCAGGACACTGAAAATCCTTTAAAAGGCTCTTCATTTGTTCTACTTCCCTTTGGAATGATTTTTCCATGAATGTTCACATGGCATATTTGTTCATTCAGGTCTCCACCTACATGTCACTCAAGAGATCACCCTATCTAAAGTAGCACCTGAATCAAATTCAACTTTGTCACTCTATATCTTCTTACCTTGCTTTATTGTTTTCACAGTGTTTATTATTATCTGACATTATATATTTGATTTTTACTGTGTCTTCCCAATGAGAGTATGAATTTGAAGAGAATAGGGACTTTTTGTCTATTTTGTGTATTACCACTTTTCTAGCACTTAGAAGAGTGTCACTTAGAACACGTGTTGAGTAAATATTAGACAAATATTTATGTTTTACTTTCAGAAATTTCAGTTACAGATTTGAAAATATTAACTATTTCTGCAGTATTTAATTTGATAAGCTCTAATTTTTTTAAATGTTTGCCAATAATGACAATGCCCTGTTCAGTAAATTATTTTTGCCATGCTATACTAGAGCCACAGGTACCATCAAAAACAAAACACGTTTTTTGATCTGGCCCTATGTATTGACATTGTTGAGGGTTTTCACATACACCCCTGTGTAAATTCCTAGTTTCATCCTGAATTTTTCTATAGAATGCACACTTCCTAACAATCTCACAGCTCTAGCTCTTTGGGAACCTTCAAATTAGTTGCCTAATTTATAAAAATACATATTCTGACTAAAGAATTCCTGGAAACAATTATCAAGGTATTTTTTATTATTATCAAAAGGTATAGGGCCTTCCTGGTGGCGCAAAGGGTTAAGACGCAACCTACAAAGCTTCCACAGCCACTGCAGCACGAGTTCGATCCCCGACAGGCCAGGGAGTAACTTACATGGCTCTGCAGACCTCTCCTGACTCACCCGCTGCTCCCCTCAGCAGTGTATTTCGGTCAGTCTGCCTGTTCTGTTCCCAACCCTATCTCTAGTGAGTCTTCTTACCCCCCCACACCTCTGGCCTATACCCCAGTTCTTGTATGCATAAATAAATATTTAAAAAAAAAAGGTATGACAAAAATATTTGTATCGGGGCCTCCCTGGTAGTGCAAGGGGCTAAATCTCAGCACTATGAAGCTATTACCAGCCACTGCAGCACCAGTTCAATCCCCAGCCAGAGAGTAACCCTCATGGCTCAGCAGACCTCTCCTGTCTCACCCACTACTCCCCTCAGCAGTGTATTTCAATCATTCTACCTGTTCTGCCCCCCCCACTCTGTCTCTGATGAATCTTCCCCACCCCTCACCCCCATGCCACCCTGCACCTCTGGTCTACACCCCAGCTCTTGTATGCATAAATAAATAAAAATAAATCTTAAAAAAAAAATTGTGGGCCTTCCCAGTGGCATAGCGGGTTAAGCGCAGCACTGTGAAGCTGTCCACAGCCTCTGCAGCGTGGGTTCAATTCCCAGCCGGCCAGGGAGATAACCAGGAAGTTTTGACCATGACATATGCGTGTGTCTCCTCACAGACACTAAGTTGCAGAGGAATAAAACAGTAATTACTGGGCAACACCTTGACAGGATGATCAACTTAACATCACCTGTGTGCTACCAAAAACACAAATATATATAGCATCCACCAGAACATATAATTTCAGTTCAACCATAAGGATACATTAGATAAACACAAATGAAGAATATCATATTAAAAAATGGAAGAAAAGATTATTCTTCAAAAATGTCAATGTCCTTAGAAGTACTGAAATGCTCCAGATTAAAGGAGGCAATGTATATAATTATCTTGACTGTTTCTCATTTTATTACCTGAGGGATTAAGATACTAAAAACATTATAAGTAGTAACAAAAATTGTTATTTTTTTGTCACAGATATTCTCAATTATTGAGCAATATAAAGGAACACAAAAAGCATACCTGCAGTTGTGAACAGTGGGGAATTTTCCTTCGAGGTGGCGTTGGGAGAAATGAAGTCTGCTTCCTGACTGATTCTAATCGTTTCTGCAGAGGGGTGGCACCCACAAAGAACTCTTTAAGCTTTGAGGATGCACTTTGTCTAAGAGTCGATTCTGGCGTATCATAAGAATCCATGGTCTACAAAAAAAAAAAAAAAAAAACCAGAATTCTAAACACAAAAAAAATTAATCCATGCTTATAGTTTCACTGATTCTTCTCACTAATAGAGCAATTCTGTCCTTTTCCTCCCCCTACCAGTTTTAACTTTTCAACCAAGTCCTGTATTTCTCATTGGCAACAAGCTATTTTTCTGATTATCTTACAGATCCCCACACACAGTATGTTCAAAACTAAATTCAACTCCTTCCATCCTCTTCCTTCCAAAAGGTAGCAAGTCCATTTTCAAATCCTTATCAATGTTCTAAATTAACTTAAATTCATCTAAGTACTCTGCTACTTTCATTCCTATTCTGCAGTCATTAAGCACATACTTTTCTAAAGCATATTCTTTTGAGTATTTCATTCAAGTCTCTGTCTTCCATTCCTAAAGCTACTTTCTTAGCCAGATTCTTATTATCACAAATAAACATTTCCACACCTAGAGGAGTCCCTTTTTTTCAGAAAAACTTTAAATTCTAAACTTTTCTGCTGGGCATTTAAGGTTTTTCAGCATGTCCTATCCTTCCACTTCTAGACACAAACATTTTTGTCATCATGTTTTTAACCAATTAGTGTCCTTTTTATTAGTGTCCTTTTTTCATTCTACTGCCTTTAAAATCATGCTTCTTGAATTTGAACCCCTTTCAAGGAGGGTTTTAACCCTTTTCCCCAAAAATACCTACATTATACATACACTCTGTGTGTGTGTGCGTAGAGTGAGATCTCAGTATTTTTTAAGAGCCCTCTAGATAAGTCTAACAAAATCCTTCAAGAATGTTCTATAAAATCTTTGGAGTTTAATAATATGCCAGCCCACATGGCTCTTCTTGACCATTTAATTCTATACTATTCATTTGGCCTGTATTCATGTAATTTCTTGCGTTATTTTTCGGTGTGCATTTCTCGTCCTCCCAGCAATCTACTGTGACTGAAGCCACACTTTATATTTCTCACATATAATTAGCCAATATAGTGTTGCATCCCCTCTAACTGTTAAACAAGTGTTGTACAAAAATATTTCAGAGAGCTCCAAAATTCTAATTGAAAGAAATTATGCTTCATTGAAAGAAATTATGCTTCATTGAAAGAGATTATACTTTTAAAGCTATGATGCTAACTCCTAAGTACTGACACAGTTACCTTTTTAAAGAGTTTTTCAAAAGTGAAAAGTTGCATTTATTACTATAATTAAATTTCAGTATGCCAAAGACATATGTCTGTATCTTACACGAAACTCCATAAACTGAAAATATGGTCTCAAAGCTCATATAATGCCCAGAGTAAGATGTCAGATAATTTAAATAGTACCTACTATAAACCATTCAAACTTTAAATGTATACTGAATTGTCCACTTAAAGTGAAATTTTTTTTTTAAGGGCTAAGTGAAATTTATTTATTTATTTATTTATTTATTTTTTTTTTTTTTTGTGGGTCCCTCACCGGTGGCCAGGGATCAAACTGGCGCTGCAGAGGCTGCGGGCACCTCGCAACCCAGAGCTCAACCGCTGAGCCACCAGGGGAGGCCCTTAAAGTGAAATTTTATTTTTTTTTAATAAATTTTATTTTTATATTCCCCATACAATTGCATTCCCCTTATTTTGACCCCAATCCCTCCCCTCCCCACTCCCTACCCCCCATGGAGTGTCTCTGGTTCATAGTTTTTTGTTGATTTTGATTTTCTAAAGTGAAATTTTAATCAGACCAATCTACATAGAATGTTTCATTCAGATTTGTTATTTGGAATAATTGCTGATGCCTACTGAGTATTCATCATGTACATGGGATTTATCCAAGCCCTGAATAATAACAATCTCATTTACTCCTTAAACAATCTCAGATAGGGGTTATTATATTCTCAGTTGGCAGATGGGAAAACAGGGAAGTTAAGTAATTTGCCAGAGTTACAGAGTTAAAGAATGCAAAGGCCAGAATTTGAACACTAACTGGAGAGTGAATGTCCTTATCTACTACTTTAGCGAAGTTGTTAAGTAGGAATCACTTTTAAGGTAAAACAGGCCCTATTGAGTTTGACTCCTTAAAAGAGAAATGCTATGAGTTACCAAAAAAAAAAAATTTTTAAGTTTATCTCAATAAGAAAAGGACAATTAGTACTGACAGGGTTGGTTTTAAGATATTTCTTTTGAATATTTAGTATCATGGTACTATGAGAATAGCCCAATCCATGCATTAAGAATTAGAAAACAGGGCCTCCCCGGTGGCGCCGCGGTTGAGCGCTGGGTTGCAAGGCTGCCTGCAGCCTCTGCAGCGCTGGTTCGATCCCCAGCCACCGGGCGAGGCTCCCACATGGCGCTCAGACCTCTTCTGCAGCCCGCTGCTCCCCTCAGCAGTGTACTTTGTCAGTCTGCCTGCTCTGCTCTCCGCTCTGACTCTGGTGAATTCTCTCGCCCTCCTACACTTCTGATTGTACCCAGTGCTTGTATAAATAAATAAATCTTTAAAAAAAAAAATTGCTGACTTTAAAAAAGAATTAGAAAACAATTTATACCTATTTTACCTTCTCACTCCACACTTAATGATGTGCAACTTTCCCCTTAAATTTTTAATTTAAGAGGTTAAACATATACTTGACTCAATTTTCTTCCAACTGTAAGGAAAGAAGTCACTTATTTTTCTAATAAATTTAATCTGCCAACCAATATTATGGTTTGCCAAACCCTTTCACATTTCCTTAGACACCCCAACCGTTTATTTCAAGTCTCTCATTTTTATTCTCTACTCCATGGGCTACTTTTCTTTCACTGCGTATTAATATTTATTGCTTAAATCCATTCCATCTTACTCCTTTTGAGACCAGTCTCCTGAAAATAGGGCACACAATTACTTCCTCACTAGTAAATATGTATTGGACATTACACCTCTAAACTTTCTGAAACCTGTTTTTTCTGGCACTCAATTTTTAAGATTTTTTCCCTCTTCTTCTATCTTATGTTCCTGCTGATTCCTATTCCTCCTGTTGCAACAGGGTGTCCCCAGACACTGAAAACATTTACTCTGCATGACTCCTAAATCTCTATCTTCCTCAAAATTTGGCACTTGAATTTCTAATTTCTTGTATGATATTAAACTTTTGTGTCCTCAAACTAAGATCAAAGCTAAACATTATTTCACAATCAATCTTTCCTTCCTAACTACCTTGTTTCTCACAGTAATAATTCCACTCTTCTCATTTTTTCCATCCCTTACAATACACTTTATCTTTTACTTTTCGCTCAACTTCACTTTTCCATCCAAATGTCATCATTCTGACATTTCTTAAAAGGATCTGTGCTACTAGCTCCATCAGATTTGGCCTTCACTTGAAATAATTACGAATTTAATTACAGTCATTCATCTTATTCCCAGTCTTTCCCAATCCATGGCTAGATTTCTCACAGACACCACTTTCATCTTGTCATTACCTTGCTTGAGATCCTGTAACAATCCACACATATACTCCAAATGAAGTCAGAACTTTTCGGTCTGGATTTCAAAGCACTACAATACTTTCCCTTACCTGCTCCTATTCAGGTTCATTTTCTATTTTTACTTCCGTTCTTACCCTAAGATTAATGGACAAGTGAACTCTCCAAAAACCAATAACTTTCTAAGGTTATGGGCACAATGCTGTACGCACGTATAAGTGGTGTAGGAGAGGGGTGTGGAGAACGGGCCAGCAGACAACTCTTTTAAAGGGTTAAGAACCCCGCCCTACACCCAAACGTAGGCCCCCTACCGCTTAATGGTTCATTATCCTACAGCTCTTAGAGTTTTTCAAGTCTGTCTCTGCTCCCTGATTTTTTAGTCAGCCTACCACCAATTAAGAAAACTTCTCTCCCCATTTGTTTGAACAAATCCCGCCCATCCTGCAGGTTTCATCTCCTCAATCAAAGAATATCCATAGAATTAGCTCTCCATCACAGACATTCACAATAACTCAATTGTTTTTCCATGGTGAGTCCATGGAAGAAGGGACCCGATTTAAAGCACTTTTCTACACCGCCACCAATACCTAAATCCAACCGTCAATGCTTAGTCAAGTTGTAAGCACGCACGTCATGTGAATCATCTAAACACACAGGCATTGTAACGGTAACGACCACACGACAGGGTAAAATATAAAGTTTACTGCCAACTCGGGACCAGTACAACGCACCTTACCAATAAAATGCCGTAATGACGCTATTATTACCCATTCCGGCTTCACGAATCATTCTCCAAGTCTGGATCCAAAACTCTGTCGCGGATGAAATCCCTTGAGCTAAAAAAACTCGCTAAAATGACATTCCGGCCTACCGGATTCCTTCTCTGTCCACACCGCGGGCTCCCCAAGAACACAAACTCGGCGGGAAGGGGACCTCTGCTCCCTCCGACGCCAGGCCACCCCCGCGACTTCACCCTGGGAGGGACATTTCCGCTGACCCTCGCCCCGGTGGTGCCAAGAAGAGTCGGGATCAATGTGTCCCAAAACTCGACCTTCTTGACCAGAGCACGTCAGGGCCCAGGGCCCTTCCCGAAGCCCGCGGTTGAGAAGCGCCAAACTAGCCCTAAGCCGCCTACTTGGTTTAAAATCATTTCCCGACTCGCTCTGCGGCCGGATCAAGCGGCTTCCCTCGCGCCGATTCCCAGTCAAAGAAGCAACTAACGTCGCCATTTTAACTGAGGGCAAGGTCGAGGGCCCTAACCAAGAACGGTATTCACGCACCCGATAGTGCTCTTCCGCTCTTTCCCACCCGTGTGACGCGTTCCCTCAAACTTCCGCCCTCGGTAAGCATGGAGGCAGCATCTCCCGCTCTGATTGGCTGATTGTCTGCCCCGTAATCTTGGGCGCCCGGGGGCGAATGGACGAGCCCCTGAGTCCCGGCGGCGATCTGAGCGAGTGGGTTCCAGTTCTCCGAACGTTTTGAATTTGCTCGCGTTACTCATTCGGAAGACACGAAGTGGGCCGCCAGGTCTGGGAGATTTGAAACGCGAGACGCGTTCCTCTCAAGTTTTCGATTTGGCCTTCGAGATCCTTCCGCGAAGGGTGGAAGGAAAGGAAGGGCGCGCGCCTGCCTACTGACCCTCTCCACCTCTCTGCAAGGGCCCGACTCCCGCCTGGCGTTACTGTGAACTCCTTCTCATGGTCTCTGCAGACCGCAGCCTTTTTTGTTAATAGACGTGGAAACTGATGCTTGGACGGGGGATAAAAAGTTCTTTCCCTTACCCACTCATCCCCAAAGACATTGCAAATTTATCTAGTTGCTAGACACGTGTACGTGCATATTCCGCGGAGAAGGGCTTGATTATTGGAGAGAACAATGGGAACTCCTGGGTTTTTAAGACATTTCCGTGTATTTCCAAAACTAGCGACCACCATCCAACACCGGCAGCGTGGGATTCCTGAAAGGCTCTGGCCATCCTGTTGCTCCTACAGGCACTTCCATAGCTGCTTAAATCGGCTTAACCCGGGTTTATCCAAACCCTTCGGAAGGCCCACCCAGCTGATCTGCGGTTCTCTATCCAGAAGTCTGGTGCTGAGTTCAAAAAGGAGAAATCCAGGTGAAACTGTGTGGAGCACTTCCTCCTGATGCTTTTACTCCTTCTCCCCGCTAGTCTTGACAGCCTTGTGTGTAGAAGCAGATCATGCACTTTCTTCATTCTTTATATAATGTAGGTTTTTTTTCTTGGAGCTTTAAAAAAAGGCCAGAAAATTAACCACATGGGTAGGATATTCTACCGTTAGTTGATTCTACTAGTAAAAAGCCTAAAAACTTCGTTCACACTGACATCAAATAGTGATTCTCGTGTACTCTGATTCGTACTAAAGCTAAACTGTTAATTCACTATCAAACTTTTGTAATTCCTCAGATATTTCATTTGGGGAAGAAATGCTCAGTATTAAGAATAGGGTCATATTAGATCAATGCAAATGCTAAATGATAAAATCGTACTTCCAAAAATTTGCATTAAAATATTCACTTGGCTTTTGACACATTTCAAATTTAGTGATTCAAATTACATGTCTTTATAAATTTCATCCATTGACCTGAAATACCTAATAGGATGTGATTTGAGAGTATTTTTCAAGCAGTTTGCAAGTGATGTGCTTTTAATATTGCTCTTCTTTTTGTAAGAATTCAGTAGCTTTGTTGCCCGAACCAACACGTGTGGAGAGTTGCGTTCTTCTCATTTGGGTCAAGAAGTTACTTTGTGCGGATGGATCCAGTATCGAAGGTAAATTGAGGCAGATGGTTTAAGAATGCCTGGTGATTCTTCTCCAAGGCAGTTCCAAACCTTTATTGACTTTCACCAGTCGAAAGAATAAAAGGGTTTGCAACTCCTGCAGCAATTTCAGATTCATTGAATTTTCAATTTTGTATTTATTTTGAAAGATACACGCTTTTATTTTTTTTTTTTTTGATGTTTCTCATCCTTGCTCTGCATTTTATTTATTTTTTTTAATCTTAAATTTTATTTTTATATTCCCCCATACAATTGCAAACGCCCCATTCTGACCCCAATCCTTCCCCTCCCGCCCCCCACCCCCAAAAAGTGTCTCTGGTTCATAGTTTTTTGTTGATTTTGATTTTCACTTTCTTATATTCATTTTCCTGGTCCCTTATTTAAGTTTTATAGATTCCTGCTATGAGTGAGACCATCCGGTATTTTTCTTTTTCTTTTTGGCTTATTTCGCTGAGCATGATCCCTTCCAGCGCCATCTATGTTGCTGCAAATTGCATGTGTTTATCTTTTTTGAATGCTGAGTAATATTCCATGGTATATATGTACCACATCTTCTTGATCCAGTCATCTACTTTTGGGCATTTGGGTTGTTTCCAAAGCTTAGCTATTGTAAACAGTGCTGCTATAAACATAGGGGTGCAGGTGCTCTTTGGAATTGATGTTTCTGTGTCCTTTGGGTAAATACCTAGGAGGGGAATTGCTGGATCATATGGAAGCTCTATGTTTAGTAGGTCCAGAAATCTCCACACAGCTCTCCATAGTGGTTGGACCAGTTTGCACTCCCACCAACAGTGCAGAAGAGTTCCTTTTTCTCCACATCCTCGCCAACATTTGTTGTTGCTAGTTTTTTTAATATGTGCCATTCTCACTGGTGTGAGATGGTATCTCATGGTAGTTTTGATTTGCATTTCCCTGATTGCAAGTGATGTTGAACATTTTTTCATATGTCTGTTGGCCATTTGCATTTCCTCTTCAGAGAAGTTTCTTTTTAGCTCTTCTGCCCATTTTTTGACTGGATTATTTTCTTTGTTGTTGCTGAGTCTCATCAGCTCTTTGCAGATTTTTGTGATCAGTCCTTTATCATTAGTGTTGGGTGCAAAAATGTTCTCCCAGTTGGTGGATTTCTCTTTGTTTTTGTTATTGTCTCTTTTGCTGTGCAGAAGCTCTTTAATTTGATGTAGTCCCAGCTGTTTATCTTTGTCTTCACTATCACTGCTTTGGGTGATGTGTCTGTAAAGATGTCTTTGATGTGCAAATCCCGTAGTGTTTCGCCTATATTTCCTTCTATGTATTTTATGGTTTCAGGTCTTATGTCTAGTTCTTTAATCCATTTTGAGTTGATTTTTGTGTATGGTGTAAGGTAGTGGTCAAGCTTCATTCTTTTGCATGTAGCGACCCAGTTTTCCCAGCACCATTTCTTGAACAAACTTTCTTTGCTCCAATGCATAGTCTTTGCTCCTTTGTCAAAGATTAGTTGACCATAAATCTGTGGGTTTATTTCTGGATTTTCTATTCGATTCCATTGGTCTGTATGTCTGTTCTTGTTCCAATACCATGCAGTTTTGATGATTATGGCTTTGTAGTATAGTTTGAAGTCTGGGAGTTTGATGCCTCCATTTCCTTCTTTTTTTTTCAGTAGAGCTTTGGCTATTCGGGGTTTTTGGTGATTCCATATGAATTTCATCAATAATTGTTCTATTTCTTTGAAGAATGCCATTGAGATTTTGATTGGAATAGCATTGAATCTGTATATTGCTTTTGGTAGGATGGCCATTTTAATAATGTTTATTCTTCCAATCCATGAGCAGGGGATGTCTTTCCATTTCTTTGTGTCTTCTTCTATTTCTTTTAACAGTGTTTTATAGTTTTCTTTGTATAGGTCCTTTACCTCTTTTGTTAGATTTATTCCCAAATATTTGATTTTTTTTGTTTCAATAATAAAAGGGGTGGTTTTTTTGATTTCTTCTTCTTCAGATTTATTGTTTGTGTATAGGAAGGCTACTGACTTTTGCGTGTTGATTTTGTATCCTGCCACTTTACTGAACTGACTGATGAGTTGAATTAGTTTTTCTGTGGAGATTTTGGGGTTCTCTATGTATATTATCATATCATCTGCAAATAGTGATAGTTTGACTTCTTCTTTTCCTATTTGGATTCCTTGGATGTCTTTGTCTTGTCTTATTGCTCTGGCTAGGACTTCCAGTATTATATTGAAAAGCAGTGGTGAGAGTGGACATCCTTGTCTTGTTCCAGATCTTAATGGAATTGCTTTCAGCTTTTCACCATTGAGAATGATACTGGCTGTTGGCTTGTCATAGATGGCCTTTATGATGTTGAGGTATGTTCCTTGTATCCCAAGAATTTCAAGGGCTTTTATCATGAATGGGTGTTGCACTTTGTCGAAAGCTTTCTCAGCATCTATTGATATTATCATATGGTTTTTATATTTCTTTTTGTTGATGTGTTGGATAACGTTGATTGATTTTCGGATGTTAAACCATCCTTGTGCCCCTGGAATGAATCCAACTTGGTCGTGGTGAATTATCTTATGGATACATTGTTGGATTCTGATAGCTAAAATTTTATTGAGGATTTTTGCATCAGTGTTCATTAGGGAGATTGGCCTATAGTTTTCCTTTTTTGTGTTGTCCTTATTTGGTTTTGGTATTAGTGTAATATTGGCTTCATAGAACGTGTTTGGTACTGTCCCTTCCTTCTCAATTTTTTGGAAGAGTTTGTGAAGGATAGGCACTAATTCGTCTCTGAATGTTTGGTAGAATTCATTTGTAAATCCATCAGGTCCTGGGCTTTTGTTTTTGGGGAGGTTTTTGATTACCATTTCAATTTCGCTGCTTGTAATTGGTCTGTTTAGGTGTTCTATTTCTTCTTTATCTAGCTTTGGGTGATTGTAGAGTTGTAGGAATTTGTCCATCTCCTCTAGATTGTTGAACTTGTTTCCATATAACTGTTCATAGTAGTTACTGATTATTCTTTTGATTTCTGCTGTGTCCGTTGTGATTTCTCCTCTTTCATTTATGATCCTGTGTATTTGTGCTTTCTCCCTTTTTTCCTTTGTGAGCCTGGCTAGGGGTTTGTCTATTTTATTTATTTTTTCAAAGAACCAGCTCTTGGTTTCATTGATCTTTTGGATTGTTTTTTTAGTTTCAATTTCATTTATTTCTGCTTTGGTTTTTATTATTTCTTTTCTTCTACTGGATTTGGGGTTTTTTTGTTGTTCTTTTTCTAGATCTTTGAGCTTCGAGATTAGGTTGTTTCTTTGAGTTCTTTCTTGTTTTTTGATGTGAGCTTCTATTGCTATATATTTTCCTCTTATTACTGCTTTTGCTGCATCCCATACATTTAGGATATTGGTGTCCTCCTTGTCATTCAATTCAAAGAATTTTTTAATTTCTTCTTTGATCTCCTCATTAGTCCAGTGGTCTTCCAGTAGTGTGGCTTTTAATCTCCATGAGGTAGGATAGTTCCTTGCCTTCTTTTTATGATTTATTTCTAGTTTGATGCCTTCGTGGTCAGAAAAGATGGTTGGTATGATTTCAATCTTGGTGTATCTGTTGATGTTTGTCTTGTGCCCCAGTATGTGATCGATCCTGGAGAATGATCCGTGTGCGCTTGAGAAAAATGTGTACTCCGTTTTTTTTGGGTTTAGTGTTCTATAGATGTCTGTTAAGCCCAAATGCTCTAGGTCCTTATTTAGAGCTTTAGTTTCTTTACTTATTTTTTGTCTTGTTGATCTATCCATTGTTGATAGTGGTGTGTTGAAGTCTCCCACTACGTATGTGTTTTCTCTGATGTCTGTTTTCAGAGAGGACAACAGTTGTTTGATATATTTTGGTGCTCTTTAGTTTGGTGAGTATATGTTAATGAGTGTTATTTCTTCTTGAAGTATTGTCCCTTAATCATAATGTAGTGACCATTGGGGTCTCTTTTTATTTTTTTGAGTTTGAAGTCTGTTTTATCTGATATAAGTATAGCTGTTCCTGCTTTCTTTTTTGGCCCATTTGCTTGTAGGATTGTTTTCCATCCTTTGACTTTGAGCCTATTTTTATCTTTTGTAGCTAAATGTGTTTCCTGGAGACAGCAAAGGGTTGGGTTTTGTTTCTTAATCCAGGCTGCAACTCTGTGTCTTTTTATTGAAGAGTTTAGTCCATTTACATTTAGAGTTAATATTGATATGTTAGCATCTGTATTTGCCATTATGTTTGTCTTTCCTTTGATTTTATTTATTCTTTTAATAACTTTTTTTTTTTTTTTGGTCTTCTTTCGTTGTTATTCGTCCCTCTGAGGTTCTGGCTTTAGGATTCCTTGTAGTATTTTTTGGAGTGGGGTTTATTCGTAATGAAATTCCGGAGTTTCTCTTTGTCTGGGAAGGTCCATATTCTTTCTTCATGGAGGAAAGAGAGCTTTGCGGGATAGAGTATTCTTGGTTGGCATCTGTTTTCTTGGAGTCTGTTGACTATGTCTCTCCACTCTCTCCTTGCCCGTAGTGTTTCTTCAGAGAAGTCTGATGTCAGCCTGATTGGTTTTCCTTTGAATGTTATCTGTTTCTTCCCTCTTGTCAGCTTCATTATTTTTTCCTTGTCCTGGATTCTTGGGAGCTTTACTATTATGTGTCTTGCTGTGTTTTTCCTTTCGTCGTGGAAGTTTGGTGTTCTTCTTGCTTCTTGTATATCAATTTTCAGCTCCTTCTTCACATTTGGGAAGTTCTCTTCAATTATCTCCTGGAATATTTTCTCTGTTCCTACATCTCTCTCCTCTCCTTCTGGAATTCCTATAACTCTTATATTTCCTTTCCTCATGGAGTCAGATAGTTCTCGAAGTCTTTCTTCATTCTTTTTCCTTTGTACTTCTCTTTCCTTTTCTGTTTTGGTTCTTTTTATTTCTGTGTCTTCAAGAGAACTTATTCGTTCTTCCATTTCATCTATTCTGCTTTCCTTGCTTTTCCCGGAGTTCTTTAGTTCCTCCATTAATTCTTTGATCTCCTGCATTTCTTTTACTTCCCTCTTTAGGGACTCAATTTCATTCTTCTGACCATTGTTTTCCCTCTTTAGGGACTCAATTTCCTTCTTCTGATCTATCACTTTTTTAATCATGGCAATTTTAAATTCTCTTTCTGGAAGGCTCAGAAGTTCTTCCAAGTTGCTGTCGTTGCAATCTGGGGAGTGGTTTTCTTTTTGTGGTGTGCTTCTTTCCTGAGGAGTTGTTAGGTTGCGTGTGGTTCTTCTACTCCCTACTGTCTGTTTTCTAATTTGTCGTATGCGTTGGGACACTGTGATGCTCGGACTGACTGGCATCTTGGGTGAACTTCTCCGCTCCCCTCTGGCTCTTCCAGGAGCCATCTCTGCCTTCTGGGGGAGCTTCTGCTGGTTTTAGGCAGTTTTTACTGAAGAAATGTCCCTGTTCTCAAATGGCGAAGCGGGATGCAGTCCCTGCGCCTCCGGTTTCAGGCACACTCTTCTGCGCACCCGGTCTGCCCCGGACGTGGGTGCCTGCTCCCTCTGTGGGCTCAGACTGCTGGTCGGAAGGGGCCTGGCGTGGAATAACTTCCCGGCTGGCCACTGCAGAAGCCTTCTGCCCTTTTCAAGCAGTCTTAAGAAATTTCCTGTTCTATGGGGTGTTAGTGACTTTTTTTTTCCTGGTCACTAGGTGGCGCCAGAGATCTCTCCTATTGTCCTTGGGGGGCTGTTTTTCGTCCCCCCCACCCCGTGGGACAGGGAACAGAGCGGGAATGGTAGGGTACACCTCAACAGCTTTGGGGTGCTGTGTCTGCCTTGTGCCCCACCGTCGTGGAGAACCCACGCCCCGAATTTTCGTGCCCCGGGTCTCAGTTCAAAGCCCTCAGTTCCAGGACGCGGGCTGTAGCCCAGTTCAGTGGCGCAGGAATGGCGCCTTTTGCACTGCTCCCGTGCCCGGGTGCCTGGTTCCTGCTCACTCAGGGAGGGACCTTCACCTCAGTGAGCACCTCCGCGCGTCTCCCCGCAAGCCTAGGTCGTCTCCCCGCAAGCCTAGGTCGCAGGCGCGGGTACCTGGGCAGCCGCGATTCCGGTCTGCACTTGCTTTTCAAGTGCGCTGAGCGCACCGCGTTTCCGCGCCAGCTTACCGGCAGCCCGGGCTGTGTGCGCGTCTCCCGGGGTCTTTGTTCTTCTCTAATGGCGCCCGGAGCCGTTCGCTCACCGCCACGGCGGATCCTGCAGGGTTCGCCTCAGCTCCCGTTCACGGGGTGTGGTGGCTGCAATAGTTCCTTTCCACTCATGGTCCCGCTTGCTGCGTCGTTTGTTCTTGTTGGTTGTTTTGGTTTTTTGTTTCCCTCCTCTCTGCCTGTCGGAGAGTGCCGCCTCTGTGGCGGGGGAGGGGAGCAGGGTTCTGCGCTTCCCTCCCTTCTGGTCCTCTTTTATGGCCACTTTCTTCTTCAGGTAGTTTGCTGGAGTCACCCGTTTATCTTCCGTGTCCCAGTTCTCACTGGGACCTGCCGCTTTTCCTCCCTATTAACTTTTCTTAATGGGAGATCTTACTCGCAGTGTCTCCTCGCCGCCATGTTGCTCCGCCCCCTTCGACACACGCTTTTAAGTATCAGTAACTGAAGGACAAAATAATGAACTGTGACCCCCAAAAGGACTGAAATGTCCTTGGGCTTATGAGTTTCTAAGACCAGTAGTTGAGAATGGGCCAGTTGTTATTAAAATTAAGTAGAATGAAATAACTTATTTTAGTCTAAATCTAGGTAGAGTAAAAAAAAAAACAACCTAAAAACATCAATAGTGATTCTGTAAAATTAGAGCCCCTAGTATTATTCATCTCTATATTGCCGAACATACTTGAATAGTGTGTTAATTTACAATGATATGATCCAAAATGAATAAATTGTACTACCTTCCTAAAGAGTATGTCCTACATGGGTAGATGTTTGACCCATAAAATTGGTGACTTTATTATCTGATTTGAGGCGTCTTTCTGTACGTCTTCCTGGTACAAGCACCGAGAAATGTAGGCTGAATTATAAAATGTTGGGATTCTTGGCCCTTTTGATGATTTATAGAGATGTAAAACTGATGTGTGGACCGAAAGGAAATTTTATAATTTTTTTTAAGAAAAGACTTTATAATGCTGTGTTTCAAAAATGAAAAACGAGATGTTTCTTAATATCCTAAAATATTCTCTTTGGATTTTTATATATATTCAAAGTTTCCAAATTTGGTAACATTCTTCTTATAAAGATCTAAGTCAGTCCTCCCCGGTGGGGCAGGTCTTAAAGTCTCAGTACTCTCAAGCTATTGCCAGCCACTGCAGCCTGTGTTCTATCCCAGCCAGAGAGCTAACCCACATGTCGTGAAGCAGACCTTTTCTCTTGCACCTGCTGCTCCCTTTAGCAATGTATTTCAGTAAATCTGCCTGTTCTGTTTCCCACTCTGTCTCTGGTAAATCCTCTGACCGCCTGCACCTCTGATTTACACCCCAGTTCTTCTATGCAAAGATTAAAAAAAAAAAATCTAAACCAATGAAAATTTAAAAAATGTATAAATCTGCCTTTTTAATAAGCCATCTGAATACCATTAGTAAGTTGCCTGTATAGCTAATAAAAATTGAAAATAAAAGTTTGTTTTCATTATTAGGTACATAGATAACGATTGCATGAATGTAGCTAATGAAAGCACATAATGTATTACTAAAAAGGAACATGACAAGCTACCTGTTTTTGTTGTTTAATTTGTTTTATTTGCTAAAGTTTTGGACTTACAGATTTTATCCTAATGTGTCCATTTTCTTCATTAATCAGACAAAACATCTTCCTGGTGCTAAGAGATTTCCACGGGCTTGTTCAAGTTGTCATTCCCCAGGATGAGGTAATGGAAGGTGTCCTGCTGTTATGTGAAAGTCTCTTTGATGCTATGGTTAGAGTAACCTAGATTATGTTAGATTAGGATACTTGAGGTTTTAACTTCAGAAGTTTATTAGTGAAAGCTAAAAACTACCATAAGCAACCTTAAGGCAAATGATAAACTAGGAAAAAATATGTACAACTTGTATCATAAAGGGCAAATATCTGAAATTCAAAAAAAAAAAAAAAAACCCAGTGATCTAGTAGAAACAGGAACCCAGAATATGACCCTATAAAATTTATAGAAAAGAAAATATAAATGACTTATATTCATGAAAATATGCCTAACCTCACTCTGGTGGAGAAATGTAAATTATAACTAAACAGAATTGTTACTTTTGACAACACGTTGGATTGACAACACATTGGGAAAAACAAGTGTACATTCCTGGAGGGAGGAGTACAAATTGACAGTAGATCTATGGAGAGTCATGTAGCAAAATCATATTATGAATGCATATGTGCTTTGAACCATTCATCCCATTTCTAATGAGTTGTCTCACAGCTAGACTTACACAGATGCAAAATGACGTAAACAGAAGGTTATTCCCTGCAGGATTAATTTTAATAGAAAAAAATTTCAGGAATTACCTACATACCCCCATAAGAGATTGGTATAAAAAATAATATACATCCTTATGTATAAACTATAGAAAAAGGATTAGAGAAGCTCTTTTTTTAAATATATTATGTATGTGTGTATATATATATATATATATATATAGTATATTTTTCACAGTAGAACTGGGGTATAGGCCAGAGGTGTGGGGGGCCATGTGTGGGTTAGTTCCCTGTCTGGGAATTGAACTCACGCTGTAGTGATGATAGCTCTGAGAATTAACCCTTAGGCCACCAGGGAGGCCCGAAAAAAGCTCTTTTGGTACTAATAGAAGGAGGAGCAAAGGAAATCCAAGGTATTGTATATTTCATGGGGATACATAATAAAAATGGGTACAGAAGGGCATGTAGAGTGCTGTCATCTGTAGAAAAAAGGGTATGTGTATTAAAATAATGTGTCTGGAAGGATACAGAAGCATCTGGTAACATTGATAACCTCGGGGGAGAACTGAGGGACCAAAAGACATGGAAAGGGGGGAGAATTTTCACCTTCTATCTGATTGTACCCTTTGAATTTTGAGCCATGTAAAGGCACTCCCCGATCAAAAAATAAATATCATTAAAAGAGAAAAAACTCTGTCATGCTCATTTGGCAGCATTGGTTTTTATTGTAGACATTTATACAATTACTTGTATGCGTAAGATAATAGTGATTTACTCAGCTCTTAGTGTTTAATATAAGTAAGGAGCAATCATTTCTCTTTCAGATCTGGATCATAGCTAACTCAGGAGAACTCATTTCACTTGGACTCCATTATTACTATTAAATTTAACTACTCCTAAGACGGTTCCCTTTAAAACATGTGGGTCTTGTTGGCATTGAGTCCTTCTTCTTATTTTACTTTGAGGAAAAAAATTAAAACTAACTCTTAACTAATGCTTTACTTGCTGTTTTATATGGAGCCAAAATGGGAATGCGCTTTACCAAATTCTTTCATCAAGGGAAGGGCCCATATTTATGAAAATTAACCTATGATTATTAACATTTTTCTAAACCATAAACAGTTACTGCAGAGTCCTTTAAATTCATTTGTTTCTTGAAACTCTTTTCTCCTCGTATTCTGCAGTCAGCTGTGAAGAAGATTTTATCTGAAGCCCCAGTGGAATCTGTGGTACAAGTGTCTGGGACAGTCATTTCTCGACCTCCAGGACAAGAGAATCCAGTTAGTAGCTTAGAAACTATGTAAATGTTATCTGTATGCATTTATACTGTGTGTCCATCTGTTCAGACATAGAAGCTAAGCACTTCTGAACATTAGGCACTAAAGCTCTATAAACTCTATAAGTAAACCTACAGATTCAAAAATTTCACTGCAAATGCACACACCTATATAACTATGTATGTTAACACATTTGTTAACAAGCACCTCAGCCACATAGCCTGAGGAATGTCCAAATCATGCACAGACTTGCTGAAGCACCTGCATATTTTACATACATGAACAAATGCTTGAGTTCTGCAAACTCCTGATCTGTACATGGTCCTGATGAGTCATGTTTTTAAATTGGTCTTTTATCTCTCTTTAAGAAAATGCCAACAGGTGAGATTGAAATCAAAGTGAAAACAGCTGAGCTGCTGAATTCCTGCAAGAAGCTGCCCTTTGAAATTAAAGACTTTGTGAAGGTACCATCCTGTTATTAATAAAATAGAGTATCTAGAATATGCTGATGATTAGTAAGATATTTTTGGAGTTTTTTTAAAGGAAAAGTTGAACTTTTACAAGAATAAGAATTTTTTTAATAGATGTATCATGAGTTATTCAGTTAGCTCTTGTAGGGGCAGGAAGGAGCCTCTGAGCAGGTTTTCTATGATCCAGCAGACCGGGTAAAGGAGGAGTCCTCAGTGGCTTTTGCAGGTCTTTTATTTAGATTTACCAGGCATATGGCAGGCAGGGGTGCTGGGGGGCCGGGAGGCTGGCAGTCCTCCCGGCTCCCAGCAAATCCTCACTCTATCTGGGTTCTCTGGCGTTCTCTCTGCTTCTCTTCTTCTTCTCTCGGCTTCCGTTCGTTCTTGGTTTCTGCTGGTATCCCCGCAACACTGCCCCTAAAAGCCCAGTCTTAGCCCAGGTGAATCCCATCTACCTATGCCCACAGCCCATTCCAGGTGCCCGCCATCAGGCATGCATTCAGGACCACAGGGTTCTCTCATCTATCCTAATGGCGGGAGGGCAGAAAAGCTTGATACTTTTTACCTTACCCTGCACTCTACGATTTCTTTGCAAACTACTCAAAATAGCAACAGTTCAGTAAGCTGTTATAGTCCCTAAACCACTGTATTGTTTTTTCAGACAACTTGAAACTTAGCTCTATCTTTAGGACTTGGGGTATTGTTGAAATGTTTTTGTTACCTTGTTTTACATTTTGGAAGGAAATCTATGTCTAGCTTGGAAGTGTCCAAATGGCATAAAGACATAAGAGATCCTGCACCTCTTAAGTTCAGGTGATAAAAAGTGATAAATGTTTGCTTGACTTTGCAAGTATATAAATAGGGTTACTGAAGTTTGGGATGTTCTTTGCCAAAATTTCAGGAGGTGAGGGAGCACTAGATAAGTATACCCAGATAATTTTCAGCTTTCACACAATTATCTAAGGTCTATATTTGTAAAAAGAGCTATCAAGGGATGTGTAAAGTCATTGCACAGTCACTTGGTTTTACATTTAAGTTCCCAGTATTTAATCTTTTAGTCAGAAAAAGAAGTAAAATTTCAGAGTTCACTTTACTGTGAAAAAAAGAAGGAAATATACAGTATGCCCCCCATTAAACTTCCAGAAAGAGAAGTTTCAGATAGGTCTTCTGTTTCTATTATCAGAGAAATCAGAGAAATTAACTTACTCGAAAAGGCCTTTTTGAGAAGGTTGTCAGTACAAGGAGAAATCCCGGGTTTACAGCCTTCAAAATAAGCAGACCTCATGGGGTTCCCACTAGCGTAGCTGTCGTGACTCTACCACTCCCTTGCATTTCTCACACTCACACCTGTAGTCCCATTCAGGTGATAAAGTTGTGGCTATGTTTTTTTTTTTTTTTTTAAAAGGAACTGAACATTTCTTTTTTTTTTTTTTTTTTTTTTTTTTTAAAGATTTATTTATTTATTTATACAAGCACTGGGTACAGTCAGAAGCGCGGGAGGGTGAGAGAATTCACCAGAGCCAGAGCGGGGAGCAGAGCAGGCAGAAGGACCGAAGTACACTGCTGAGGGGAGCAGCGGGCGGCAGGAGAGGTCTGCGCGCCATGTGGGACCCTCCTCCGGTGGCCGGGGAGCAGCCGGGGATCGAACCGGCGCCGCAGAGGCTGCGGGCAGCTTCGCAAGCCAGCGCTCAACCGCTGCGCCACTGGGGAGGCCCTGTGGCTATGTTTTTGAGAGCTAAAGTTTTTGAGAAACTCAAATTCTATCTAAAGGTAGTATCTTTTTTTTTTTTTTTTAAGATTTATTTTTATTTACACAAGCACTGTCAGAAGCGCAGGAGGGTGAGAGAATTCACCAGAGCCAGAGCGGGGAGCAGAGCAGGCAGACTAAGGTACACTGCTGAGGGGAGCAGCGGGTGGCAGGAGAGGTCTGCTCGCCATGTGGGACCCTCCTCCGGTGGCCGGGGAGCAGCCGAGGATCGAACCGTCGCTGCAGAGGCTGCGGGCAGCTTCGCAACCCAGCACTCAACCGTGCCACCGGGGAGGCCCCTAAAGGTAGTATCTTTTTAACGTTTGAGAAATCACTAACCATAATAATCTTTAAATTTGTTTAGAAAACAGAGGCTCTTCGCTTGCAGTATCGCTACTTAGACTTGCGTAGTTTTCAAATGCAGTATAACCTGCGACTGAGGTCCCAGATGGTTATGAAAATGCGGGAATACCTCTGCAATCTGCACGGTAAGGGAAAGGCCTGAATGTTCTTCTGTTTTAGTCAGCAGTTGTATTGTGTCCTCTCCTTACTATCATTGGGTGAGATGTTGCCAGATATCTGGAATTCTCTTATAAGATATTACCAGAAAGAAAAGAAAATACCGGATGGTCTCACTCATAGAAGGAATTTAGAAAACCTAAATAAGGGACCAGGAAAAAGAATAACTATAAGAAAGAAAAAATCAAAATCAACAAACAACTATGAACCAGAGACACTCTATGGGGGTGGGGGGAGCAGGGAAAGGAGGGATTAGGATTAAAATAAGGGGGGGTGCAATTGTATGGGGAATACAAAAATTTAAAAAATTAAATTAAAAAAAGAAAATCAGTAAAATTCTTTGGGATAAAAAAGGATATAAATCAGTTTTTGAAGTAAGGTTAATTTCCAGGTGTTTTGTACTAGAGCATAATTTAGTAACTTGTTCCCTATTGGGTCTTTTAAAGGTAACAGTGCCTATTAGATTGTATTTCCTATCACTATTAAAGGTAGGACAGACCTACTTACGGTTATCTTTAAGTTATCTTAATTCTTTAAGCTTATGTATCGCTTTGGGTCAGCAATAGTATGTAATTTAACAATTTGATTAGTCCTGGTATATTTTCTATTATTTTTGTGTTATTTTTTGCTACACTGGCAGAACATTTAGGAAATCAGAATAATTTGAGACAAAACTCCATCAAATAGAATTATTTCCTAACCAAAGTATCAACTTTATGAACACAATGGGATTTTATGAAAATCTTCAGCTTCTTTCTTGGATTTTTAGAAACCAGCATCAGTAGGCTTCATAACTAACTTCAGTCACAATTCATTATTATAGGTAGCTTCAGGGACCTCCCTGGTGGTGCACGGGGTCAGGTACAGCACTGTGAAGCTCTCGGCAGCCACTGCAGCATGAGTTCAATCCCCAATCCCTGGCCAGGGAGCTAACCCACATGGCGCAGCAGACCTCTCTTGTCTCGCCTGCTGCTCCCCTTAGCAGTGAATTTCATTCAGTCCACCTGCTCTGCTCCCCACTCTGTCTCTGGTGAATCCTCTTACCCCCCCCCCCCCCGCCACCGCACCTCTGGCCTATACCCCAGCTTTTGTATGCATAAATAAATAAAAAACAAATCTTTAAAAATAAATAAATAAAGGTAGCCCCAGATTTGTTGATGTGTGCTATAGACATTTTATTTGACAAGTTCCTGCCATGTTTCTTTATAGGATTTGTGGATGTGGAAACGCCAACATTGTTTAAGAGGACTCCAGGGGTATGTATATTCCTTAAATCACCCTACATTAGTTATGAAACTTGACCACTTTGCTTTTATACTCACATGGTCATATTTATTTTACTACCTCAGGAAGATCTTGTTAACTAGGTTTTCTTAAGAGTTGAGAAAATTTTATGGATCAGTATTTTGTGGTTTTTTTTTTTTAACCCAGCCAGGTTTTTTTTGGTTTTTTTTTTTTTAAAGATTTATTTATTTATGCACACAAGAACTGGGGTATAGGCCAGAGGTGTGAATGGTGAGAGGATTCACTAGAAACAGAGTGGGGAACAGAACAGGCAGATTGACTGAAATACAGTGCTGAGGGGAGCAGCAGGTGAGTCAGGAGAGGTTTGCTGAGCCATGTGGGTAGCTCCCTGGCTGGGGATCAAACTTGTGCTGCAGTGGCTGCGAACAGCTTCATAGGTTGTGTCTTAACCCCTTGCGCCACCGCGGAGGCCCTTGGTTTTTTTTTTTTTGAAGATTTATTTACACATACAAGAACTGGGGTACAGGCCAAAAGTGCAGAGAGTGAGAGGATTCACCAGAGACAGAGTGGGAACAGAAAAGGCAGATTGACTGAAATACACTGCTGAGGGGAGCAGCGGGTGAGACAGGAGAGGTCTGCTGTACCAAGTGGGTCACCTCCCTGGCTGGGGATCAGACTCGTGCTGCAGTGGCTGCCTATAGCTTGATCACGCTGTCTTTAAGCCCTGCGCCAACAGGGAGGCTCCTGGATCAGTATTTTGAGTCAGAATTCTTTTATTCGACATGAATTAGGAATTATTGAGATAGGATTTGATGTGCAAAATTCTTCTAGCCAGTGTCAAATTGGGAATTCATTTCAATCTATATATATTTAATAGCTACTACATATAAGCAGTATTTAAGGTCTACCATATACAAGCCTTGGAGGCATAAAAATTTGGGAACTTTGCTCTTTAGTTAATTTCACTAATGGGTTTGTTTTTTAATTATCTCTGCTTTTCTTCTCTCTCTTTAAAAGGGTGCAAAAGAGTTTGTAATACCATCCAGGGAGCCTGGCAAGTTTTATTCTCTCCCTCAGAGTCCTCAACAGTTTAAGCAGCTTTTGATGGTTGGAGGTTTAGACAGGTGAGCTTGATGCTAGTAGTTGTCACAAAAAGAAAAGAGGAAAAAAAGAAAAAGGAAACACAAAATTGATCTTTTAAAAGAATTCTAGGAAATGTATGAGTTTGGAAATACTTTTAAAATACCCTAAAAATAGGTAGTCAGCATTTAAAAAAGATTTACTTGGATTTACTTGATGACCACCATGTGCAAAATTCTATGTCATTACATGTTTCAGGGGATTAAAAAAAACCAAAAGGTTGTTTTGCTCTTTAAGAGTAGGAAAGTAAATATTAAGAGGTTTAAAATTACATTGTCTGTGGAAATATAGAAAATTTCGTGAGCAAGGCCTTTCTGCTGATGAAGATGAGAGTTAGCACAAGGAAGTTCAAGTATATTCATGAAGCAAGAGGTGTTTCAATTTGACTGAAGCAGAAGAGAATGTATAAAGAAGTATGGACTGCCTTGCATACCAGTCTGATATATGTGAATACCCAAAGGTGCTGTTATGTATTTTTAAAGCAGTTATATAGAATAATTAACTTTTCCTGGGTCAGCAATATGTTTGACTAGATTAAAGCATCATAAAGAATTTAGAAATTTCTTATGTTCTTTAAGCAACATTATTAATCTGTTTCATAGCCTGGCATGCCATGAATTTTTGGGAGAAATTGTGTGTGCTTCCTGAAATCATGATTCAGTTAACAACACTATTTTTCAATTACAGATATTTTCAAGTTGCCCGATGTTACCGGGATGAAGGTTCGAGACCAGACAGACAGCCTGAGTTTACTCAGGTACTCATTTATATTCATTTGTCTCTTACGGGTGAAAGCTTGGTATAACCAGTTATTCAAGAAGAGGGCAGTAGTTATTATCCACTGTAATATTTCTTGTTACATTTTATCCATCAGATATTTAATTAAACAAACCTCCAATTAAGGTACTATTTAATTTTGATCCATTTCATGTATCCTTTTTATAAGGAGTATGTTATCAACCAAGGAATGCCAAAATTTCATAGTGTTTTAATGTTCATGGTATGATAAAGTTCTTAAATCATGTGTACATTAAAAACCAGCAATTCTGGGCCTCCCTGGTGGCACAGCGGTTGAGCACTGGGTTGCAAAGCTGCCCGCAGCCTCTGCAGCACTGGTTTGATCCCCGGCCGCCGGGGAGGGCCCAACATGGTGCGCAGACCTCTCCTGCCGCCCGCTGCTCCCCTCAGCAGTGTACTTCATCAGTCTGCCTGTTCTGCTCTCCACTCTGGCTCTGGTGAATTCTCTCACCCTCCCGCGCTTCTGACTGTACCCAGTGCTTGTATAAATAAATAAATAAATCTTTAAAAAAAAAAAAAAGGCAATTCTGTACATTGATATTTAATCTGCAGTTTCATAAAGCTATTATGGTTTCTGCATGATACCTCATAAATCACTGTGGTTAAGTACAAAAATCATAAGCTTTTGAGTAGGAGAGCCCTGGGGTCAAATGTAGATTCAGTATTAAGTAAACTCACATATATAGGCAGGTTAACCTCTTTGAGCCTTAAGCCATGACATAGTCATGGGAACTAAATAAGTTGATGTATGTAAAGCATTAGCATGGTGCCTGACATAAAACAAGGGTACAATAATGACTATATCAACACTTCCCCCCATGTATTAAGTATATGTGTGCAGATTCCAATGGTAATTGGAGAAATAATGAATGTATACATACTACTATTGTGACTGTTCAAGTTAGTTGTGTTATTTTGGTTTCAGATTGACATAGAGATGTCTTTTGTAGACCAGACAGGGATCCAGAGTCTAATTGAGGGTTTGCTCCAGTATTCTTGGCCCAGTGACAAAGATCCTGTGGTAGTTCCTTTTCCATCTATGACTTTTGCTGAGGCCCTGGCCAGCTATGGAACGGATAAGCCTGACACTCGCTTTGGGATGAAGGTACTTTTCTGCATATTTCCAGGACTCTGCTTCCAAACAGTTCATTAGTCTTTGTTTGAGCCACTTCAAAATTTACAACCACATTTCTCTTGTAAGGATATTCTTCAGATATTTTTAACTCCTTAGTTCAAAGCACAAACTGGTTAAAGCTGAGAAGTGTTAGATCATACTTTTTGTTATCAAGCTATTGCAAGAAAGAATAATAGCATGCTAGCTTTGCAATACATTTTTTTTTTCTATCTACTGTGTACCAAGAGCAGGGTTCTTAATAAAGTTTTTGTTACTGACAACGTATTAATTACAAGGATATTATTGGTAACTTGGAAGGGAAAAAAATGACTATTTTTCCTCTTCAATTTTTCTTAAGCCAAAATGACACTTGGAAGCAAATGATTAAGAGTTATTTATTCTTAACTACTCAGCTGTTAAAAGAGATGAAACAGTGTCTTTTGGAATAATATGGCTAGATCTTGAGGTGATTATGCTAAGTGAAATAAGTCACCAGATGGTTTGACTCAGTTGTGGAATATAAATAATGAAAAAACAAATGGCAAAACACAACAAAAAGAAATCTAGAGTCTGAAAAAACATGCTAGCTACTGCAGTGGAGAGAAGTTAGAGGGGATAATGAAATAATATATGGGCACTGGGGCTTTAGTGGAGGGAGAAGGAAGCATATGAACATATTGAGGCATGATATAATCCCCAAATTATATAATATTGCAAACTAATGGCAAATCAATAAATTTTGATATGAAAGAGGAATTATTTGTTCTTTTTCCCTGATCTATAAAAGAGCTCAAACATATAACGCTTACTCAAATTACTAAAACTTGTACGTATTTCAGTAAAGGTAGAAGTTATATAAGCTGTTTCCATTATCAAACTTCTCATAATTTGCTCTTAGAGAGCAATATCCTTTCATCTTTGTAATGCTAATGACATTTCTGTGTCTTAGTTCACAGCGCAGATTTCTTAGAAATTTAATTTTGCTGACCTATGAATAAAGCTCAGTTCTTAGAATGACAAAAATATAATACACAAAAAATCATGACTGCTTACTTAGAGCTGCCAACTTAACCATTCCTCTTTTTAGCTTTTGTAATATGAATAGTGTTTCTTAAGTCAGACTACATAGGTTAGTCAGACTACATAGGTTAAATTCTGGCTCTGCCACTAAATAACTTGTCAGCTTAGACAAGTTACTTCCTTCTCTGTCTTGGTTATGTTAGTTGGAGATAACAAGAGTACCCACCTCCTACTCTGTTGTCATGATGGATTTAACTAACACTAATGAATAATATATTAGTGCTAATATTAGCACTGGCCTTAGTGCCCATCCCATACTCCATGAATGCACTCTGTTAATGTTAATTTACTAAGAGCTATACTCTTATTTAGAATGTTGTTTGTAAAATGTTTTGAGATCAAAATTACTTCACGTATAGTTACCTTTCTTTGTTATCCATTTTCCAGATTGTAGATATCAGTGATGTGTTCAGAAACACAGAGATTGAGTTTCTTCAGGATGCACTTAGTAAACCCCAAGGAAGCGTCAAAGCCATACGTATCCCTGATGGAACAGTAAGTGAAGCGCAACTCACTGTTTTCTCTAGAATGTATATTTGGGGTGTAAATATGTTCAATGCTGGCATATTGAAGCTTCAGAAAGAACAATTCTCTTGGGGGCCTCCCCGGTGGCGCAGCGGTTGAGCCCTGGGTTGCGAAGCTGCCCGCGGCCTTTGCAGCGCCGGTTCGATCCCCGGCTGCTCCCCAGCCACTGGAGGAGGGTCCCACATGGCCCGCAGACTTCTCCTGCCGCCCGCTGCTCCCCTCAGCAGTGTGCTTCGGTCCTTCTGCCTGCTCTGCTCCCTGCTCTGGCTCTGGTGAAATCTCTCACCCTCCCGTGCTTCTGACTGTACCCAGTGCTTGTATAAAATAAATAAAAATAAATCTTTAAAAAAAAAAAAAAAAAAGAAAGAACAATTCTCTTAAATAAAATTTTTATATAAAGTTCAACATTGTCCCTAAAGTTATATATAAGTAGGAAATAATAAAATCATATAAATACACGTTTATACTCAGATATAGAGCCTTTTTTCCTTTTAAATGATGCTCCTGGGCCTCCCTGGTGGCACAGCGGGTTGAGCGTCGCACTGTGAAGCTGTCCACAGCCTCTGCAGCATGGGTTCCATTCCCGGCCAGCCAGGGAGAAACCCACATGGTGCAGTAGACCTCTCCTGCATTGCCCGCTGCTCCCTCAGCAGTGTCTTTGGTCCGTCTGCCTGTTCTGCTCCCTGCTCTGCTCTGGTGAATTCTCTCACCCTTCCGCACCTCTGACCTGTACCCCACTCCTTACGTTGAGTGGAAAATAATTTAGTATCCATACTCTACTGTAGACATAATAAATGTATTGAGGTAAGTTATATGTGACATATATTATCTACTCCAATTAGAGTATGCCCATTCTTCCCCTAGTAGATTATAAGAACTGCAGGGTTGTGAACTATGTTTTCATCATTTGTATCTCCCATACCCAGTTAAGTACCCTAAGAATTACAGTTAATGATAAAAACCATAGTGTCTCATTGAGATAATTTAGAAAAAAATAAGATATAAAGACGTTTCAGAAACCTGAAATAACTCATTCTGAATCTTCTTTATTTTCTTAAAGTTATTGTTTTAATATTTATCCTGCATATGTAATTTTCTGTGGACTATATCCATAGCCATTTCCAGTGAGACCTGCATAATTGAACAAAAATAAGCCCTGTAACAACCTTTAAAAATTTGTCTTTTGGCTATTTGTTAGTGGATATGGTTAAAAATACTGGTTAGTAGTTAAAACAACACTTACCCAAAATAAAATATTATATAATATATAATATATAATTATTTAATATATAATATATAATTTGTCATTTGGTGGCAGAAATTAAGTTTCTATTGAATCCTGTTGTGGATAGACAAAATATATTTATATCCTATTTAATATCATAAATATATTTATGAAACTGTCATAATATTGACTAGTTTCCTTTGGTTTTCCTTTATCAGAAATACTTAAAAAGGAAGGACATTGAGTCCATCAAAAAAATTGCAACTGACCATTTTAATCAGGTAAGGAGTTAACTAGAGCAGTTTATTTCCCTTTTGTTTAGATTTCGATTTTTCCAATTGATGCTATGGGGGTAGGGGCAGTATGGTAACATATATTTGAAGAAATTTGAACCTATACTCCTAAAATATATCCAGTGCTGTAAACCAAGGTTACCTCAATAAAAAAGTTGTTAAAATAGAAATACAGGGCCTCCTGGGTGGTGCAGGGGGTTAAGACACAGCACTGTGAAGCAGTCCGCAGCCACTGCAGCATGAGTTCAGTCCCCAGCCAGGGAGGGGACCCACATGGCACAGCAGACCTCTCCTGACTTGCCCACTGCTTCCTTCAGCAGTGTATTTCAGTCAACCGCCTCTTCTGTTCCCCACTCTGTTTCTGGTGAATCCTCTCACCCCCCACACCTCTGGCCTTTACCCCAGGTCTTGTATGCATAAATAAATAAATCTTTTAAAAAAAATAGAAATTCAACATTTCTAACTAATAAGTGCTTGAACTCTAATGCTATTATTTATTTTGAGGGTCTGGTTATTTCAAATCATTCTTCAGTTTTCTTTTTTTGTAAGTTAATCTTACTTCAGGTATAATTGTAAAACTTGAACTCAGACAGTTGACTCTACCATTAATGTGAATGAATGTGAAAGTGCTACCTTAGCCTTTTTAAATAAACAAGTAAGAAAAATAAATACAGCCCATGTGCTCAAGCTTTAAATGAAAACATCCCATAACCTTCTTAAAATTCTAGATATACCTTTTGACAAGCACATTTGTTCGCTTGCCTTAGGGAATGGTAGAATAAAAGGGAAGAGCAGGGATAGGGAGTGGACATTCTTACAGTTGTCACTAGAAGTATGAATTGTTTTGGCCATTGTGGAATCAATAATTAAAAAAATTTGAGTCAGTAATCTTCTAGTCTAATTTATAACATAGTAGTGTCATTTATAACAGGAATAAAATGAAACCATATGGGAATGATGAAATACATTAGGTATAATCAAAGGAATTTACTTTAAAGTTCCTTTTTAAAACGTTGTCCCCTAAAGTTTGTAATACAGGAGAAATATTCATGTTGCAATGATTTGTAAGAAAAGGAGAATACAAAATTTTATATACATTGCTCCATTATTCTCTAAGCCAGACCTTCCTGCCTCTTGCTTCTTTAATCATTCCTATCCCATTCACTTGCAACTTCTCAAAATTTTTAGAAATCCTTTCTCTGCTAATACTTCTTCCCACTCTTGACACTCTCCTTTCTCATTATTGTGAAATTACCTTTTTTATTCCTTTAGCATAATTTTATCCATTTAGTATCTTTTTGAAGGGCTGAGGGAAGGACTAGATAATAATCTCATGGAGGCTCTGTTCTATTGGGAACAAGAAATCTTAGTACTATGAGAAAAATAAATCAACCCCACATTTTCTAAAAATGTGAATAAATCTTTGTCTTTATTATAGGAAGTCTTACCTGTATTCTTAAAAGCCAATAGAAATTGGAATTCTCCAGTTGTTAAGTTCATAAAGGATGAACAGAATCTGGAACTAATCAGACTAATGGAGGTCCAAGAGGAAGATGTGATCCTGCTAACTGCTGGAGAGCACAAGAAAGCAGTAAGAAATATCACCACCAAGTGTCAATGACGTTAATGCTGGCTTCATGCCTCTTTCCAGTGTGCATAACACATATTTGAAATTGACTGTTAATTTCATTCTGATTGAAAAAATCACATAGGTAGAGGGCTATTGGTGTTTGTTGTACAACCATGAAAATATTTTCATTTTCAGGATATTGCAGATTAAGAAAATGTGGTAGTCCTAAACTTTTGCATGTAATATCTTCCTGAAACTGGACATATCAGACTGCTGGAGGGCTACCGGGCTGCAGATAACCCATTCTTCATTTGGTAAAGGCAGAACCCTTGTTGCTCAAGAACAGCCAGTGTCAGGTGATGAGTGCTGCCAATTTAATCACCACTCCTCAGGGAATGTATAGAAGACTGAATTCAGCAGTAGAGACCCATTGTAAAATGTGCCAAAGTGTGGAATAAAACTCAGTCATGAATATGACTGACTATATAGGTCATACTAAGTAGGTCAAGCATGATATAAATTCCTTTTTGCACTATAGTGTAATCTGGTGTCCTCCTAGTAATAGTGGCTCATCATTCCTTCATTAGGTTTATTATTCTCATTTGTATGCTTACTCTATTTACTTATTGTTTCTTCCAAAGGAAGTTTCAAGAGTTCAGCTTCAAAGCTAAATGTAACCCACTGCCTTTCTCTTCCCTGCAATAGTAAAGAAAGTTATTTAATTACAAATTTTATTGCCAATGTAATTCTTAAAAAAGAACTTGGAGGGCCTCCCCTGGTGGTGCAGGCGGTTGAGCGCAGTTCTGTGAAGCTGTCCGCAGCCTCTGCAGCACTGGTTCAATTCCGGCCGGCCGGCAAGGGTCCCACATGGCGCGGTAGACCTCTCCTGTCTCACCCGCTGCTCCCCTCAGCGGTGTATTTCATCAGTCTGCATGTTCTGCTCCCCGCTCTATCTCTGGTGAATCCTCTCACCCTCCCACATATCTGGCCTGTACCCCAGTTCTTGTATAAAATAAATCTTAAAAAAAAATTAATTAAGTAAATAAATAAAAGAACTTGGAATATCCTACTGCAAATTCATTTGGCTATTCAGCTTTCCCTTGGTATAAACCAAAACTGCTAGAGATTGTCTCAGGAAGATACCATTCTAATTCCTACTGGGGCTTCCTTGAAAGACCCTAGAAACCAGACTTAGGAGAAATAATTTTAGCATCCTGAATATGATACAGTGAAAGTCCACTGAGTGGATATGTAAGTGTAAGATACAAGGTCACGACCCCCAAAGGGGTGTTGAAAACTAATTGTACTAAATGTCTTTTGATAAACCATTTGCTCACATTTTGTGAATATCTATAGTATATAGACAGAGCTCTTTTATAAGGCCAATTTAATATTGGACAGTTAGTTCCTGGTTATTCAAATATGTTCATTCAGAGTTAATTTAATGTCTCAAACTAATAGTTCTAGACACTTAGAAGAGCTCTAAATTTGCTTGTATCTAAAGGTTTAATCTGAGTTTTCCATCTCAGTGCCAACTATATCCTCCTACCCACATTTTGTTAATGCATGTTAATGCATCTGTTTGTTATTGATAATATTATGAAACTATGGAGGGAAAAAAAAGTAGAAGGCCACAAAGTGACACCTCTATTTATATCTCCAGTCATATTTCTCTGTTTTCTATTTTCTCAGGGAAGCCCTGTTTGTCATAGTGAACACATTAAGTTCTTCTGTTTGCCTAGCACTGTTCTGTACTTCGTGTATTTTAACTCATTTACTCCTCATACTAATGCAATTGAGAAAAGTACTGATAATGTTTTAAAGAGAATAAAACCAAGGCCCAGAGGTTAAATTTTTGCTTGATTCTCACAAGCTAGGAAGTGAAAGAGGCATATTTCTATCCCACAAGGTTTGGTTCCAAAACTCACTCTCCTGAATTAACTTCTAAACCATACTGCCTCTCAAGTAGTAGCCAACATCTATTGAACACTAACTATGTAGCAGGCACTCATCAAATCCTTACCACAACCCTTCGAGAGCAGTCAAGAAATAATAGACACCATTTATCTTGCACCTTACATATCTTACCTCAATCTTCACAACAATATTTGAGTAGATATTTTTATCCCCATTTTACTATGGAAAAAGGGATAGAGAAGTTAGCCAAACTGAGATACGGACATAGGTCTGTCAAGCTTGGATACCTGTGTTCTCAATCACTGTTCTCCAATGTTCACCCAGTCGGCTAAGTCTGACAGTCGTTCCCAATTGTGTTGCACTCAGATCAACCTCACATATTTGCCTTCTATGAGGCTGAGTGTCTTCTCTACTGGTTAGCTAGTCCTTTCTCAGAGATAGCCTGGCTTTAGAATCCAGATTGTGTCATTTGCTGCTATCCCCTTTATAGCAGTTAACTCAAGTTTGCATTTCTACTTGTAGTGCTCTTTGTTGGGAAAATTACGACTGGAATGTGCTGACCTTCTAGAAGCAAGAGGAGTGTTGCTCCGTGACCCAGCTCTGTTCTCTTTCCTTTGGGTGGTGGATTTCCCACTTTTCCTTCCAAAGGAAGAAAATCCTGGAGAACTGGAGTCAGCCCACCACCCATTTACTGCTCCCCACCCCAGTGACATTCACCTCCTATACGCTGAGCCTGAAAAGGTACCATACCTATATTTCCAAATAAAAAAGGAAATGTGGAAACAAAGACTTCAGTTTACCCATTCTGACCCAGTTCATGAAAACCTAGAAGAACTGCTGGATTTGAGACAGTGGTTAATACAATGTCCTTTAAGTAGCTACAGTATTTTCAATCTATAGAACAGAAAACCAGAAATTTTCTCTAACACAAAGGCTCTGTGAATCTTCTAGGTCCGCAGCCAACACTATGACTTGGTTTTAAACGGCAATGAGATTGGAGGTGGTTCTATCCGAATTCATGATGCAAAGCTACAGCGTTATATCCTGGCAACATTACTAAAGGTAACATCATCTTCCAACCTTATTTTTTTTTCTAGAATATTTGCCCATTTTGTTAAAATTCATTCTGAAGAAAGGATTCATTAGCTACAGTGTCCGCTTATCTTGGTAGTGTAAGATTTTAAAAAGTAAATGTTAGTAACTGTTATTAGTGCTTTCTTTAGCCACTGTTCAATAACTTATATGCTTTAATACATCTAATCCTCACAGTTGCTTTATGAGATAAATACCCTTATTCTGCCCATTTTTTTTAAAGATTTATTTATTTATGCATAGAAGAGCTGGGGTACAGGCCAGAGATGTGGGGGGGTGGGGGGGAGAGGATCCACCAGAGACAAAGCGGGGAACAGAACAGGCAAACTGATTGAAATACACTGCTGAGGGGAGCAGCGGGCGAGACAGGAGAGGTCTGCTTCGCCATGTGGGCTTCTCTCTGGCTGGCCGGGGATTGAACTTGTGCTGCAGAGGCTACGGATTGCTTCATAGTGTGGTGCTTAACCCTTTGCGCCAACAGGGAGGCCCTATTCTGCCCATTTTAAAGATGAGAAATAGGCAGATTAATCAGTTTGTTCAAAGTCACATGCCCAAAAGTAAGCAGAGCGAGTATTTGAATCCAAGAATGGCTCTTGAATCCAAACTCCTACAGGAATTCTATAGTCTGAAATGATTGAGAATGTTGATAATGCTAGAAAGATAGATTTAAAAATATTTTTTATCATTTAACAGATACTACTTTATTTTTTAATTTTTTTTAAAGATTTATTTATGTGGGCCTCCCCTGGTGGCGCAACAGTTGAACGCTGGGCTGCGAAGCTGCCCACAGCCTGTGCAGCACCGGTTCGATCCCGGCCACCAGCGAGGATCCCACATGGCGCGCAAACCTCTCCTGCCGCCCGCTGCTCCCCTCAGCAGTGTATTTCGTCAGTCTGCCTGTTCTGTTCCCTGCACTGGCTCTGGTGAATTCTCTTACCCTCCTGCGCTTCTGACTATACCCAGTGCTTGTATAAATAAATAAATATTTTTTTAAAAATTTATTTATCTATGCATACAAGAGCCGGGGTACAGGCCAGAAGTGAGGGGGGTGAGAGGGTTCACCAGAGACAGAGTGGGGAGCAGAACAGGCAGACTGACTGAAATACACTGCTGAGGGGAGCAGCAGGCAAGACAGGAGAGGTCTGCTGCGCCATGTGGGTTGCTCCCTGGCCGGGGATCAAACTCGTGCTGCAGAAGCTGTGGATTGCTTCACAGTGCTGTGCTTAACCCCTTGAGCCATCAGGGAGGCCCATAACAGATACTACTTTAGTTGTATATCAGGTAGGTAGATTTTAGTGAAAGAGAGTGGGATGGTCAGAATTTTTTAAAGAAAGAGTCTATACAATGGTAGAAAAAAGAATTTGCAATTTGTTGATGATTCTATAGATAGCTAGGATAGGTGTCAGAAAGATGGCCCAAGAGCATCCGATTTTGTGGGATTAACTAACAGGTGTGAGATAGGGTAAAAGAATTTTATTTTTGACAGCAGAGTTGGAGAATTCAACCCCAGCTATAAGGTAAGATGAAATTTTTCCATTTGTAAGAAAATGGAGGGAACTCCAGGGGATCATGCAAAGCAAAATTAGTCAGAAATTTAAAGACAAATACTTGACTTCAGGGCCTCCCTGGTGCCACAGGTATTAAAGTCTCAGTGCTATCAATCTATTGCCAGCCACTTCTGCAGGAGTTCGAACCCTGGCCAGGGAGCTAACCCACATGGCTCAGCAGACCTCTCCTGTTTGCCCTCCTGCTGCTCCCCTCAGCAGTCTATCTCAGTAGATCTGCCTGTTCTGCTCCCCACTCTTGTCTGTAGTGACTCCTCTCACCCCCCCCAACATCTCTCACCTATACCCCAGATCGTCTATGCAAAAGAATAAAAATAACTCATGTTTAATAACTTGCCATTTTTTTATAAACTTTAAACCTCCTAAGATTTTTTTTAGCTCAATTATATTTTTTCCTTTAGCACCTAAGTTTATAGGGTGGCATTTAGAATTTAAATTGAAATATCTTTTTAATTTCAGGAAGATGTAAAACTGCTCTCCCACCTGCTCCAGGCTTTAGACTGTGGGGCGCCCCCTCATGGAGGAATTGCTTTAGGTAAATAGTACTGTCTCCTAGCCCACATGGAATGCAGATAAGAGGGTATGGGGCAAGCCCAAGAATTCTCCAAGAATTTGATTATATTGGGTTGTTGAAAAAGTTATGACGCATTTTTCCAACAACCCAGTATTTTAGTGATATTTTTAGTATACTTTAGCAGTTACAAAGGGAAACCATAACTGATAGTTTGCATTTGAAAGACTTTAAAAAGAATGAAACTAGAGCCTTAAGTCAATATTGTTCAAATCCTTGGTGGGTCACAAACACATTTAAAGGAACTTGGAAAGCACTGCTTGAGGAAGGGGAAATGTTTGGACCGTTCAGGTGGCCATGGTTGTTCACCTTGTATGTTTTATCAAACATGGAAGAGAGAAATTCTAGGAAGCTCACCTGTATTGTCTACCTTCCACCTCAGGGACTTCTGTTTTTGAAGTCTCCACATAGCACCTAATTTTGTTCACCTTATTTAGTAAGGTGATTTAGACTTTTAGTAAGCCCTTGTTAAGACCTTAGTAAAAAAATATTGATTGTTTTGACTGTTAATCCCAGTAACATGTGTGTATTAGTCCTGAGTATTTTCTCAGAATAAGATAGAAAAGAACCTCTCTCAACAAGATTCCTATAAAGGCAAGGTAATATGCTTGGCTGCAACTTGTTAAAGATTCTTTCAAGGTTTTCTAGAACTTCTATGAAAACTCAGTCACTCCCAACTTTATATTCTCATCTGTTAACTTTCTATATTTTACTCACAGGGCTAGACAGACTGATATGCCTTGTCACTGGAGCACCAAGTATCAGAGATGTCATAGCCTTCCCAAAATCCTTCCGGGGGCATGACCTCATGAGCAATGCCCCAGATTCTGTCCCTCCGGAGGAACTGAAGCCCTATCATATCCAGGTCTCCTGGCCAACAGACACAGAAATGGAAGAGAGCTCGTTGAACCATTCACACTATCCAGAGAGCTGAACTTCTGAGTTTTGTCCTCTTTGCTTCCCAAGGCTAAAATCAGATCTGCAGGAGGTCTGCCACAGATCTAACAATCAAATCTTTAGGTGGAAGGAACCCAGGCAACATTCTTCATCACAATGAAGAAAAAAATTTTGAGTTGACATGCATTATTAGGATTTTTTTGTTTGGAATTTTGAAGTTCCTTTTTACTTGGAGAGAGATGAAAGATTGCTCTTTGTTGGAGTAATATGATGGCTTAGTATTTTCTAATCATGTTTTTCATACCCAGATAATAGATTGTTTACTTAAGACTGAGTAATCAAATCATGTTTGATATGTGGGGAAATGCTTGCCCTTATAGACAGTTGGTTGATAGAGGGTCAATTTACAATCCAAGAGAACCCTGTCTGTTAAACTAGGTAGTGATTTTTCAACTGTGAACATAACGCAGTGAGATGATATAATGCAAAAATCACTGAAGTGAAAATCACAAAATCTTGGTGTTTCACCTTGAACTAGCTACATCACCTGTTTCCACCTCCTTTGCTGCTTATGTAACATGGAAACAGTACTTGCCCTGGCTACTTCATAAGGCTCTGGCCAGAATCACAGAATATGTATAGAAAATGAGTGAAAATGCTTTGAAAAACTAAAGCGTTACACAAGTTTAAGATAGTATCTATTAACTGATACTAGTACATCTATATGCATTTTATAGTTTGATTAAACAAAACTGATTTGTTGTAAAACAGTAATTCCATGAACCAGTGTTCTATTTCTATTAAAAAAAAAAAATCGCTGAATAACACGTTCCCCCAGTCATAGGTAATTGAAAATATTAACTGACCTTAGACTAACCTCAGATGTATAAAAAAATAACAGCTCATTTCTGATTTTTTCTGTGGACACAAAAGCTAATGAATTATGAAATGGGAACAAGGCTTTGATTAATGTTTTTGAATTTTTTTCTACTTGATCATCTACTTTTGCCTTGACATTCTTTTGATTGATAATTTATGAACACTTAAGTATCAGTTCTGTATCCCTGCCTGTGTTTATAAGTGCTTTAAGCAATGCAATACTATCACCTTTTTGTTTGAAAATAAATTCGACTTCCTTTCCAGGAGTAATCTATCATGCCTAAAAGACTTTGTAAAAGGAAAAAAAAAAATGGCATCTATATCTTTCAGTGCTTTCCCAAGTTGTCCTTTATATCTCTTTTTATCCAGTCTCTCCCCATTTCTGGGTCTATTTTAGAGCCAGAAAATCTTTGCTGGCAGTGTCCTCATGGGAGAAAAGATGTCCAAAACTGCCTGCCTTTCTCAGTGGAGAAAACTTCCAGAGATACCATTTATTAAATTGTATAGGAGGGGCCTCCCTGGTAGCGCAAGGGGTTAAGTTGCAGCCCTATGAAGCTATCCACAGCCATTGCAATGAGAGTTCAATCCCACGCCAGGGAGGTGACCCACATGGTGCAGCACCCACTGCTCCTGTCAGCAGTGTATTTCAGTTAATCCACCTGTTCTGTTACCCCACTATCTCTGGTGAATCCTCTCACCCCCACCTCTCTGGCCTGTACCCCAGTTCCTGTAAACAAATCTTTAAAAATAAACTATATAGGAAAATACAATTTTGAACACCTGTCACATGTTACCGTTATAAACAAATTCACTATTTACTAAAAAGAGCCTGGTGCTGACCAAAATACTGTATTTCCATCCTGGGAATGAGTTGTAACAGACACCCAAACCCTAGAGACTATTTTCTAACCTACAAATACCAAAGCCTCCAGGTCCCAAATGTCAATCTGTTGGCATCTCAGATACCCTATTACTTTGGACATCATCAGCATTTTTTTTTGGACCAGCTGTCAGAGAAAAAAAAACTTATTCTAAAACCCAGAGCAATGTCACTAATGTACCCTAACCAATTATAAACTGGAAGCCCAGTTTACTTCAAATCCAACCAACCCAATTTTCCTGGGGATTTAGATTTTTTTTTTAAAGATTTATTTATGCATACAAGAACAGGGGGTACAGGCCAGAGGTGTGGAGGGTGAGAAGATTCACCACTGGCAGAGTGGGGAACAGAACAGGCAGACTGACTAAAATACACTGCTGAGGGGAGCAGTGGGTGAAGCAGGAGAAGTCTGCTGTGCCACGTGGGTCACCTCCTTGGCCAGAGATAAAACTTGTGCTGCAGTGGCTATGGATTGCTTCATAGTGCTGAGTCTTAACCCCCTGCACCACCAGGGAGGCCCTGGATTTAGATTTTTTTATTCCAACTTTTAAAAAACAAGGTAAGCAACTGCCAGCAACAACACAGTAATTTAAAGAGAACATTGTGTTGAGAATAGTTTCTCCTTTTTGGGAAGATGGATGAGTCTAATGGTATTATGTTCTGAGCACTGCTAAAACAATCCATCTATACAGCTGCTCTCTTATCCCAGAATTACCCCCTGAAGAATCAAAACTGTCACAGTGGCCACATTCCTCAGTGTATAGAAAACAGTCTCCAGGCTTTGGTTGTCTTTCATAACTTTTACATTGCTCAATGCCAACTGTAGAAACATTACCTCAAAATATAACCAGCATTTGACTTTCTCATCTCCAGGCTACCTGATTCAGGTGACCACCTTCTGCCTCTATTAAAAGAAAATCTTCCTGGGCCTCCCTGGTGGCGCAGCGGTTGAGCGCTGGGTTGCGAGGCTGCCTGCGGCCTCTGCGGCGCCGGTCCAATCCCCGGCAGCTCCCCGGCCACCAGAGGAGGGTCCCACTTGGCGCGCAGACCCTTCCTGCCGCCCGCTGCTCCCCTCAGCAGTGTACTTCGGTCCCTCTGCCTGCTCTGCTCCCCGCTCTGGCTCTGGTGAGTTCTCTCACCCTCCCGCGCTTCTGACTGTACCCAGTGCTTGTATAAATAAATAAATAAATCTTTTAAAAAAAAAATTAGAAAAAAAAAGAAAATCTTCCTAACCATTTTGCTTATTCTTCCCCCACAGCAGCTCATCAGTGAAGTTCAGATTATGCCATACATCTGTTCAAAATCCCCCAGTAGTTTCTCATCTCAGAGAAAAATATATTCTTCATGACCTCCAAAATCCTCCATACCTGCCACTTGCTGTTTAGCTGTTTACTGACCATCTCCCTGTCCCACCCATACTGGTTATCCTTGCTTTTTCTGTACTCTCTGGTCCCCACACCCCACCTTCTCTGCTTTAGCTTTCTCTAGCACTTTAATATCTAACATACTGTTTCACTAGAATGTAAGCTCCACAAAGTATTTTTATTTTTCTATTGTTCTCTGCATTATCTATGCCCAGTATCTAAAACACCACTTGGTTCACACACTAGGTACTCATCTTTTGGATGAATTACTAAATGGACTGGTATGTGCCAACCTCTGGGTCTCTTAGGAACTGCACAGGGTACAAAGGTGAGTCACTGTGGAAGAAGTAGCTTGGGAGGGGAGACAGTATCACTGCTGTACCGTACATTAAAATGACATCATACACAAGAGGCCCTGAGGCCAACCTAATCAACTGGCAAAGCCTACTAAAAGCGAACAGTCCAAACAAATGATGGCAGCTCATTGCTGATGGTAGATTATAGCCCCTAGCTAACGTTGACCTTTCATTTAAGTATGACTGGGGAGAAATAGTCACTTATACAAGAGTTGTCCTAAATTTTATCTGTATAGTCCTGCACATTTTACACCAGCAGTAAGAGGGGAGATGTCTTATTTCAAAGCCCAAATATTTCTAAAAGCATTGTAAATTTTATAAATTTGAAAAGCCAACTTATCCTAAGAGATGGAACATTTGAAGGACTAAATATGCAGTTTTTAGGTTAGAATCCAGCTTTGAGATCATGCCATAGTAATCCTGCTAATGTACTCAAGATATACAGTGAAACACAGTAGAATTGCCAATTTTTGGCTCTGCAGTAAGATTGAGAACAACTCCATGGGTTATTTCCATTTCCCTCAGCCAAGAATTTACATGGACTTCAAAGCTATTAAGTACAATTTTCCAGGGAACATATTATATGGATACTGAAGTACAAATCTGGGAAACCAGTGACCAGAAATGACAGTACCAAACACCACCACCACCCCACCTGGCACTTGAGCCTGCCGAAGCCTGAATTTAGGAAATTTTGTTAGAACGATGATCCAACCTTCCACCCACCGCAAACGTTACACTGTCAAGCCAATTTTCCCCATTCTAAGTTCAGCCTTGGGCGTTTCTGGATCAATGTCTGAATACTTCAGTTACTCCCTCAATAGCATAATCAGTTTACAACATACATGTACATGACCTCAGGTAAACGTCTTTAGAGGTTAGTTAGCTGTCATAAATAGCATTAAACAAAACAGCTTACATTAAGCATTCCAAATGTGTATTCACCAAGTCTCTCAAAATTCTCAGTAATTACTTTTGTGAATTGATTTCAAGCAGGCATATTCCCCAAACTAGTCACCAGCTCTTTTATGACAGGATATATACTATGCTGCATTCCTCTGCTCATGTAATTACTTCACAAACACATCTACAGGCTTTCTGCATACTGCCTTTTTTCAATAGTAGGCTTGGAAAATGTTGACAGACCAAACCTAATTCACTTTACCTTCTAGGAATAAAAAAGTACCAAGAATAAGTGGTATGAAAAACAAGTGAGAGCAAGAGCAGGGGGTGGTTCTTAACAGGATCTGACTAAGAAATTAATAGGTGACCAAGAACTTGTTTATGTGATTATCTTTCCTGCAAGTTAGCCTTTTAAAATGTCAGGAAAACGGGCCTCCCCGGTGGCGCAGCGGTTGAGCGCTGGGTTGCGAAGCTGCCCGCGGCCTCTGCGGCGCCGGTTCGATCCCCGGCTGCTCCCCGGCCACCGGAGGAGGGTCCCACATGGCATGCAGACCTCTCCTGCCGCCCGCTGCTCCCCTCATCAGTGTACTTCGGTCCTTCTGCCTGCTCTGCTCTCCGCTCTGGTGAATTCTCTCACCCTCCCGCGCTTCTGACTGTACCCAGTGCATGTATAAACAAAAAAAAAACAAAACAAGTAAAGAAAGAAAGAAAACATGCCTCTATATTAAAAAAAAAAACAAAAAACTCTTAAAATGTCAGGAAAACTAAGTGACAAGTGACTGATGGTTTAATCTTTGTAAAATCCAATCCACTGGCTACTTAGTTATTAACCATTCCATTACTGCTCTTAAGACATTTCTGAAACAAGGACATTGTAATAGCCTTAGCTATTGACCACATTTTATCATAAGCACTTTCCTTTTTAAAAATACATGTTTTGGCTCATGCAATTTGCAGCAACATGGAGAGTTGGAAGGGATCATGCTCAGTGAAATAAGCCAGAAAGAAAAATACCAATGGTTCTCACTCATAGCAGGAATTTAGAAAACCTAAATAGGGACCAGACTAATAAAGAAAAAAATCAAAATCAACAACTATATAAACAAGACACAAGGGGGTGGGAGAAAGAAGGGAGTGGGATCAAAACAAGGGAGGTGGGAATTGCAAGGGGACTATAACAAAGATATACATTGTGCAAAAATGAAAAAAATGCAAAAAATATATAAGAAATGTTTTGGGCCTCCCTGGTGGCGCAAGGGGTTAAGACGCAGCCTATGAAGCTGTCTGCAGTTACTGCCAAGGAGCTTACCCACATGGCATAGCAGATGTCTCCTGCCTTGCCCACTGCTCCCCTCAGCAGTGTACTTCAGTCAATCTGCCTGTTCTGTTCCCCATTCTGTCTCTGGTGAATCCTTTCAACCCCCCACACTTCTGGCCTGTACCCCAGTTCTCGTATACATAAATTTCCTTTCAACCCACTATATTAAAAAGTAATTACACTAAGATGTTTGTAAAAAGTTTTATTAAAAAAAAATCAAGTCCATTTAATCTTCTATCCCATGAGCATCCATCCACACAGCTCTCTGCAACAAAGAAGTCATGTTTTAACCACATTTCCATTATTTTAATATGGTTAATTTTGAATACAGAATATCAGATCTTTATTTGTCATCATATTATCAGTGAGAGAGTTCAAGTTGGGGTGAGATCATCATGTATTCTGCATTAATTATCAGTGCTGATATTCTCAAGCCTCACCTTTCAACAAACTCCATGATTACTGCCATCTTAAAGACCCTAGAAATAAAGAGTATACATTACTTATGGTAAAAAAAAAAAAACAAAACCACCACCACACCCCAAAATTAGCAAAGTAACCTCAGAATCAAAATGGAACGGTTTTGAGTGATATCATTCTGTTTCATTTGGCAGAATCATCACATCACTGGTTACATTCTAAATTGGCACATATACCTAAGACTGACTTACCTTGCAATCTCCAGGGAAACAGAAGGTCTGCCTGTTCAAGATGAAGAAACCATTCATGTAAAATTTGCACTATTCAATCCTCTCCATTATTCACTCAGAGCAGTGAAACCTATCCTGCACAATTCACAGATAATGGTTCTACCACTAGTCAAATCTACAGTGTAAATGCTCACATAATGAAATTTAAGAGGTCATGTTTGTTTAGTTTAGAAAATTAACTCATTCTGGCTTACCTATTAGCATGCAATTAAAAGCTTATCTATTGGGCCTCCCCGGTGGCGCAGCTGGGTTGTGAAGCTGCCCGCAGCCTCTGCAGTGCTGGTTCGATCCCCGGCTGCTCCCTGGCCACCGGAGGAGGATCCCGCATGGCGCGCAGACCTCTCCTGCCGCCCGCTGCTCCCCTCAGCAGTGTGCCTCGGTCCCTCTGCCTGCTCCGCTCCCCGCTCTGGCTCTGGTGAATTCTCTCACCCTCCCGCGCTTCTGACTGTACCCAGTGCTTGTATGTATAAATAAATAAATAAAGATGGAATTTCAAAATACTTTAAAAAAAAAAAAATAAAAGCTTATCTATTAGCATGCAATTAAATTAATCTGCAGTTCTCCAATGAAATCAAAACAGCACAGAATATCTAAGCCAAACCCTGAACATTCTGTGGGACAATAAAATGACTAATTCCTTTTTTTATGCTACAAACTAGTTGTAGCCGATACATCAGATAGGAGCGAAAGACTTAAAAGTGCTCGTCACTGTTAGTCTGCTGAACTATGTAATCATCATTGTATCGGCTAGACAGTCTGCTGAACTATGTAATTATCATTCAACTTGTGAACTTGAAAATATTGTACCTTTTGGTTAATCTTCAGTGGTTCCATGTCTTACAGCCAACCCCAACCTGGTTCTCTTCACATCTGCAGAAATTCAGCTCTACTTAGTAATAAGCAATAATGGGCAGACTTGCAAAATTTCCAAGATACTGTTTCAGTTTTTATAAATCTTCATTCTTTTTCAGAGAGATTCCCATCTGTTAATTTTAAAAATCATCACCAACAGCATCTTGCTTTAGTAAATATGTAACATTAGAAGACACTTACCTTTATATTAAAGATGTATATAATCTGCACCTAAAAAAAAAAACCACATTTTTTAAACTTCATAATAGAATACTAAGGGTTGGTTATGCTAAACTGTCACTGACTTTGCAACCCAAGAATACTAATATCAATGCATTCTATTATATGGGGTGCTAGAGGTGCCAAGTTTTCATTTCTTACCAAGTGAGCCATCCACACGAGCCCCATAGCTAGAAAAGAAGTAATATATGTCAATAAATTGCGAAATATCAAAATTCTGTAAGAATCAGTTGTCCCAGGGTTCTCTTCAGTGTTAAATTTGTCTACATGCTCAATTCAGGTCAGACATTTGCTCAACATCATTACAAAAACCCCATTCAGCTCATGCTCAGCTAAACAGCATTCATTAACTAAGCGCAGGAAGGCTAGTAAGCAATTAGCTTGAAAAGTAAGCGTTGTACTTAAGCAAGCATTCTCAGTAAGTTTCAAGTCTACTAAATGTTAATACTTACAGAAAAAAAGTTGGTACACACATGCCAAGACTCAAGTCCACCTAAGAAATAAAAGAGCAGTTCTGTAATAGCCTAAAGTAAACTTCCTCACCCAGATCTTTAAAAAAAAAAAAAAGCCAGCATCAGATAGAGCTAATTAATACCCTCATGGTAAGTCAGCATTTGCTTATCATCACATAGGCTGCTTTTACCAACTGTGACAGCACTCTAAGCAGTTAACAGAAACAAGGACCTGGCATTTATTCAATGTATGCAGCACACCATCAAGGACTTCATGGTAAAACTGCTTCCTGCCCATTAAGGACCCTAAAATGAATGTCAGGGTCCTGTTTGCCAGTTTCCCTGCTTATTTGGATTATAAATTTACTTACCACTTCACTCTCCAGCGAATTCTATTTAGTGCCTATACAAACAGGAAAGGACAGATCAGTATTAGGTTTGTTATGAGCACCAAATAGCAACTTTTATTAATTCCAGATACATCAGACAAATGGTACATCTCTTCATAATTCAATCTGCTGAACTATGCAACCATCATAGTATCTGTTTCCTCAGGTTTCCCTCATTAAAGATAAAATTTCACAGAAGGTTGTTCAGAAGAGGAAAAACCCCAATGGACAGAAGCATACCTAAATAACTTGCAAATTACTGAGCAAATACAGAACACAAAGTTACTCACATGTTTGTCCATGGCTGTGAGAAGCTTGTGCTTTACGACCTGCAAAGAAACAGCGTTTTGTAAATCCAAGTGCAACCTTCATTTTCTCCATCACCACTTTGTGTGCCTCAGTTAAGATACGGTGGTAATAACTCTCGTCATCCCCTCGGTCAAGAGTAGCAAATAAATGTCATCATTGTGGCACGCTGGGGGGTGGGGGGGGGTTTCATGCCAACTTTCCTTTGTAAAGTTCAGTAACTTACCCAGGAAGCTGTTCTCATCCAGCTGTCACAGAACTGAAAGACAAAGAATACCCAATGAAGCAGGCTGTGCTGCTAGGAAACACTAACGTTTTAAGTCTTTAAGCCTCAGAATACAAAATTTTCAGAAATCCCTTCTGCCCACTACTCTTACACCATCATAGGCTTTGACACCTCAACACACATTAACACTTGCCATTGATGGTGTCCTACCTGTCCATCAGATGCCATCAGAAGCCACCCAACATTCTTGTCTAGCAGCGGCCCTAGAGAAAAGATTTGGAAGTTTGTCATATTGCTCTAAGTTATATTCAAACTTTGCATGGTTTTACAGTAATTCTAATAATTTATAAAACCCGTTTTAAAAAAAAAAAGGGTGCACCGGGAACTGCAGAACCACGTGGACTACCGCTTTTCTCTTATCTAACGCCGAAGGCTATTAACCAAAGGCCCACTAGGTGACTCGGCGTGCACCGCCATCAGAGCCGTTGGCATTCATCAACAGTCTCAGATGTCCCTACCAACGCAGACTTCATCAGAGGCAGGGCACGCGAGCTGAGCTTCTCCGCACTTCGGCCCTATCTGGGTCGCGTCCGCACTCCCCCCGCAATCCTCCACCATCTTAACTCAAGAACCACGCAAATGTTTGCGAGCGGCCTAGAAACTCCTGCCAATTTAAGGAGACTTTAGCTGACAAAACATGAAAGCCTCGACAGAAAATGACTATTTTTAGTAAAAATGAGGAACTCACAAAGACAGCCAACGTCGACTCCCAGTCGCGAAAGACCGAGATGGCGGCCAGGTGCCAGTATATAAGGAGTCTTTTCATGACGTCATGACGCACGCTCTCGCTACCGCAGGCTTCGACTCCGCCCCTTCTCCTCAATCCCGCCTTTCCTCGTCCCCGCCCCCTTCGGCATTGTGGGCGGGGACACGAGTGCGCGGGTGACGCAGGGCTCCGCCTTCCTGCCGACAGATGAGGAAAAGAAGAAAGGGGAGGGGGCGTGAGGGACGGAAAGCGCTGGGGGAGGGGGGAGGGGGGAGGGGGAGGGGGGAAAGAGGGAGGGGGCGGTGTAAGGGTGAGTGATTTCCTTCCGGCACGTCGCCCGCTCCGGGGGAGGGGGTGGGGGGTTTCACTTCCGGGACGGTGTTCCGGCCCATTCCGGCCCATTTCCACCCCCGGAGGTAGGTGCTGCTCCTTGACTGGCCTCGGGCCCGCACGCCCGTCCGGCTGCCCTGCCCCGGTGCCGCTTTGCCCGGTCTCCGCCGCAGCCTGCTCCCGGGGTTCTCAGCCACTTCCCTGTCCCCTCCCCCCCACCCCCCCGAGGCAGTGGGAGACCTTCCACCCCCTTGGCCCAGGGCCGGGCTGAGCCGCCGGACCCGCCCCCTCGTCGGGCCCCTCCTTCTGGACCCCGGGATGGGCGGCCCCCTCCCCCACGCAGCCCGGACACACCCAGATACACACACCCACCTCTGGGCAGCTCCCCGCCCGCCTACGCCTGCCGCCTGGACCGGGTCCCGGGGCGCCGCCCCCTTCCCGGTCCTTCACCCTCACCTGATTGCTCGCTCGCTCGCTCCTCGGCCGCCCGCCCTCCGTCCCCGCGCCTTCTCGGCTCCTGGGTGGCTTCGCGCCGCTTAGCCGGTTCCCCGCTCCCCATGCTTCCTAACGCCGGCGGAGGCCGCTCAAGTCTTGGAGTGGCCAACCCCATGCGGTTCCCGATTCTCCCTCTTGCAGCTCTCACCCCTCCAGTGCCGACGGTAAAGAAAGACTTTACTCCAGGGGCTTCCTTCTCACTGGGGAATTGCCGGAAAAAGCAAACAAAAAAAAGGCGCTGGTGTAGGCTCCAAAATAAACATCTGAATTCATGATGGCATCGACAGTGGCTCTTATTGGATTAAAAGTTTCAAAACAAACAAAAACGCTTTGGAAAAAGGTCAGATTGGCTAAAGTTGGTATTTGAAAGCAGTGTATACACTTCCTTGTTTACTGATAAGTGTGTTGTATATTGTGAGCTTGAAGTTTCAATTTTTAGGTTACTCTGAAATACCTTCTAGTACCTGCATATATATGGAAGCACATTGGGTTCAAGTCAGTGTCATCGTGTTGGTGTTTGTACAATGCTATGGACCGCCTTTGAAGACTGTAGGATGCAATTGTAGACATAGTGTTTCAATATTAAAGAAAAATGTAAAAATGTTGGCCATACTTGGTAAATGCTCTATTTTTTTTTTTTTGCCAACTTTGAGGAACTAAATTCCAGAATCAACGTATCCTTGGCACACTGAAATATCCAATTTGTAATTTAAATAGAGGCAAGTTTAGCCTTCCTAATTCTGAGAATGGACTTCATCAAATTCTCTGCATCTTGATTGAGTCCTGACACAGCTGTCACATTTTTCCTAACCTTCAGTTTGCCTCAGTCTTAATTCCTTAAAGCAAATTCTTTTTTGTGAGGGGTCTGACTCTTAAACTGAAAAATAAGAGTTTATGTTCATCTGACTTATTTATTAGTCACTTTATAAAATAATAAACATAAACTATGCAGTGTTTGAGGAAATACTGAGAAGTGGTATAACTAAGCAGTCCATCTCAGGATAATTGCATTTACTCAAAAAGCTTATTTCTGCCCACCAAAATAAAAGTTGTCTCCAGATTTTATGTTCAGTATACTTTATGATTAATACTTTAAAAAAAAAGCTGTCACACCTACTTTTTTCTCCCGTCCTCTATTCTGTTGGAACTCTTTTTTGATACTACCTAACTTAGTAAGGAAAGTTTGGTCGTAGCTTGAATTTTTGGTTGTAACTATATCTATCGTTGAAAAAGCTAAACTAAAAAACTGCTGGTACTTCTTTTCCATATGTTTACTTGGAGATTTTGAAATTTGCCAAATGTTTTTAAGTGGATTTGTCTTGGAAAATATGAGGGGAGTGAAATCATAATTATTAACGAGAATATGATTTCCTCTTTCAGCAGGGTTGAATGCCTGCCTGCACCCTCAGGCACGACCATGGAGAAAGGTGGGAACATACAACTGGAGATCCCTGACTTCAGCAATTCTGTCCTGAGCCATCTAAACCAGCTGCGTATGCAGGGCCGTCTCTGTGATATCGTGGTCAATGTGCAAGGACAAGCTTTTCGAGCTCACAAAGTGGTACTGGCTGCCAGCTCCCCCTATTTCCGGGATCACATGTCCTTGAATGAGATGAGTACTGTCTCCATCTCAGTCATCAAGAACCCTACTGTTTTTGAACAGCTCCTTTCTTTCTGTTATACAGGGCGAATCTGCCTGCAACTAGCAGATATCATCAGCTACCTGACAGCTGCCAGTTTTCTGCAGATGCAGCATATTATAGACAAATGTACACAGATCCTGGAGGGCATTCACTTCAAAATTAATGTGGCTGAGGTTGAAGCAGAATTAAGTCAAACAAGGACAAAGCATCCCGAGAGACCTCCAGAGTCTCACAGGGTTACACCAAATCTAAACCGCTCCCTTAGCCCACGACACAGTGCCCCAAAGGGAAACCGGCGGGGCCAGGTTAGTGCAGTGCTCGATATCAGGGAGCTTAGTCCTCCAGAGGAGTCCACCAGCCCTCAGATAATTGAACAGAGCTCTGATGTAGAGAGCCGGGAGCCCATTCTTCGGATCAACCGAGCAGGACAGTGGTATGTGGAGACAGGAGTAGCAGACCGAGGGTCCAGGAGTGATGATGAAGTTAGGGTACTTGGAGCAGTACACATCAAAACTGAAAATCTGGAGGAATGGCTTGGGCCTGAAAATCAGCCTTCTGGAGAAGATGGAAGTAGTGCAGAGGAGGTCACAGCCATGGTGATTGACACCACAGGCCATGGGTCTGTGGGACAGGAAAATTATACTTTAGGGTCTTCAGGAGCCAAGGTGGTTCGACCAACCAGCAGTGAGATTGACAGGTAAGATTTGTTTTGTTTGCCCTTTTAATGGCTCTTGTGCAGCCACTAAAGCAGGCCCTCTGTGTGACAGAGAGCATTTTCCTTGATTGTTCTTAGCCAAAATAAGTTGATGTTGGGGAAATTGGAAGTATACCAAAAGACTTGCATTCCTATTTTTTTAAAGCAGGAAGCTTCTAGTCCTGAAGTGTTCACAGTGTTGTGAGAACAGTGGTAAAGTTAGACACTTCCATGAATCAGAATAGCATCTGCAGCCACACTAGGATCAGTATTTGCCAGGGCTTCCTCTGGATTCCAGGCAGGGAGCTGAGCATCCGCTGGGAACCTGGCAGCTTTGCCCTCCCTTGGTATGTTATCACACAGGTAGGTGGCCTGGGGGGTTCACTAACCTATATAGCATTGTTTACTTTTCTTTCCTCTCGCTACCAATTAGAGGATGTGTAGTACCAGCAGTGATTATTCTTGTCAAATTAGTATAATCATAGTAATTTCAAAGAAAGACTTTTTGGATGTTTTTCTTTCCTTTTTTCACTTGTCACTTGAGCCTGTCTTCCCTGTTTTCTTTCACTGCTGACTGCTGCTACCACAAGCCTGAGAGTCTTGTTTTCACCCATGTGACTATGTCCTATGCTTTAGATTTCTCTTTCTCGTTCAGTACAGTTGTTAGAACATTTCTTTTTGGTGGAAATAGCACTAGCTTTAATCTAAGTCAAGGGAAAAAAAGATATATCACCCACTTAGATTAATAGTATTTGTTCTTGTCCTCTCAAAAGTAAATTAAAATTGGCTGTATGAAGAGTGAAAATAAAGAAGCTATTACTTTGGTTCACATCTGGTCTTGAAAGATATATACACCACAGCTTCTGGTATAGGTGGTCTTGTGTCCTTCATAATTAAAATATTCTTGGGCACTATATAATTATTGTCCTCTTATATTAGAACTTTATCAGTATTAATAACTTAAATGCAGAAATTTTTAATCTCCATGATCTATACCAACAGCTTAAATTACATAACAGGTTACCATGGGACCTAAGGAAACAAGCAACCAAAAACCTAATAGTGATGTAGAAGAAACAAAATTATAAATGCAGTTTTAATTTATTTTTTTTATGGTCTCTTAGTACTAACATAAGGATGGAAGATTATATTTAGTCTTAGCCTGTGGGCCATCTGCCTTGTCATTTTGTTTCATAAATATACTAGTGCAAAACTTTCTTATTTCAAATCAGATCTTACACCAACTCTGTGAAAGTATTTCTTAGTAATCTGTTGTTTAGTTTGTTCCCCTTTCTTCTGCCATGTTTAGAGAGTGTAAATGGCACAATTTTCAAAGTCTTTTGACACTACTTTGCTATTAGTCTCCCCTTTTATTCCTCTTCTGACAGATTTAGCCCCTCTGGCAGTATTGTTCCCTTGACAGAGAGACACAGAGCCAAAAGTGAGTCTCCTGGGAGAATGGATGAGCCTAAGCAACCTAGTTCCCAGGTATGTAGTTTGGATTTACGGTTGATGTATTGGAGCTATATTGATGTACTGAAGAAATTGCCTCTGTGTGTGAACAGAATATAATGCATAAGAAAAGAGATGTAGGAAAGGTAACAGTGGCCCTGTTAAATACATACACTATTTGTTACTTTTTTCCCCCTCTATTCTTACTTGTGAGCATGCAGGAAATACACTTTTGATATCAGCAGATTGGGAAATAGAAAAAGATAACAAGATGTGAACTCTTTCCTGATAATTGGAACCAGACTGTAGTCTTGAGAGTAATAAAAATAACCCCTGAAAACTACATGCAGGTAATTTAGGATTTGGGATGGAGTCTCATTTTGTACCGATGGTTATAAAACTATAATAATGACTAATTTATGTGGTATTACACATTTGCAAATAAATTGCTTATGCATTTTTGTGAGTTTGCTATTTTGGATGCTTTTATCTTTTCATTTATTTTTTTCCTGGATCTTTGTTAGACTAAATTGTTATAGAAGATGTTGAATAAAATGATCTCTGCTGTTTTCTTTGCATTTCTTCTTCACAAGAAGTGTGAGTAGTTGGTTGATCTTTTTATCGGGTTTTTTTCCTCACAAATATATACCATTGAAGATTGATTTTTTTTTTAAGATGATGAATTTATAAAGTAGAGCACGATAAATCGTAAACACTCTTGCTCTAAAAAGGAAACACTGGTAGATAGATTGCATAGCTAATTTTATTTGTTTCTGTGATATTCTGATATATTTGTAGATTTTATCTAATCTTTTACATATTTATTGTGTACATAGTATAGTAACAGCAGCCATACATTGTTACAAACTCTATTTACTTATCATCAGGCTGTTTTTTTCAGTACTACAAAAGGAATTGTGGCTGTTACAAGGGAATTTTTTAGTTTTAATGAGGTGTTAGAGAAAAGTTAGAAACTTAGAGGAAAAGTATATTTTTCTTCCCATCTCTCAAATAGGTTGTGATTATTATGCAAATAAAGTGCATTAAACAGACCTTACAGCTAAATGGGGGGCAATAAGTTTAACAAATACACAAATCACATATAAACTGTTTAGATTTCAGTAACAGTGATGTGGGAATAGAAGTGCTTAAAAGGGAATTTCTGGAATCAGTATCCACTTCAGGAAAGTTTTAATCAGGAGAGTGTAAATACAGTTTTTAAAAAAATAGCAAGGGATAATTTAATTCCTGTGTAGATGGAGTAGAGACAAAAATTGGAATTCTCCAAGGGCGTTTACCTGACTGAAGCAGAAGGTACAAGCTACAAAGAAAAAGGAGAGACTAATATTGTCTAGAGAATGTATGAGAGATGAGTTAACATATGCCTTAACATGTGAAAGTTTATTATGGTTAATCTCTTTACCAGTTATTTTTTCACTGCCACAGAGAACCAAAACAGGACATGGTCTGCATTACATATCTTGATAGACTAGTACTTCCTGATTATTAGGGTGAACAGAACCCTAATGTTACTCCTTTACTCAAAAACATGCTGCTGTTTTTTTGCTTTTGTACCACATGAAAGTTAAAATACTTTGCCAAATTTTCCATGCTTTTCCTACCATTCATCAGCATTCATTCTCTGCCCCAAACAGGTAGACTTTCTTTTTTTTTTTTTTTAAGATTTATTTTTTATTTATACAAGAACCAGGGTACAGGCCAGAGGCACATGGGAGGGTGAGAGGATTCACCAGAGGCAGAGCAGGGAGCAGAGCAGGCAGATGACCGAAATATACTGCTGAGGGGAGCAGTGGGCGCAACAGGAGAGGTCTGCCACGCCATGTGGGAATCTCCCTGGCCAGCCAGGAATCGAACCAGCGCTGCAGAGGCTGCGTACAGCTTCACAGCACTGCGCTCAACTCTGCACCACCGGGGAGGCCCAAACAGGTAGATTTTCTGTATGTCAGAGCCACATGTTCTTTTCTGGTGTCTGGGTCACCCAGCGCCCAACCTTTGAAATAGATACTATTATATTCATGTACAGAGCAGTTAAATATTGTTCTTACCCCCTCTAGCTTTCAGGTACAAGGAACCTATCATTATGTTATGTATTAAATACAATGATTATTTAGGTTATTAATGTCAGATTAGATAAATTTAAGGATATACTTGATCAATATTAAGAAATTATTGGGACTTTTTTAGGTATAATGGTGGGATTAGATTATATTAGGAAAAACATCCTTATTTAGAAGTATGTATTAGCATTATTTATGGATGAAATTATATTTCCATTATAATATAATTATAATGAAAATATAAAATAAAAAAATAATTATATTTTTATCCTAAAAATATAATTATATTTTTTGGATTTTCCAAAAGTGGTATGAGAAAGAAGAGAAATAGGTGAGGGTAAATAAAAAACAATCGTGTGGTATTTGGGTAATGGGGATTTAACATAGTGTTCTAAGATTTTTAATAAGTTTAATACTGTATTATCTGACTTTCATAAAGAAAGTAAATTAAGGGCCTCCCCTGGTGGCGAAGTGGTTGAGCGCTGGGTTGCGAAGCTGCCTGTAGCCTCTGCAGCACCAGTTTGATTCCCGGCCCCACCCCACCCCACCCCCCACCGGGTCCCACATGGTGCACAGACCTCTCCTGCCGCGCCCGCTGCTCCCCTCAGCAGTGTCCTCCCTCTGTTTGCCTGTTCTGCTCCCCGCTTTGGCTCTGGTGAATTCTCTCACCCTCTTGCGCTTCTGACTGTACCCAGTGCTTGTATAAATAAATAAATAAATCTTTAAAAAAAAAAGGAAAATAAGTAAGTAAATTAAAAAGAAAAGGAAGGGCCTCCCTGGTGGCATGGCGGGTTGCGCCACGCTGTGAAGCTGTCCGCAGCCTCTGCAGCATGGGTTGTATTCCCAGCCCGCCAGGGAGCAACGCACATGAAATGGCAGCCCTCTCCTGGCTCGCCCGCCTCTCCCCTCAGCAGTGTCTTCAGGCCGTCTGCCTGTTCTGCTCCCCGCTCTGTGTCTGGTGAATTTTCTCACCCTCCTGTGCCTCTGACTGTACCCCAGTTCTTGTATAAATAAATCTTAAAAAAAAAAAAGGAAAGGAAAAAATTTAAAAATAAAAAAAAAATCAAGAAAACAAAAAGTATTTTTTACAGTAACTTAAAGGGGTAGTTATCTAACAATAGAGTTCTAAGTTTTACAGTTATCTCTTGTTTAGTGTTATAAGTAAGTTAATTATCATGTAAGAAATTGGGAGATATCTATAAACTAAGAGATTGAAGGAATAATACATAAATTAGATTATTTAAGTTAATTTGCTTAAATCAATTCAAAACCACTATAAATAATAAGTGTATAAACTTAGCTTATATCTCTGTACTGTATTTCAAACATTACTATAAGCAATTTGAAAGTAAATTAGCAATATCATTAGGAATATGTATTTTCTATTTCTCTGGTTTTTGTTCATGAGTTTTAATCAATTTGTTCAGAGGGCAAAATCAGAAAAAAGTCTTACACTTCTTCATCTGTGGTGCCTATCATTGTATTTGGTGCATAGTAGTCATTCAGTTCAGTAAATATGAGTATCAATTTGTGAAAAGGTTATAGGAAGAAATAAACAAGTTTGTAAATTCATATCTTAGTTTATTTTCTCCGGCTTTTCTGCCAGTTTGCTGAGGTCAGTTCAATTGAGTTGTCTTTAGATTGAGACTAATATGTTGGTATGGTATTTAATATCTTGGGTGAAAAGGATTGTTACCTAAAAATAAATTTATGCATTTTTCTAAAGCTCCTTGCTGTTTGGTAATAATGATAATGCCATAAATGTATTTTATAATATGCTTACCGTAATGTATTTTGTACTGTCAGGTATAGCCATTAATCACATTACTTGTGGTTATTTAAATTTTAATTGAAAGCAATTAAAATTAAAAATTCAGCTCCACAGTTACACTAGTCATATTACAAATGCTAGTAGCCACACGTGGCCAGTATTAGATGGTACAGATTGTCAAAGATTTCCTTCAACATCACAGAAAGTTTAATTGAATCAGCATTGTCTAAGTACCTACCTGATTGTCTAGACTATAGTTGCAAGAGTAGAATTCAGGAGTATGGTATATAGATTCATATTCACCTATAATTGTAAAATAGAACATTTAACAGGGATTTAATAAGCATTCAATCAGCCAGAAAATATCTTTATTGTCTTGCTCTTTTATAGTAATGAAAGTGTCCTCAATTTTTTAAAAAAGTATATTAACATTTTTATTTTTTGGTAGTAATCAATTTGTGTTTAGATTGCTACTAAAAATAACCATTTCGTATACTAACAGAGGTAGAGATATATTTCATTTCTTTAATATGTACACTTAATGGTATTCTTATTTTCCTCACTTGGCACAGGTAGAAGAGTCAGCAATGATGGGAGTAAGTGGCTATGTGGAATATCTCCGAGAGCAGGAAGTATCTGAGAGGTGGTTCCGGTACAACCCACGTCTCACCTGCATCTACTGTGCAAAATCTTTCAACCAGAAGGGGAGCCTGGACCGCCACATGCGCCTACACATGGGCATCACACCGTTTGTTTGCCGCATGTGTGGCAAGAAGTACACTCGGAAAGATCAGCTAGAGTATCATATCCGCAAGCACACAGGCAACAAGCCCTTTCACTGTCATGTTTGTGGCAAAAGTTTCCCCTTCCAGGCCATCTTGAATCAGCACTTTCGCAAAAACCACCCCGGCTGTATCCCCCTAGAGGGGCCTCACAGTATATCCCCTGAAACAACTGTCACATCTAGAGGACAAGCTGAGGAAGAGTCACCTTCACAGGAAGAGACAGTTGCTCCTGGGGAAACCGCCCAGGGCTCTGTGTCTACCACTGGGCCAGATTGAAACATAGAGGGGGAGGGGGCAGACCCTCTTCCCCTTTGGGCCGTAAGCTGCCAGCATCAGGGCCACGGGCTGGTACTTAGATTCACAAAATGCCACATCACTAGACCGGAAGATGCTCCCAAGATGTTGCCAAACTAGAGGATCAGCAACATACACAAAAGCACTAAAGGTTCTTCCCCTTCTTCCCACCTCACACTTTGGAAAATAATCAAGCAAATCAACTTTCTAATTCAGGGATCAACAGCCTTGGTTTGTTAACTTTATAAGAAATTTTTTAACAAAACAATGATAAGTGGTGATTTATCTACGTCATGTTTGAATACTGTACTTTGGTTCATATCATCATGGTGGCTGTATTTGCCTAGCTCTAAAAAATGCAGCAGGAGCCTTGGTCATCTGAACCAGCTGCCACAAGAAAGGAAGTAACCAATATGGTGATGATGAGGAGGAATTTCTCCTGTTCCTTCCCTGCCAGAACATGCAGTTTCACGTTTCAAGAAAAAAGAAAAAATCCTAGTGGTCCTTGTTTTGAAAGGTTAGACCTCATCTTTGCCCTGACTAAGGCACCTGGTACTTTGCCTGATTGTTTCACATAAGCAGCCATCTTGGAGCAGTGTTCTGGTGGGTGACATCGCCTGAAGCACTTTAGGCAGCAGGAAGTGACATGTACGGTAAAGTCTTCGCAGTAGCTACTGTGCATTTTAGAGTACCTGTTGTCTTCAGAAAGAGGTGTTCCCAGTAGGTACTGTGCATTTTAAAGTACCTATTTGACTTCAGAAAGAGGGGAGCAGGGAAGGAAGTGTTTTTGTTTTGCAAATATCGAACAGCACAGAGCCAAACTGCAACTTTCTGATTGGTGTTTGTAAACCATAGTGCTCATATATCTTTGGGTGTTAAGGAAATGGCTCTAGTCCAGATGAATCAATGTGTTAGGCTGACTACCAAAGTTTCATCCTATCTCTTCAGCTAGTTTCACATAACAGCAATATTGTACATCAAAATATCACTTTCCAGTGAAATGAGCCTGGATATTTTTAAATCCACAGGTGTCCATATTTGATAACTTTTATATGAAGTTTTAAACACATTTTTTCTGCAATATTGTGGTTGAAGAAATTCAACACTGATTCTCAACCACAATTCCATTTCCTTCAACATATGGAATAGTTTATATTTTCAGTCCTATAGGAGAACCTCACTAAATCTGTCTCATGTCTGCAAACCTAGTAATTCATAAACTAACCACCAGCAAGTTGCTGGTGACTCCAAGAGCTTTGCTTTTTAATAATACACTACAGGGCATTTACCAGAGAACATCATGCACAATCACGTTGCAATAAATGATCAGCTTTGATCAGGTTTGGTTACTTAATCATTCCTAAGATTTTTAAAACTTTAAGGGACCTTTTTGGTAATCTGGGTATTTCTGAGATTCTTAATCCAGCAGAGAATCAGAAAGAACTTACCAAATATATAGAGCTTTAGATGCCCTGTCCGCATGCGGAGAATAAAGGAGGAGTATTAAAGGATGCAAGCAAGTAGATGCTTACAAGTTACAGTGCAAATAGAAAAGAGAAAAATCTCTAGCTTCTCTTAATTGATCATTAATGTTAAAAGTATTAAAATATATAGTTTAAGAAATTGTTTTGGTGCTGAGGCATAGATGATTGTATAGATTAAGGAGAAGGGCTGAGCCATTTGTGAGATTGTCATAATGTGCTCCCTTCTTCAGAATGCTTTGTGGTATGTAGAAAGGTGGATAGAAAAGAAGCGTTTCTTTGATGATAGAACGTTAGAACACAAAGGGTAACTCTTAAGCTAAGAATTGCACATAATTCGTATAGGCTACACAGTATCACTAGAGAAAGTTATTTTCTTTCTTCTGGGAAAACAGAAACATGTCTTTCAGTAGGAATGTAATGCTACCATTTGATAAGAGGCTACCTTTAAGGTAGTGTTGAAGCTGTGGGAGACATAGATTGGGGCATTCTCTAGTTGGGCAACAGCCTGAGAGTAAAAACTGTCACCTAGAGCCTTCTTAGGGACCAGCAGTGCTCTGTGCCATAGAAATAGTGGAGTTGGAATTAGGCTGAAATCTCTAGGGAAACATTTTAGTTAGTAATCAAGGCTTTCAATAGACAAATTTTGGCATTAGTAATTAGGCAAGGAGGTGAGAATACAGAATATGTTGCTTTAGATGGAGCTTTGAAGCCTACCAAAAAATTTTTCAAGTCCATCTACTTTTGAAAAGTAGTATACTGGAAAGTTTTTTTTATTGCTTTGCTTGTTTCTTATATTTTATGTGGAAAAACAGCTTTTTAAACTATTACCAAATTTTAACGGTGAAGTGCAGTAATTTCTGTAAAGGGAGACTTTGCAGCATTTGTCAGCACTCAATCTAGGTTTAGCAGCAAAAATTGAAGTGCTGTGCCTATATGTTGGGTTCTCCCCACACCCCTTCATTCCCCTCCCAATGGTTTTTTGCTGTATTGATATTGTGAATAGAATGGAGTGCTTCCAGTGCACAATCACATTTGCTGGTTCTATCCTCTTAATTGACCTAGCCTGAATCCATGAAATCCATGAAAATTCAAGCCAGGCTAACTGTTTTAAAGTTTCTGAAAGTAATTTCCCCATTTTAGGTAGGAAGAGATACTACTTTCTAAATAATTATCCGATTCCCATCACTGTGACATTGTCCTAGTTCTTAGCTAACATCACTGTAGGGGCATAGGAGTTAGTAGTATTCTGTCTGCTCTAATGAATAGCTGTATTGGTGTGTGCACAGAAGATACCTCTCTTAAGGTTATACTAAATGGACTTTAGCAAATGCTAAAAACTCATTACCAAATCTTAACTTGCACATGTCACCTTGTGGAGGGAACTGCATTAACAGAGCTAAATCATCATCATTAAGTGCTTTAATGCTGTGAAACAGCAAATAATGGGACTGTTTCCATTCATTGAGTGGCACTTAATAGCAAAGGAGCTACCTACTATTCGCAGCATAAGAAGAGAGATGGCAATATAGTAATCTTTTATTCTAAGCAAAATCTTTTACTCTGAACTCTGATAAGCAGTATAAAATACAGCGTTGGCCTAACAGTAGCACTGTACTTAAGCAGAAAGGCTCTTTCTAATGACTTGTTCTCACTTTACTCAGAACCATATTTACCTCTGAACTGAGTTGAGTTTTAAAGTTGCAAACTACCCCCAACCCATTTCCTTATACCAGGTAGTTAAAGATAATCTTGAATATGTAAAAATAAATTAGTTCCCAAAGGATAGATATTGGAAAGGAAGGGCTATAGCATTAAGGAAAGTTTTCTTGTTCCTTTGTTTTCAGAATTTTTAATGTTTCTGATTCTGTCTTCACCAGTGAAACTGGGTCTTCCAAAAATGGTGTTTCAACAGAAATAACCATTTTCCCTCTAACTTCATAGTTGAAACTTAGCCTTGATTGGACGTGTCTGATGGGAGAGTGAAATAGTGAACTTCATACTCAATTGCTGAGTCCCCTTTCATCAAGAAATAACTTTTAAATTGTTTGGCTTTTACTTGACACTGATTGTGTTTTTCTTAACTGGTGAAAACTACATTTTGTTTGACTAGGAGATCTAATACAAGAAACAAAAGCTGTGAGTAATGGAAAAGACATTAATTGAGCAGAGACAAAAAGCTTAATTATAGTGAGAAAGCATTTAATCAGAAGGGAGTTGCAATCCTGGAAGTTTTCCTTTTTCATATTCAACAGATGTGTTTTTTCTTTTTCAAAATGTCCTTATCAGTGTTCTCAGTTGTTCAAAAAATAAGCGATGGGTCTTTATTGAACTTCAGCCTTTGAAAATGGGGCCCTTATGCCATGTGGGAAACAGTGTAAAGTATTTGAAATACTTTGGTTACTGAGATATAGAAAAGGGGACTAGTGGTTAAGTCAGGTAAATCCCTAAATTTGAGGGGCTCCCCCTTAGCAAAGTATATTTCTAGGATTTATGGATTAGATCTGCCTTGGCAAACTGTAGTCCCCAATCCAAATCCTGAGGCCACCTGTTTGTATAAAGGAAGTATTACTGGAATAGGGCCACACCTGTTCATTTAGGTGTCATTTGTGGCTACTTTGTATTCTAATGACGGAGTGGAATACTTGTGACAGAGACCACATGGCCTGCAAAGTCTGAAATACTGTCCAACACTTGATGCTCAGAACTTGCCAATACCTGAAGTAGATTTCAAAGAATTCCCTCTCAAATGTGTTGGTCCTGCCATTTCACTTTTATAGTAGTTGGGTTGAGGTTGATATAGATATATGTGTCACATATGCATATATGCGTATATATATGCATCAATTTCTTGAAAGAGTTTGCCATCCTTTTCGAGATCCTTTTTTCATAATGCTCTGTGCTCCTTATGATTCTCATTGTCTAGAAACATTTAGATAGGATTTATGATTCATTCTTGCCTTAAAGGTGCATTAATTAAAGGTAAATTAAATTTAAAGATAAAGTCTAGAATAGTGCTTATAGATGTAACAAAATGATTCTTAAAACTAATTCCCATGCATAGTAATGTATACTTAAGTGGGTACCATGTTCACATAAAATACTATAAAAAATACATTTTTGTAAGTAAATTTGCCCATTCCTCTGAGTCTGCTTGAACTGGTTTGCATAATGATGGCAAGAATGAACATATTCCTGCTAGATTTAAAACTCTGTTATGAATAGGTGGTTTGATTCTAACCCAAAGTACTGCTTTCCTAGATTAGAAACCTCTTCCTCTTCCATGTACTATAAATCTTTTCATTTCAACTTCCTCAAGTAAACTCATTCATGTGGAGTAGTAAAAAGCCAGACCTTCCTTATTCTTTATGAATGTCTTAAAACATAATGAAACATCTGGGATTTCAAATTCTTCTTAAACTGATCACCCAATTTCTGCTCTGTTTGTAATTTTTCTAAATCTGTATTGGTCCAAATTATACTTGCTTTGTGAATGCTCATTTGTGCCTAGTGTTCACATTAGCTTATTTATACCAGATGTGGAAGAAATGGAAACTGTTAGGGTGATAAATAGCATTCCTTGCAAGAGGAGAATGTCACTGCACCCCATTTGGCAATAGTGCATGGATTTCTGATTTAAATGTATTTACCCAGATAGTGTTCTAAACTGATACAATAAGCCAATTTGATTCCTACTTTGTTGTGAGCTCTACAAACACAGACTAGTTTGGATGAGTGACCTAGCCTCTTACAGAGCACCCCTTCACTAGGCATTTTATTCTTAAAGTTGCCTTTATCTAAGTTGGATATTAGTGTGTTCATGACATACTGGTGAGTAATTGATAATCTTCATCTGTAAGGTTCCAGAATATCTGCCTAGGTTAGATCTGCCTTATTTTAGAGCACTTTTACTCGTAGTAATAGTGGGCTCTTGAGATTTTGGAGTGTTGCTTTTCTGCTTAACTTGGGATTCTGATTAAACTGGGATATAGGATTTATAAAAGAAATTGAACTAGGGAACCCAGGGAATCATTCGTCTGCCTGCAACTCTATTTGATAGATGTCATTTAAATATGAGTTAATTGAAAACAGTGAAGTTTGCAAGCATTACTTGATAATTACCAAACTTATTTTTTGCCTTTCTTGCCTTCAATCTCTTTACCTGTTTTCAGTCTTATCCTTAAGTTATGCTAGTCTTTTTGCTTTTCAGTAAGTAGGCTTTCTTGCTCAGGACAAGCCAAAGTTAGATGCTGTGAGTACAGTTGACCCTTGAACATTGAGAGGATTGGGATACCAAACCCAATAGTTGAGAATCCACGTATAATTTTTAGTTGATGTGCTGTAATTGAGGAGTCAATCAACCAACAATGCATTTGGATGAACATGTGAATGTGTAACGGGGCACCACAGTGTAACAGAGGGCTGCAACCCTGTTACAAATGCAGAACTTGCAGATGAAAGTGTCCACATTTCAAGTCTATGTTCTTCAGGGTCAACTGTACTTTGAAACACCTGACTTAATTGCATTCCATAAAATGTAATTATTGAAACTAACATTGATATCAAGGCCTGAAAGATATCTGAACAGACTATACAATTTTGTTATGACGGCAGACTGTCTTTTCCCTCAACTCTGAGGAACAGCAATAACTGAGATAGCAAGTACTACTTGAAATACATGTTATCTTCACAGAGGGTACATATGTAAATAAATTTCTTCTATCTTCCCCATTATCTATATAATAAATACCTCCCATCTTAACACAGTTAAGAAAGGCCCACTAGTTCAAATAGTGGAAGCTTTAAACAACAAAGCTAAGTTTTAAAGACAGCAGTAAAGGAAAAAATATTTTTTTTTCTAATGCTTCTTTCATGTCTACTCATTAAGTCCTCTTGAGGAGGCTAGAATTTACCTTCCAGTTAAGAGGAATATATGTGCAGCCTCTCATGGCCAACAGCACAATTGAACATACTGTGAATCTTACAATTTGAATTAATCCATGATGCCAGAAGTCAAAGAATCTCATGGGGAGATGTTTTCTAGTCAGTGAAATCACTTATCTTAAGTGATAGGTAGTTTACAGGAAAATATGTTACATTTGATAGCAGACAGTGCGCTTGAGGTTTATAAAACACTGATTTTAGCCATAGTTTGTATGTGACTTTTCCTGTACTGGAAAAGTTCTGGATGTACGCTTTTTAAAGCCTGCAGTTTTCACTGAAGAGATAAAATATCAAAATGAAGGGGACAGAATTAATTGTACTAATTGCTTTAGTGACATAATTGCAGTTAATCCTCAAAAATAGTTCTATGAGATAATAACTGTACAATTGAAAATAGCGGATCTTTTTTGAATATCAACTGTGGGCCAGGCACAGTCCTGTTTGTTCACATCTGATGACTATCTAATCCTTATGTGACAGTTCTGTTAGGGTTTTGACTGTTGTCATCCTCATTCTACACAGAAAAAACTGAAACAGGTTAACCCAGGCAGTCTAACACTAGAATTGAACTTTTAATAAACTATGTTGCCTTTAGTAGGTGTTAGTATTCTACATTTTATAGCTAAGGAAAATTATGAACCCAAGGTTACACAATGGATAAATTGCAGAACTAGTATTTGCCAATCTGATTCCAGAATCCAGACTCTCTCCAGTTTATAATATTGACTGTTGACTTCCAGGAGTTGGGGTGAACTGGAACATACAATACTCAGTAACAGTAACATAACTGCTTGTAATGAACTTTTAATTCAAGCATAGATAATCAAAAGATTCCTTTAACAGAATGTAGTTGAACTCTGAGCAGACAATGAATGGTGAATATTCCCTGGAGGCAATGCCTACTGCTTCAGAAGTGTTATCCATTTGTTAGGTCTAATTGTGAATGAGTTGCTACCAAGGCAAAAAATGAAAGAGAGCATTCCAGTTATCTAGTGCTGTGTAACAAACTACCCTAAACTTTAGGGACTTAAAACAACTTATTGATGTTGTGAATGAGAAATTCAGGAAGAACTCCTCTAGACAAGTCTCTTGCTCTCTGTGATTACCACTCAGGTCTCTTGGGGTATTCAGAGGTGATTGGACAGTTCTGGACTGTCCAATATGACCTCACTCTCATGCTGACTTCCTGGTGTGGAGGCCTAGAAGGTTTACACTCAGCAGGGGTCTTCTTGCCTCTCTGTGGAGTTGCAGGGACTCTGTGGTCTCTCCATCAGGATAGGTGGACTTACAAGAGGACAGCCCAGGCCTCCAAGAGGCTGGGCAGAAGGTGCCAGTCCTCTCACAGGACAAGTATAGAGCTGACAGTCATTGCCATAGACTGTTGATTAAAGTCACAGGTCCCAGATTCAAGAAGCATTACCACTTGATGGAAAGTATGCAAGGATTTGGAGCCATTTTTAATTTGTTGTAGGTAATGTTAGGGTTTTTTTTTTTTTATTTATCTTGACTAATATGTTCATTTAGGTCAGTTGTTTGTGCCATTGAAACCATTTATTATATGTAAAGGAGCCAGAAGAAGAATGAAACAAATACCTGGAGTAGATTTCATTAGCTGCCTGCCCCCTGAGTTTCATTTATCTTATTGCAAAATGTCCAGTTTTACTTTTGTTCTGAGTTGTGTACACTTGCATGTTTTGTTTTTTGTTTTTCTGTGAAGCCACAGTAACTATATATATGCTGAGCCAGAAATACTCTAGCGGGAATCAAAAGCCTACTGTTACAGAACTTAGTTTATTAAAGATATCACCTGTATTTTAAGTTTACAAATAGGTGAAAACTCCTGTGGTATGGGACATTATATGGCTACTAAATCTCTTTCAACAGGAGTTTCTTTTGCATGGTGAGATTAATGATATTCTTTAGAAAATTTCAAGTTTTGCCTGCTTATCCTACTCCCTTCTCTACTACTAACCAACCACACTGCCTCTAGCACAACTGTGCTAGATAGATGATAAGTAGGTTCATGCCATTTTTATTACCTTTTGTATGAAAAAATCCATTCCCAACTTTACATGTTGTTCATCTTTTAAAATTAATAATTGGTACAGCGTCTCTTACCTAAAATAACAACTCTTTGAGGTTCTTTGATTTTTGGCTGTATTTGTCAGATTTAGGATGCTTTATTTAACTTTTTGCTGTCTTCTAATAATTAGACTATTACCGTCTTCAGAATAGGGCAGAGAAATTCTGTACTAAAAAGTGATCACACTGAAATCAGTACAATTTGATAGGGGAAAAAAAAACCAGTTTGAGATTATCCATCCATTCCATGTGCAGAGAATTAGCTGTGAGGGCTTCTTCCTGGTTAGCCCTAGTTACCATATAATTAGATCTCTGTTCCTAGGTCAGGTTCCAAGAATTGCAAATACAGAAAATAAAAGGGGTTCTCAGGGTCAGAAACGTAATTTAGGGCTCTACAAAATGCTGGGACAGGAAAAAGGTATTTTTCTCTTTGGTATTTGTAGTTGAATAACTAGGGATGGATTGTTTGAAGCATGTAGGAATCAAGATTAATTGGATTTTTATCATGTACAGATTGGGGCCAATTTTAATGACTAAAACTAAATGAGCCTGAACATTTTCTTTTTGAGCCACATTTCTACTCTGGTGAACTTTAAAGTCTACCCTTTGTGAGAGAGAAAGCCTTTGAAAATATATTCCCAGGGAATGAAAAGTCACATGATAATCTATGGAGATGTCTGTTTTCCTGTTCTTTACATCTCTTTGGACCCTCCTTTAGATTCTCGGTGACTCTTAAGTTTGAAGTCATCCAGTGGTTGCATGAAAATTCAGTACTATGATCTTGAATTGTAAATGGGGACAAAATCAGAAGGATGGGAACTAGTAGGTTGACAGAATATTTATTCTTCAGCATCTCAAGTCTAAACCATTACAAGCTAATCATAGCAATCTGAGTGAATAGAAATTTCTTAAGGTTTAGATTTCTGTTCTTAGCTACATCTTAAAGCAGATGTTTATGACATATTTGAAGATGATCTACTGAGTTTCCTTTAAAGCAATAGAATCCTAACTTTAGTGGTTCTTCAAGAACTACTGCAGAAACAGAATGACAACACAGGGAACAAACCGTAAAAATGTGTTTCCTCTGGAAGCCAAGATGCTAAACAGGTCACTAAGAGTGTGACTAAAATCCACCTCTAGAGTGGCTATCTGAGTCAGATAGCAGAAATATGTAGAATTTATATGGTATTTCTGATATTTTTACAAAAATAATTTTAAATCATGTAACTTGAAGTTTAAAAAAAAAATGAGCCTGTTTTCTTTTTGGAAAATGGGCCCAATAAAAATAACACTAATATAATTCAATTGTATATGCATGTGCATTGGACACAGAGTGGTATACTAAAGATAGTTCATGCAAATAACTTTTGTGAAAAGTTTGACTATTTTCTTAATACCTTTCTTCATAAATGTATGTTTATAAATATATTTACTCATCCACTATGATCTTGATAGCTTAGAAGCATTTTGGTAGCTGTATCATTTGATTCTAAAAATCAGATCCCTAGCATAGTAGGGTAGGAGAGCTTTTTGTCGCTTTGTTTGTATTTTAGCAAAGAAAATTATTTCTTGCACTTTCTATTTATAAAGATGTTATAACACATTGCACCCACTTAGTGCATCTGTTCATTAGAGACAAAAGATGTAGGTCTTAAAGTGAAATGTGTGTTTAAAAACCTGGTGAAAGGATGGACCTCAAAAAAACAAGCTTGGCTTTGATCCACCTGAGAAGGGTGGGGTAAAATATACAGTTTAGATTGAAAATAGCTTTTGGGCTAGGTGTGCAGTTGCTGCAGGTTGCAGTATTGTGAGTTGCCAGCTGTATGTATGTGATTTCATGTATGTATGTGAGAAAAAGGTGTTTGATGAAGGCAGATAAGTCAATGTAGACCACGCTACCTCCCATTAAAGACTGAACATAGTCCGAGATCGCCCTGTAGCCCCTGGGGCTGGAGGCTGGATTGCTCAGTCTCGGTCCACCCCATTCTCTTTTGTACTCCCTTCAGCATCTCTACCTCTGAGCACTTGGCTGAAGAGAGAGTATAGTTTTCTGTAGCAAGCAAAGTTAGACCTAAAATATTAAGGCTGCAGATCTAAATTCTTATCATGTTCAAATGTTAACGTTTGATTTGGTTGCCCAAATCAAACTGGCAGAACACTTGGGTTTAATGCTTTTATCCATTGGTTCTTGTTTGGCGGTAGTAGCCAGAGGAAATGGAGGCTTTCTGTTTATTTTTAAAGATGCACCCAACTGCTTTTAATGATGTGAAAAATTGTTTGAATCCTGAATTCAAATTTTTTCATTTGCGGTCCATTTTTGGAGGACTGGAATATTAGTCACATTTTTACTATACCGAATCTTCTGCCAGTACCTTGCCATGCATGGATTTTTGGATGACCTGACTTGCTTTTTGTCACTCCAAAAAAAGATATTCCTGTTTTTAATGCAGATTCTGTTATAGTAGTTAAGATGTCCTTGCTTGAATGTTGTGTCAGGAAATTCATTTTCAGTAGTAAAATGCCGCTAGGCAGACCACTTACTCTTCAATCCAGTTGTAGCACTCACTGACTTGCTATTTGGGGCACTAGTACACTGGGCCAATCAGGTTACCTACCTTTTGAACACTTGTTACCGCTGAGGAATGATTGTTTAGAGATATCACGGAATGCGTCGCGCCTTTTCATCTTAATGCACTGGCAGGTTATAATGTCTAAACAAGGATTCTTTGGTTAAGAGTGAAAATGAGAGATGATCCATTTTTTCACTTTTAGAGGTTGGCATCTGTACTTTAGGTATTAGCTGATAAATACTTACTTTCCAGGTGAATGGGCAGGGCAAGTGAGCATGCAGATAATGTGAAATTCCAAATAATTAGACAAGCATTACTCAGAGGTGACAACTGATATATAACTTCTGCCACATTACGGTATGAATGAGGCAGTAAAACCATGTGAATCTATTCACCACAGCTGTTTTTTTCCTAAGTATATAATAATTCTTAACCCGTAAGCTATGCTGTATTCTAGACTCAGGAATCACCTCCTGCTTAGGCACATTCTTCCCTCTGACTTATCTTTTGTTTGTGCCAGGGTTTCTTCCTATGCTGGTTTTACTATAATACCGTAACTTACTGTTGGTTTTGTGGCCTTTTATGGCCAAAGTGATTTATTTAAAAAGAAGACAAGTCACAAATGTAGAGGTTATTTGATTGCGGCATGTTAAAATGATGAATCTGGCTGGAGTGAACACTGGCCTTAACGCTTCCTGCTGCAGAGCCAGTTGACCTAAACCAGTAGTTCTCCATCTTGGCTGTACATTAGAATCACCTGGAGCCCATTCCAAGTAGTCATATTTAGTTGATTCGCTGTGCAACCTGAGCTTTAAAAGCTCCTTGGAGGATTCTAGTGGGCAGCCAGGGTTGAGAATCACTGTCTAGGAGATCCTTAGTGGTCTTTGGCAGGATAACCTCAATCTTGTTCTCTTTTTGTCATTAGATACCTTCATATGTATTCCAGGCATGACTCTGAATTTAAAGCTTACAGTGGGTCAAGGCTCAGTGGTAAAGTGGATCATCTAGAGTGATTCTGGAGAGAAATGTTGCCATCCATCCACTTACCTCTCTATACCAAATGCAAAGTATTAATAAGTAAGCAAAACAGATGTTCAAAGTCTGTTCTTGAGAATCCTCTTTCCTTGGCTTATGTGGTTTGAATGGAAATTCCTCAACTCTGCTGAAATAGAGCCCTTGAACTTATTAAAAGAGCCAAGCCCAAGCCTTCTGAAGTGATTTCTAATTGTCAAAGGAACAGGTAGCATTGTTAAAGTTAATGGAGAAAAAGAAATCCTTTCTGGGGTGATGGTTATACATTTATTATTCGTCTCTTAGCCTGTTTTCTAAGTGGGATTTTAATGTAAAGTGACTTTCACTTTTCCTTGTTTCCTTGTGAATGATATGCACTAGCTAAAGCTTAAATATTTCTGAATTTTATATAAAATGTGAAATGAGTCATTTTAGCATCTTTGCTCCCAGATATCAGAGTCCTAACCCAGGAATTCCCAAATGAGGTTCCCTATCTTTTATTCTTTCCACCCCAGGCAGTTAAGGTACCTGCACATGGCAACTTCACACAGGTTAATGGGAAGGGGAGAACTGTTTGATTATCCTTAAAAAGTGAGAACCACTGTTCAAACTAGCTACCAATGATTTCTAATTCATGAAATTTTGTTTAAAAGCACTTCAAATGTAGCAGAAACTGCTGAGTGGATTTTCAGCATTATACAAATTTTTATTCTTTGATACTGATAATGTGAATATCAGACTGCTATCAAATATCAAAATAATTAAATTTCAAATGAGTGGTGTGCTGGAGGAGAAAAGTGGGTCAAGAGAAAGATTGGTTACTATGAGGACTGAATTTGCATCAGGCTATGAAGTTTTATTAAAATCACACTAAGGCATGGCTATTTGCTTAACATGCTTTAGCATACTTGCTACAATGCCAGATCAAGTGACTTAGGAAATTGGTGAGGGCTTCTTAATATTGGTTGAAATAAAAAAGCAGTAGTTTGGGGGACTTGTAAGCATCCAGAGAATAGCCCCTTTATCGGGTTTCATACTGAAGAACATTTTGGAGTACTGTAAAATATTACATTGTTGAGCTATATGCAGATCATACCACACTGGATTTTAACATTTTAAAGGGGAAAGTAGAGGAAAAGGATGGGGAAGTAATGGTAAAAGATAAATATATAAACATGTACCATATTTTAAGTAAGGAATGAAACATTCCCTATCAGAAATTCTCTGTCAGGACTGTGAAGTTTAGTCTTTCTGCCCTACTGGGTTGGTTTGCTGATTCCTCTTGAACGTTTAAGAAGTCCTTTCTGAAACAGCTAAACAATTGCTTGTCTGACTGTAGCTTCTCCCCCTTTCCCCATCCCCTACCCTCAACAAAAGAAAAACATTCCCAAACTAGAAGCAAAAGAAGTGTGCTCCGTCTCAGTCCATTAACTTTTCTTCTGCTGTAGTCTTTGATCAGGTTTTTGCCTATTGCATTTTGTGATCTAATGCAGGACTTAAATGATGGTTCAGTCAGGAACCAGTGCTTCTCCTTTAAGAAATTTTAGTATCAGAGCTCTCAATTTTTGGCAAGTCAGCAGAAGTGAGTAAAGGGAGAAATAGAAGAGCACTTAAATTTTCTGACTCCCCATGATTTCAGGTTGGGTCCCACTCATGCTCTGCCCCTGAGAGAAGACTAGGGGTTCAAAGAGAGAAACGTCAGTGTAGCAGGAATGTGGTTTCCTTCAGACGGACATAATCTGAAAGAAATCCTCCTAACTGTTTTCTATGGTGCTTATATGGTGGGTGACAACTGTCCCCATCTCCCTGTCCCTGGCACTGTGCCTTCCCACTGGTCACTGTGAAAAGCAGATCACACTGGACTCAGAGGCCAGAATCCAGGACAAGTTCCCCCTTCTCATCTTGAGCCCATCACTTCTTCATGCAGCTGATAATGTAGCATTTACTCCTCTTTGGAAAACTCTTGGGGTTGTCCCCCAAGAAACAGAAAAGCATTTAAAGGAAAACAGAAAAAAAGATTCTGGTGGTAGCTATCAAAGTAAGAGAGTATAGGAAAATTTCACTTCCTCTCAGTTGATATTGAGAGATAGCAACTATGTCTCCTCTTTCTGAGTTTTTAAAGGCTACCATAATATTTATAAACAAGAAACATATGAACATTTTTTCACAACTTCCTAAGGATTCATATTAAACAGACAATCAATTTCTAAAATGTTATCCCTGAAAGGGAATGAAATAAGAGTTTTTAACTATAGGAACCCACCAGTCTTTTTTTGTCCTTGGAAAAAACTAACATTTGAGGTTTGTATCTTTCATGTTAAGCGATTACTCCTTTAGTGAAGATGCCTCAGAAGTCAGTGAGCCAGGAGGGCACTCTTGTCCTGTGAGGGTGCTGGGCTGGGCTGGTGCATCTTACTTCCTTAGAGAATATCTGTTTTTATTATGACCTTAATTATAAATACCTATATATAGGAATAGGATTTTTCTCCGCCCCAACCCTCTTTTAATCATTATCACTTAAGTGTAAACCATACCTTCCCTCACCCCCCTTTTATTGAAAAAAAAAAAAAAAAGAAGAAGAAAAAATGCACTTTAATTCCTAAGAAGAGTGGCTGTTCCTGGCCTTGAAGCCAGATTACTTCAGGAGGAGAGTTGAGGAGGGAGAACTCCTGCCAGACCCTGTGAAATGAACCAAATTCTTTAATGTAATAGCATCTGTTTTTAAACTGCCCCCTACCCCTGCCAAAGGGGAAAGGAAACAACTAAAATGGACAAGTTCAAAATACCTACCCTGATTTTACAAGTTTCACTGGGAAAAACATCCAATATTAAGCTATTTGCTCAGCTCCCAAATTATGAGAAACTTCTGGGGTTTGTGGGAGGCCGAGATTTTTTAAAATTAAAAGAGGCAAGTGAAAACACACGCTAAAGTAGGACCCTGGTTTGTGTCATTTCGAAGTCATGACTTGTTCTTGCCCTTAATATGACAGGTATTCTCAGTCTCTCCTCCTGTAGATTCTGTCCTTCCCCTGATGACAAGCCAATAATAGTTCTTGGTGGGGTTGCATGTCTCTTAGAGCCCAGGAGCCCTGTTGTGTCGGGGGAGGGGGGAGGGCAGGTGGGTGGACAGAGACTGGGGTTGGGGGAGGGACATTAGAGAAAGAGTGAAGATATGGGTTTATATAAACATATTTAAAGCAGTTTAGCAAAAGCTTTCTCGTTGAACAGCTTTAAGAACAATGTGAATGAAATCTTAGCAACTTGGTTAGTAATCTGAAAAGTCTATAAATGTATACTTGAAATTGTTTGTATAAAAATACATTTTCCTCTTTATTTTAACACTGTGTAAAAGAACATTATGCATGTGAGTGGTTTGAGAATTAAATGATTTAATACTCAGATTTGAATCTGTCTTTTATGTATATGGAGTAATTAATTTTAAATTTGTGAATGCTTGTAGTGCGATGTGAATACCAAGATTGTAAGCACCCACTCTGCCCTGCCGGATTCCTGCCCTCTTTCAAGATGCAGTGGCATAGCTCCCTTTTTCACTTTCTGTTTTTAAAATTTATTTTATTTATTTATGCATACAAGAACTGGGGTACAGGCCAGAGTTGCAGGGGGTGAGAGGATTCACCAGAGACAGAGTGGGGAGCAGGACAAGCAGATCTAGTAAGATATACTGCTGAGGGGAGCAGCGGGTGAGACAGGAGAGGTCTGCTGCGCCATGTTACCCAGGTGGCTCCCTGGCCAGAGACCGAACTCAGGCCACAGTGGCTGGTGATAGCTTGATAGCGCTGAGACTTAACCCTTGTTCCACCAGGGAGGTCCACCCCTCTTTCACTTTCTGACTCAGATGTGTTCACTAGCAGAGGAGAATTGAAAGCATCGTTTTACTAAATGGCCAACAGCACCTCTATTTCACCTTCCCTTGCTTTCATTTCAGATGGCAAAGTCCATTTGTATTTGTTTTTATTTCTATTCACAAACCAAAACGGGAAGAGGTGCAAAGAATAGAAACGCTTTAGTTAACACAAGGGTTAGCCACTCTGCCCATAAAGACAATAGTGTTCAGAGCAACTTCCCTTATCAGAACCAGGAAGGGCCTGTTGGCCTTGAAGGTCACTCTGTTGGGGTTCAGCGAACGGCCAGCAATGGCGATGGCCGTACTTGCAGCTGCTTCACTGCCTTCCTCGTTGACCTGCAGGTTAAACAGGAAACATTAGCTACTCTGCAATTCATTATAAGCAGGTAAGTCATCCACAGACACACCATTTAAAATACTTGTTTTCCAGTAGAAAATCTACTTGGGCCAGATTGGGTAACCTCCAGAACTCTGTACTCATTCTTTAATCCAGTGGTTACTGATGTAAGCACATGTGTTTGTCAAAACAATATGCTGCATAATAAGTGCAAGGGTTCCATTCAGACAACCCCTAAACCAGCAGTCTGAATGGTCACAAGGTTGCTTTGTTACATCTCTGACTGGCACCATTGTACATGCTATTACAGGAGGGTTGTTTCTTTCTAGATGCCAAGAGATTTTGACTCAAGATCAGAACTCTATAGTTGAGATAGTTTCACTCTTAGAGCATCAAATAGAGCTACCCCAAAGCAGCCACTCAGGACCTAGGGCTGTGAATAGAGGATAGTCCTCTTGCCAGATGAGGTTAGTATTTCTGGGAGTAATATCTAGAACAGTGGTATTTGAACTTGCTGATCAACAAAATTGCCAAAGGTCTAGAGGGAGACATCTTCAGAAAACATTTTTGGGGTACTATCACTGAACTCTTCCCCTTCCTTTTCAGGACAGCACTTGGATCGCTAGCTTTGTAGAGCTGCTTGACGATGTTCTCTCCAGCTCTCTTCCTCCTCGTTGCTCTTGCTTCTTCCTTCCCATCATACCCCTTCTCCCCCACACTATCAGTCTCATGGCTCTAGGGCTAAATTTAGGACTGAAGCTTTTAAAAGACTAGGATTCTTTCATTCTCATCAGATTGTTTTTTTTTAATGACTTCCCAGGAGATTTGCAATTGGTTGGAGGGTCCTCTGTATTGGGTTACAAGATATTCAAGGAAAAGCACTTTGTTCCAAGAGCAACAGAGGACACTTGCTTAGTTGTTTAGTGGGCTCAGGTATGTGAAAAATGAATCCAGACCTCTGCTTTTTCCTAATAGTAACTACAAAGCCCTCAAGGAAGTCTGAGATGACCACTTCTAGAGTCTTTAAAAGAAGATTTTTAATCACAGTTAAAACCCTGAGGACTCAGCTTCCCTTGCTGTCTTCCTAAGTGCTCTTTCTTCCATAATCCATGTGGAAAAGGATGCCAGTCATATCACTTTTACTTTCAAAACCATTATTCCAGCAGTCAGGTAAAATTCTTGTTCTGACCTCAGTACATTTAAGATTAAATCTTCTATTCTTGCCGTTGTCCTACAGGACATCTAATGTCCTGCAGATTCTATCACCACATCGAGGATTTTGGTTTCTAGCTTACAGGCTTGCTTTCTACCTCAGTTCCTGCTATCCTTTGACCTAGACAATTAAAATACCTTGATAGGAGACTCATTTAACACCCTGACCGCAACCCCCCCCCTCCCATTTCATCAAACTCAGTGAGCATTACCTTCACTCTACTTAAGCAAACTAGTCCCATGGCTACACCTTGAAATTATAGTACATTATCCTTTCAGACCATAATCTTCTATTTTTCCTCCTAACTAAATATTTCCCACTGAGCCTGGACACAATGATATTTACCTTGTGCTCTGAAACCTTCTCTGACCCCATCCTTCCTCTGTGATTCCTCAATCCTGCCATCTCTCTAAAAATAGCCCATCTCATTTCCCTCACAGCCTGGTTCCCCCACAGGTTAGTCTATACAAGTAGTTCTCAAACCTGGTTGTGCATCAAATCCTTTAGGGAACACTGTAGACATACAGATGCTCAAGCCCTATCCTGGAATCTCTGAGAGTCAAGCTCCCTAGATAGCTAATGCCATTAGGAGTTCATAGGCCAGAATTTGTTTGAGAACCAGAAGTTACAGCTGAAGTTACTTTAGTAAAGAGTTCCATGGCCACTTTGGTTGGGGAAACACTACGTTAAACAATCTTGAACCTTTTTTCTTCATTATGGAATTTCTCAGACTTCAACTACACTAGTGTACATTTTCAGTTTCCCAAGAAGAGGCAAATAAATACATTTATTTGACCACCTGGCTTTTGTTTTCTGCAGTGTAGTAGTACAGACCTCTACTTCTCTGGAACATATTTTAGCATATGATCCACACTCACCAGCTCTACTTTCTAACTTCTCTTCAACTTTTTTTTTTAAAGATTTATTTATACAAGAGCCGGGGGTATAGTCCAGATGCGCGGGAGGATGAGAGGATTCACCAGAGTCAGAGCAGGAAACAGAAAAGGCAGACTGACTGAAATACACTGCTGAGGGGAGCAGCTTGCAAGTCAGGAGAGGTCTGCTGCGCCATGTGGGTCACCTCCCTGGCTGGGGATCAAACTTGTGCTGCAGTGGCTGCGGGTAGCTTCATAGTGCTGAGTCTTTACCCTTTGCGCCACCAGGGAGGCCCCACTCTTCAACTATTATACTGCTGCATGTGCCCCCATACTCTGTCCAATTCCTTGGGAAAAGGTAACCTGTGGTCCCCTTTCAGTCTTCTTGCTGGATGTTCTCCCTGTCCTTAAAACTGATCCCTGGGTTTCCACAAGCTCATATCACCTGGTTCTCCTTTGCTGGTTCTTTCTCCTGTGTCACCCTCCTTAATGTTCATGTACTTCTGAACTGCTTCCGCAGAGAGGGTGGGAGGGAGGGTGGAATAATTAGGCCTTGAGGGCTCCAGGGGAGGGTTGTAATACCTTAGCAGGCCTCGTGGAGGAGGGAGCTACAGAGTTGGGGTTTGAGGGACACTGGAAAGAAGCTGTTGGGTCCCGCTGTTCACACATCTGCTGTCTATACCATAAGAGCCAGCATAGCAAAAACTCCAGTATTACAATGAGACACTGGTGTATTAAGTAATAAAGCAACATGGCAGTGGAAAAGCAGCAGAAGAGAAAGCAAAGAGAGGTGAACTCACTTCAAGAAATGCCTTATGGAATGCATCTGAGACATAGAGGTCACTCCGGCCTCCCGCAATAATACCTGGAAAAAAAGGCCAGAGACAGCTCTGTGAAATGGGAGAAACTTTGCCTCCAACCACAGAAAGGAATTTGGTTTGAATTAAGAGGTCCTTTGGGCTTTGAAAAATAGGACGAAATCCTGGACCTTCACTTAATGATACCCCCAAATAAGCACGTGCTAAAAATAATAAAGTATTTTGGGTTGGTTCAACCTGGCTCCTGTGAATTTAATCTCATACTGCAGCTCTTGGGTGAGGTAGGGAATAAGGGACTCTTTATTTTTTTAAAGATTTATTTTTTTGTTATTTATGCATACAAGAACTGGGGTTTAGGCCAGAGGTTTTGGGGGTGAGAGGATTCACCAGAGACAGAAAGGGGAACAGAACAGGTAGAGCAACTGAAATACACTGCTGAGGGGAGCAGCAGGCGAGACAGGAGAGGCCTGTTGCACCATGTGAGAATCTCCCTGGCCAGCCGGGAAGCAAACTGGCAACGCAGAGGCTTCGGACAGCAGCACTCAACAGCCTGCTTCACCAGGGAGGAGGCCCAGGGCATTCTTTCTTAAAGAAAAAATCCATCTGGTAGATCTTTTCATCCTGGCACCATTTTTAAGAGAAGGGTTGGTTTTTAGACCTAGTTTAAAGATAGTTCACTAAGGGTAAATTCAATTACCTATTATTGTAAACTTAGGATTTTAAAAAACATTTTGATACATAATTTTAAAGAATGGTGGGTTGGAGGACCAAACCAATAAACACCATTACTGAAGAATTACAAATGGGGAGAGGGTGGCCATATCTTTCCAAGGGACCTTAAGGAAAATGCTCCAGCCCTTTGTCTCTAGTGAACCAGATGGCCCCAGTTCTTAATCACATGTGTCATTTGGTTCTAAATTCTGAAGCCTTTCAAGTTCTCCATCGAGTCTCCTCTATCAGTTACAGGCTGCAAGGGTTCCACTGCCAACTGGGCCCATGGAGGTGCTAGAGCAAACTCCCCTTTTACAGAAGAAGAAACTGAGACCTCCAGAGGGGAAGGAGTTTCTCTGAATGAGCAGTAGAACCGGGATCAGAACCCAGGGGTCCTGATGCATTGTTCTTCTCCACTCTTACTCCAAACCTGCCACTTCATCAGATCACCTCCGGGGGCAGAGAGGAAGAAAGTCCTTCCTACACTCACCTGGGAGCCTGGAACTTTCAGGGCTGAACAGGTCCACGAGGCCCATGTCCTGCAGCCGCTCCTTGAGGCTGAAGCTGTCCTCGATGCGGAAGCGGGGCACGTGCGCCACCAGCAAGGTCTCTCCCAGCGCATCCAGCCACTCCTGCAGCACCTCGGGCGAGAGCTCCCGCTCCACCTTGGCCAGGCTCTTCTCAGCCTTGGGCAGGATGAGCACCATGGTGATGTCATCGCCCTTGAAGGGCAGCTCCAGCACCTGAGTGCCTTCCTCCACGCGCCGGTAGCGGAACTTGCCCTCCTGGTACATCATGGAGGCCGAACACGACTCCCCGTCAGCCTTGTGGAACAGTTCTGTCCTCGTGTTCTCTGGGCTGAACTTGGACTTCCACAGGCCCTGGGAGAATACCAGGGAGTAGACACAACTTAAGTGACCCAAAACATCCACAGGCAGCACTGACAGGGGAAATACCTTGCTCTATTCTGTTAACATGTAAGTGTAATTATTAGTGGGGGGAATGCTAGAGAGGGGGGATACATGAAAAAGATAACAATGACTGTCACAGCGATGGAATTAGTGGTGGTGGTTGTTTTCTGTGAACTTTTCTGTATTTCCCAGAATCTTAGCAGTGATTCTTTTCTTTTACAATGAGAAAAATAAAAACTAAAATCAAGAACAAACCTACTGGCCTTTTAGCAAGTCCCTTCTTGTGTTTAAATCTAATTGCCTTTTGCTTTCTGCTTCTCAGCAGTTTTTTCTCAAAGGCCATCCTTAAAAATGCCGGGCTCTGTCCCTGATGAAAAAAAGGCCAGACCCCACTCCCACCCCATCCACCACCACCCCCACTCACCCCACCCCCCTCAGTCATCTGGCAGTTAGCAGAGAGTGAGTCTCACTCTAAGAGGGAGGGAGGGGCCTCCCTGGTGGCACAAGGGGTTAAGCACCACACTGTGAAGCTTTTCCAGCCTCTGCAGCACAGGTTTGATCCCCAGCCAGGGAGCTACCCACATGGCACAGCAGACCTCTCCTGTCTCACTCACTGCTCCCCTCAGCAGTGTATTTCAGTCAGTCTGCCTGTTCTGTTCCCCACTCTGTCTCTGGTGAATCCTCTCACCCCTGCACCTCTGGCCTATACCCTAGTACTTGTATGCATAAATAAATAAATCTTTTAAAAAATAAATAAAAAATCTTAAAAAAAAAAAACAAAGAGGGAGGTACCCTGGGACACAAGAAACCCCTCAGAAGTTTCTACAGTGTAGGGCCTCCCCGGTGGCGCAGCGGTTGAGCGCTGGGTTGCGAAGCTGCCCACAGCCTCTGCGGCGCCGGTTCGATCCCCGGCTGCTCCCCGGCCCCGGAGGAGGATCCCACATGGTGCGCAGACCTCTCCTGCCGCCCGCTGCTCCCCTCAGCAGTGTGCTTCGGTCCTTCTGCCTGTTCTGCTCCCCGCTCTGGCTCTGGTGAATTCTCTCACCCTCCCGCGCTTCTGACTGTACCCAGTGCATGTATAAACAAAACAAACAAACAAATATAATAAATAAATAAATAAAAACATGCCTCTATAAAAAAAAAAAACTATTAAAAAAAAAAAGTTTCTACAGTGTAATTATTATCATTTATCTCTGTGGTTTTGAGACAAGTCATTTAACTCTTGAGTGGTGGTTCCTCATCTGTAAAATTAGGAGCTGGTGGTTGCTAATACTTGTAGGCTGCTGAGTGCGTGCCAGACATTGCTTTAAGCATTTCAGATATATTAACTTATTCAGTCCTCTCTGCAACTCTATGAGGTAGATGTATCAATATAACCATTTACACATGCTGGAACAGAGGCACAGAAAGTCCTCAGTTCACACAGTCAGAAATGGAAGTGTCAGGATTTAAAATAAATCATCTATGTGAGTGATCCAAGGTCTCATTTGTGGTGTTATAGGATCATGCAGATGAATAAATGGCAAAGTATTCCATAACCCATAAAGGGGAGTGTGCTTTGTGGAAATGCAACCTACTCCATCGTTGGGGATAGGGAAACCCCAGACAGCGAGGTCGCAGCAGCGAGGAATGACTGAATCCCTGGACCCTGGGAGAGGAGGGAGAGCATGCAGATGGAGCATCACCCCAGGGGTCCTCCAAGTACCCATGACCTGTTTACCCCCAGGCCCACACCCTCATTCTTCTCAAAGGTAATCAGTTTGAACAGCCTTTAGAAATGTTGACTGAGGGGCCTCCCTGGTGGCACAAGGGGTTAAAGCACCACACTATGAAGCAATCCGCAGCCTCGGCAGCATGCGTTCAATCCCCAGCCGGCCGGGGAGCAACCCACACAGTGCAGCAGACCTCTCCTGTCTCGCCTGCTGTTCCCCTCAGCTGTGTACTTCAGTCAATCTGCCTGTTCTGTTCCCCACTCTGTCTCTAGTGAATCCTCTCACCTCCCGCATCTCTGGCCTGTACCCCAGCTCTTGTAGGCACAAATAAATAAATCTTAAAAAAAAAATGTTGACTGAGAATGACAAAGGCACCTGCATGATCAAATCACATGACCACTGCAAAGTTTCAAGTGAGCCTGATAACTGGAGGTTCAGAAACCACATGCAAGGGAACTCTGAGTCACTGTAAAAGTTGCTCCAGATAATGGAGAAAATCTTATCACTGTGGATGTGAGTTTGTCATTTTGTTCCAGATTTCCAAATGGAGCCTACTGGACAGCAGAAATTGTCACATAGATATGAGCATTTATCACGACACACCCCTTGTGCTCAACAGGCTAGGGGAGTGTGGATGCTCTGCCAGGGGCCAAGACACGACAAGCATGCCCCCCTTGATTTCAGTCCAGCAACCGAGGTCCTATGAACTCTTTAGCAAGCTTGTATTTCTGCATGGACCATGCATGGTCCATTTCTCATAAAGGTCTACCTACACATGCCTGGTGATGTGACAGAGAGGAGTGGAGGGCCAGGGGAGATCCTGGGGTCTCCCCAGGGCCATTTTGAGTACCTTGAAGTAAATGGTGTTAACCAGCACCAGGACAGTGAGCTCATTGATGGCGTCTGGGGGGATGACGTCAGTGATGCGTCCCTCGGTCTTATTGGAAATCCATTTGTTGATGGTCTCTCTGGACTGCTCTGCATTTTCCTGAGGAGAAAAAGAGACTAACCTACCCATCTGTGGTAGTCAGTCAGCGTCTTCATTTCCCTGAGCAGCATTTTATTTTGTTTATCAGCCCTCTACCCTTCCCCACCATTTGGTTAAATCACCACTCTAACCCAGATTGTGAGAAACTCACCTATCTAGGATAGAGCCATGAATTTTCCATACAGTCAATAAATATTAACAGAATAAATAGGAATAAATGAAAGAGAAAGAGAAAGAGAAAGAGAAAGAAAAGAGTAAGGAACATAAAAGGAGAAGATGGTCTAGGAAAAAGAAGACAAAATAATTATCTTCTCTGGCTTTGGAAAACCTAAACTCATAAGAGTTCAAGTTTCCAAAACTTGTTTTAAGGGAAACTAATAAGGGGTCCAGGGGTAGGGGCAGGAGGGATGCCCATGTGGTCAAAAAAGTTTGAGAAGCAATGACTGAATCATGCCAATAGACTTTTTGTATTGCAGGATTTCTCAGAATACTTAATAGATTCATGTGCTTCATGAATCTCCAAGAGGAAAATAAAGCACACACTACATGCCGGTTTTATCTGACCATGGTATCTTTTAAAAATTAAATTAAATAACATATCTTGTGGGACTGGCATCTCTAGAATACCTTTTGGTATATACTTGATCAATAAAATGAAGAATTTATTGTTTAGATAAATTTTTTCAGAGAAGCCACTATAATCTAAGCCATAAATACCATTGGTTCCTCAGGTTTCAAGCAAGAAGGAGTATTCCAGAGATTCTGACTTATACTCACCCCAAACCTGCCTTCAACCAGTGTTAATTTGGACCGTGCTTCTCTATCGCCTCAATCTCTGAGTGGAGAGGAATGACATCTGCCACTCACCTTGAAGTCCAGGGGTTGGAGCTTGGCTCCATATACCACCTCACTGATGTCCTGGTAGGTCTCGTTGAAGGTAAGGGATTTGTCTCCAAAGAGGCGGTTGGCTGATACCAACTCGGAGGACTTGTTGGCTTTTCGATAGAGTCGGCAGTTTAGTTTGGCAAAGAAAAAGTGGATCTGGTCAGATGTTTTCTCAGAGATGGTATCAAACTTGAAAACCTGTGGAAACCAAAAAAAAATTGCAGTCAGCTTGGGGAGGCAGCCTGGCTGACATGGGTAGCGAGCACAGTGCAAGGCAGCCCCTAACCTAGAGCCTCCTCCCTTGTGATCTCCTTCAAGCACAGGGCCTGGCACGGTGGAAATGCTCAGCTCATGTTTTCTAAATGAACCAATGGATGAAAGAGGAATAAGGGGTGGCAAGGAAAAAGGCAAAGAGAAACGCAAAGATCCAGAGATAGTTTCTAAAGAGCCCTGGCTCTAAGCACTTCTAAGATCCACAGATCTAATGGAGCTAGCTACTTTTAGGGTCTCTGGGATGCCAACGGATGGTTGAAAAAACAAGAGTCATTCACAGGGCCTCCCTGGTGGCGCAAGGGTTAAGACGCAACCTGTGAAGCAATCTGCAGCCACTGAGTTCGATCCCCAGCCAGAGAGCAACCCACATGGCGCAGCAGACGTCTCCTGTCTTGCCTGCTGCTCCCCTCAGCAGTGTATTTCAGTCAGTCTGCCTGTTCTGTTCCCCACTCTGTCTCTGGCAAGTCCTCTCACCCCCCACACATCTGGCCTGTGCCCCAGCACTTGTATGCATAAATAAATAAATCTTTAAAGAAAAAAAAAAGATGCATTCACCATAAGGGATTAAAAGGCTCAGAATCAGAGGTAGACTTGAAAAGGACTGAAATGTCATCTCTGCCAATCAGGCCCTGGAGGTGGTAATATCCTGATCTCCAAGGTTACTTTTCCCATCTCCCTTCCACTTTCTTGCCAGAGGAGAGTTCTTCTGGCTTTATCTGACCTCTGCCTTTGGTGTTCCTAAATTTTTCCAGTATCCACTTTTTGGAGGGTGGTTCATTTGTCCAAAAACTTGGTGCTGATTTTTCTCTTTTCTCCATAGAGAGACATAGTTTCGCCCCATTCTCACCCCACTTTCCAACACATGGCATTTTATGTTGGAAGATGTTGTGGAGAGAAAGACCCAAAGAAATGCCTGGTTTGGAAACCATATAGGAAGGGGACACATTTAAGGTTTCCCTTGGGGTCAGAGACACGGATGATATGGAAGTGCTTTTAGATCCAAGCCAATGTATATGTGGTTTACTGAAAAGCCCAGAAAAGATAGAATTACATCACTTTAGGTTTTCTAAAGCTGTAGTTTCTTTTGTGGAGGGAAGTCTTCGGTTAAACCATCACAGAGACTGGATAGAGATGATGAAGTTCAGTGCCATTCTGGCCACTACAGTAGGGGCCAACACTTCTAAGATCCACAGGCTTCAGTGTCTGTGTTTGAAATAAACACTGTGTATGTGGTAAGGGTTACTCTGGTGAGGGATACACGTACCTCCCTGTCGATTACCTTTGTCTCCAATGTGTGATTCAACCTGAGGAAAGCAAGTCAGACACCCACACCAAGGGGAGATTAATGACCCATTGTTTCTCCCCCTGACGTGGATTTTTAACGCAGGCCACTCCCTCATCTTGACACCCTTCCTTCCCACAAAAAAGGGAGATACTAAATCATTGACCAATACAGCCCAGAGTCAGAAAACACTCATATATTTGAGTCAAGGAATCCTTCTCCTGCATTCCTTGAGCCCCATGTCTCAATATCCAGTCATAGAATCTTCATCCACAAGAGCCTGTGTACCTCAGCTGACCAGATAGTAGGCTGCCCTTCCTCTCCCGGAATCCCTAGCCCCAGCTCAATGGCTGGCTCAAAAGAAGTGTTGATTAACCATATAAATGGTCAAACCAATGAGTAAGCATATAAATAAAAGAGTGACTAATAAGTTGGAAGAGACACAGGGCTCTCATTTTAAGGTAGCCCAAAAGAAGAAACTCAGATTTACTAAGCAGACTCATCTAGACAGTAATTCTTTGTCTAATTTTTTTAAAATTAGTTTTTAAGGGAAATTATAACCCGTGAAGCTGTGACTCACAGGAAAGCACAATCCATACTGAGCTCTCCCATGACTGTAGAGTTTGAGTCTTTAGACCTGTGGAAATCTGGAAAATGGCCCCAGCAAGGCAATTAGGCAGAAAGACTTTGGAATTTACCTCCATCAGCTGCTTGAGGGTGTTGTCACAGGCACCCAGCTTGGTCATAGCAAAAGCTGTGGAGATACTCAGGGGTGACAGGAAAATGTTGTCATTGTCATTCTTGGAGTCTGCCAGGTGCTGATAGAAGGCGGTGGCAAAGCGGGTATTAGCTTTGGACAGTTCCCAGACTCGCCGGTTGGTGGCCTCAGGGATCTTCTGCTCTGAGGCCTCGTCCTCAGTCGCCTTCTTCTCTGGGGCCCGGTAAATGCACATGGGATTCATGGGAATGTCCCGAGGCTTGGCTGTGCAGATGTCCTCCACAGGGCTCCAGTGACAAGTCACAGAGCCCCAAAGGCCAATGAGCAACAAGGAGAGAAGACACACCCTCCTACAGGGAAACAGAAAGCTGAGTTAAGCTAGGCTAGAAGACCCACTACCCCCACCGCCCATCACAGACTTCTCCCAGTAACCTTGGATCCCAGCCCTCCTGATGTGACCAGGAGGAGAGCTGTAACATTTGAAAAAGTACAAGGACCTTGCAAATGAATAGTTACACTTGACTGGACCTAGCTATGTTGAGCTTAGAATCAATTATTAAAACACTGATGGTTATTAGAAGGATTGTATGTCCAAGACTCTGGACTGGGAGAAGTAAAGAATGTGCTTCCAGCTGGTCTGTTGGGACATGCACATGTGAAAAGCAGGCAGGAACTTTAGTGCCCAATATACCGTTGGGGCAATAGGAGGAACCATTTACAGAAGCTGCTTAGGGAAGCTTTCTGAAGTGGATGGAATTTAATCTGGCTATTAAAGGATTGAAAGGATTTTGATGCAGCAGAGGATTTTTATGCAGGATTTCACCAACACAAGAAGGGAAAGAAGAAATGGATGGAGCAAAGGCAATACCTATGTGATGAGGACTCCCAAATCTCTAGCTCCAGCCCTAACCCTTCAGCTGAGCTCCAGACGATAGTTTATTAGACAGGTCCGCCTTCTCTTCCTCTAGCTCAGCAAAACAGACCCTCATGCACCCTGGCACCCAGTCTAGAAAACTGGAAGTCACTGTAGATTCCTCCCTCTCACCCCTCTCATTTAGTCATTTAGTCTCATTAATTCTGTTTCCCAGCTTTCTCACGGCCGTATCATTTTCTTTGCCTGGAAATTTTAATAGCTCCCAACATGAGTTTATTAAATGCATTTACATTATGTGTAAATTAATTTTACTTATAAAAAATGACACCCTGAGATTGGTAAATAAGGAGAACTAGGACAGCCAATTAAGCAAACTAAATTTTTTTGTAGATAAGACAGGGTGGGTCCCTGTGTCTAGAATGGGGGTCTGTCAGAAATGGAGCAGATCAAAACTCCCATACTGATAAGACAAAGGGCATCTGTGTGTGGGTACTAAGTCTTCTTAGTCTGGCCCTGCCAGAAAATGATAGGCACACACTGTAGAAAGGACTCACTGAGGCAGCCTGTCAGGCAAGAGTGGGATTGACTGGAAGCTGGGAGACAGCTTGTGGCTTCTTCTGTGATCTGAGGCAACTCTGCGGCCCCCTTTAAGAGGCCCAGAGTGGAGAGAAGTGGTGTCCCTGAAGGAGATACGGATGGAAGACAGGGTGCGCTCGCAGAGAGAGGGAGCCTTATTGTTCATCTCCCTACATTTGTTGCCTTCTGCTTTCCATTTTGTTCCTCAGTTACATTTGGAAATGCAAATGCTGGTGGAGGGGCTCTGAGAGCTCCATTAAATACAAAGAAAAACCAAGATGGTCGAGACACAGCCTCATTTCTAACCTCCTACAACAACCCAGAGCAAGAAGGGAATGTGTGATGTTGAGGGATGAGAAACAGGGCTGTAATATTTTTTTTTTTTAAGATTTCTTTCTTTCTTTATTTATTTATACAAGCACTGGGTACAGTCAGAAGCGCAGGAGGGTGAGAGAATTCACCAGAGCCAGAGGGGAGAGCAGAGCAGGCAGACTGACGAAGCACATTGCTGAAGGGAGCAGCGGGCGGCAGGAGAGATCTGCGCACCATATGGGACCCTCCCTCGCCCGGTGGCCGGGGATTGAACAGGTGCTGCAGAGGCTGTGGGCAGCTTTGCAACCCAGCGCTCAACCGCTGTGCCACTGGGGAGGCCCAGGGCTGTCATCTTTAGTCAAAGGACACTGAGGTCCTGGACAGGTTGTGGGCAGAGGGGGAGAGCTAATGGAGGTTGGAGGGAAAAGGGAGTTAGGAGGTCCTCACAGATTCAATTGGCCTTCTTTTCAGATGTATGGCAGGCCTGGAAATTTTCCTTGGAGTGTCTTCTGTGAGGGACGTGTTGGAGCAGCCTCTTTATACAATAGAAGACATCCCCTTTGTTTCTGGGGCTAAGAACCCAAGGTGTGGCCTAGTGAAAGACCTTACTCTGAGAGAGGGAGGAGGAGGGAGTGACATCTTCCAAACAGGTTCCTGATTATAACTACCTGGGAGAGGGCCTGGTCTTTTCAAAAGTGTCAAGTCGTCCTTGTGAGTCTTCGAGATCAGAAAACCCAATGAGAGCATTCAGAGGGAAAGCTCACCCCTCTTACCTTTTTCCAGCAGCCACAGCTCCTATCCCATTGGAAAACATGGTCGCTAATCTTCCACAGGGCTGGGTGAGTGAAGATAGTGTGGTCTGAGGCAATCCCTCTGAAAACTGGTTCTTTCCTCAACACCTGATTGAGGTTCCAGAGGCTAGCGTGGGGGAGTGAGCTGGTGAGGAGGGGAGGACTGAGGTCAAAGGCTGACGACCAGCTCCCAGGGTTAAGCAAAGTGTAGAGCCCAGTGTTGTTTGATTAGTAGGGAAGTTTTAAAGTTCAGTCAGATCCAGGCAGAGCAAAGCCCACCTTACTTACCCAAACTCCCACACTCTCCTCTTCATTTTTATGAAAAGGAAAAGGAACATATGCTCACAAGTCAAACATGGTCAGAAAATGCCAGACTGAGGAGAATTTTTTTCCCTGGTGACCCAAATTAGGAGGTAGAAAATAGAATGAATATAACTAGCCAAGTTAAATATCTAGAAGCTTCTAACCTTCTACCTGCTCAATGTAATACCCTGTCTTTCCCAACTCTTCTTTCTTGCTGTCCATAATATCTAACCAAAGCACAAGAGGAGTTTTCTTTTTTATTATATTTTTTTGTGTAGGAGAACTGGGGTGTAGGTCAGAAGTGTGGGGGGTGAGAGAATTCATCAGAAGCAGAGTGGGGAGCAGAACAGGTGGATTGACTGAAATCTGCTGCTGAGGGGAGCAGTGGATGAGACAGGAGAGGTCTGCTGTGCCATGTGTATCAGCTCCCTGTCTGGGATCCAACTCAGGCCACAGTTGTGATAACACTGAGACTTAACCCTTAAGCCACCAGGGAGCCCAAAGAGGAGTTTTCTGAAATAAAGTGCTACCTATTCTATAGGTTGCTAAAAGTAGATATGTCCATGACCTAAATCAGGACACACAATGGCTATAGGTATGGCCCAGAGGAGACTCATTCCCCACTCAGCCCTGATGAATGGGGTGTTGTGGCCACAAGAGCAAAGGCCTCAGAGCACAATAAAGATACTCTAGAGTTGATGAGCTGGTTGAAGATATTTATTTATTTATTTTTTTAATTTTTAAAAAAGATTTATTTATGCAAACAAGAACTGGGGTATAGGCCAGAGGTGTGGGGGAATAAGAGGATTCACCAGAGACAGAATGGGGAGCAGAAGAGGCAGACTGACTGAAATACACTGCTGAGGGGAGCAGCAGGTAAGGCAGGAGAGGTCTGGGTCTGCTGCGCTATGTGGGTTTCTCCCTGGCTGGATCGATCTCATGCTGCAGAGGCTGCGGATAGCTTCACAGTGCTGTGTTTAACCCCTTGTGCCATCAGGGAGGCCCCTGTTTAGAGATATTTAGCAAAATTCTACTGGGGTTTTAGAAGACAAAAAAATACATGCAGTTGCTGAAATACTTCTTAAAGATCAAACAAAATGAATTCTACTTTTATGTGTATAATTATTTTTACTTGCTTTATTGGGGAGATTAAGTTAATTCAAACTAATGGTGATAAAAGGCAGGTTTATTTACATTTCCTTTTTCCTAAGTAGCCAAGGACAGTATCACAAGGAGTGCTGCAACAGTATTCACAGGATGAGTATGCTACCTACTATGTGATTGAAGACACCTTGACTTGGTACAGTCATAAGAATTCTAGAGTTCTCATTAGACAGGAAATCTCTATCCAGACTGAAGTATTATGTACATTCTTGGCTGATTTAGACCTTGGATACCTCAAGAACCCTGTTGTGCGATGTGAAAAGCTACAGGGAACTGTCCTAAAGAGGCTGCCTGTCACTGCAGACTAAAGACAAATGAAAACTCTCCTGTTCAGTCACTTGTGCTCAATGAATAAGAGTGCTACTTGTGCCATGTGGGTTAGCTTCTGTGTGGGTTAGTTGGCACAACTGTAATAGCATCTGGAGATTCCAGTCAGGGGAGGCGTACAGTAATCATATTAAGAGGCAATATGTTAAAAAAAAAAAAAAATGGGTCCTCCCTGGTGGCGCAAGGGGTTAAGCACTGCACTGTGAAGCAATCCGTAGCCTCTGCAGCATGAGTTTGATCCCTGGCCAACCAGGGAGCAACCCACATGGCGAAGCAGACCTCTCCTGTTTTGCCCACTGCTCTCTTCAGCGAAGCGGACCTCTCCTGTTTTGCCCACAGCTCTCTTCACTGAAACTGTGTTTCAGTCAGTCTGCCTGTTCTGTTTCCCATGCTGTCTCTGGTGAATCCTCTCACCCACTGGTATCTCTGGCCTGTACCCCAGCTCTTGTATGCATAAATAAATAAAAAACAACAAGCAGCATATAACATGTCAATCAGGTGTAATAAAAGCCATTGAGAAAAATACAGCAGGACAAGGGGACAGAAAGTGATGGGGGGGGGTCTCCCTGGTGGCTCAGGACTTAAAGTCTCAATGCTATCAAGCTATCGCCAGTCACTGCAGCATGAATTCAATCCCTGGCCAGGGAGGTGACTCACATGGTGCAGCAGACCTCTCCTGTCTCGCCCGCTGCTCCCCTCAGCAGTGTCTTTGGTCCGTTTGCCTGTTCTGCTCCCCGCTCTCTCTGGTGAATTCTCTTACCCTCCCGTGCCTCTGACCTGTACTCCATTTCTTGTATAAATAAATAAATTTAAAAAAAAAAGCCACACAGATCACCATGTTTATAACACCTGGCAGAAAAAAACCAAAACAGCAATTTACACAATCTCTGTAACAACATGGTTTCGGTCTCA